TCTTTTTCTTAATCTCTAATTATTAAGTAGTAGTAAGCTTGTTACCTATATTAATCCAAGCTTTAATAACGTTTTTGCATTTAGGAGGTTTCTATAGGTAAGATCTACTATATAGATATAAAGACTCCTTCTTAAGTTAGTTAGAAGGTAGAGCTCCTATTGTTGCAAACACTCTAGGACCCTTAGAGCTTAATCTTATATTATTTTCTTAGAGTAGTAATAAATAGATCTTAGCAACCTATAGGAGGTTATAAGTTAGCTCTCCTATTACTAACTTTTTAATAATCCTTTAAAATATAGTTTAACCCTAATCTAGTAAGATCCTAGTAGATAGAGCTTTAAGATAATCTTGTACTACAAGCTATCCTTTAATATTAGGAACGTTATATACCTTAGCTTGCGCATATAGGATTGTCTACTCCTTCTACTAGCGATTAGCATCTTAGCTACTTATCTTTGCCTTAGCAAGATAAGCTTTGTACTGCGATCTTGCTAGTATTACAGCGCTTAAGTTAGTTAGCGCTAGGTTGTTGCAGAGCACTTAGATTAGTACTTAGAGGGTTACTTTTCCTTAATTAACAAGCTCTATATAGGCTAGGGTAAGGATCCCTTAATCTACTATGTTATTAACCTATGTAAAGAGGTTCTAGATTACTAATAACTTTAATACCTAATCTAATAAGTAGGCTTAGTACTAAGCTATTTAGAGCTTATACTACTTGCTTATTATATTAGATAGTGTAATATCTATTAGTATATTAGGCTTAATAGGTTTATTTTTAAAGTAGTTTTTAGTATCTAGAGCCTTAGGGTCTACCTCTGCCTAGATCCCTTTAGTTAGGGTATTGTATCTAAATTGAATGTACCAGGTAGGCCAGTTAGTTAATCTAGTAAGTAGGATATCCCCCTTTAGGATTTGGTCGCTTATAGTAGAAGAGTAATAAGTAAGCTTCTGCTTAAGAAATAGTATAAAGAGTGAAGCTTGCTAGCTTAGTGTCTAAGTTGAATAATACGCTTAAATAGATAGGACAATCTTTAATAAGGTAAAGCGCGAACTAGGCTTATAACTGTGGAAATTTAGATTACTAAGGTTAGGAATAATTTAGGAGATAGATTATTAGATTGTATCTACTACGATTGTACTTATATATATAGAGCTTTAGCTACCCTTACTAGAAGGTAAATAATTAGTAAACCTTCCTTACTAGAGCTCCTGCTTTTTGTTAGGCACTTGGTAGTAAGCTGGCAGTTGATTAGATAGTGGGTCATACAGGGGTATTGATTGGGATTAATCAGGATCAAGATGCTCCGTGATCCAGTTGATATCCCTCCTGCAACAGAACGCTATAGCGTCCCTATAAGGATTCTTAGGCTTTACTAGTAGTAATATTATCTTTTATAGCGTGTCTATAGTATACCTATATAAAAGTAGATTTAGGCTAATACTAGTTATACTAGGGTCCCTATTATTAAGTGCAAGCTAGTATACTAGGAGGTAGTTAGGCTAGTTAGTCTACTTAAAGTATACTATTATACGCAGGACTACCTATACCTCTTAGTTTACCTACTCTATCCTGCTATCTATCTAGGGGTAGTATATAGTAGATAGTAACTAGTTTATCTTTATTATTTAGTATAATATTAACTAGAAAGATCCTAACTAGTCTAAGCCTTAGTTAGTAATAATAGAGAATAGGAAGCCCTAGAACTGCTACTAATTATCCTAACTAGCTACTATAGAGACTATTACTTTAAGCTAAATATATTTAGATATTCTATTAGTAATAACTAATAGGAACTAGGGTTTACTATTATCTTTTGTAGGTAGGTTAACTATAAAATCTATAGATATTTAGGACTAGTATTATAACGCTACTAGGATAGGTTATAACAAACCCTATTAGCGCTTCTAGGAGATATAAGCACTATAATAGTAGTGAACTAATAGGGAGAGTAACCTATTTAAACGAGGAGAAGTAGGAAGGGCTAGGTTTAATAGTAGTAATCCTATAGTAGAGGATATAAGTTCAAGGTTAGATTATAAGAGATAGGTTAATATTAAAGAGTTAAAGTAAAGTCTCTTAGAGTAATACTATTCTATCCTCTAATCCTTTATACCTTTATACTATTTAACCTACCTAAATTTTAGGCTAAGTCTTGTTTTCTCCTATATACCCTATACTATAGTATAAACCTCCCCCTCTTTTAAGCTTAGCCCTATTAAGCTTAGTCTATACTCTCCTTTACTAGGTCTATAACCCTAGTTCCTAGCTTATTAAGTTTTAGGTAAGGGAGTTAGAGTATCTAGGGTCTCTAATCTTAAACCTAAACTTAATAAGATAGTTCTTCTCTATACCCTTACTAGGCTTCCTATAAAGCCTAGCCCTAAGCGCCTAGATCCCTCTACCTTTTGTTCCTCTTTAATAGTTCCTAGATACTTTTTAATAGTATCTAGAGTCTCTAATTACTTAATTTATCTATTATACCTCTACTACTCTTATACTTTAGTAGGCTATACCCCCTTTATACTAAAGTAGGATTAGTCTAGTACTCTAGTATCCCTATCCTTACTAAATATAAGCTTCTTATTTTTAATATAGATAGCCTAATTCTTTTTTAACTCCTTTACTATCTTAACCTAACTCTTCCTAATCTATACTTCTATCCTTTCCCTATCTAAATCTCCTATTAGGTACTTCTAGATCTCTACCTTTACTAAAGGGTTATTCTATTAAACCTAATATATAATAGCCTTTAAGATCTAGGTTAGGTAGGTAGCCTAGATATCTTTAGGGAATTGCTATTAGACTTTACTATATTTAACTAGGTGCCCTTATAAAGTCTTTAGGGCTATATATATTTATAAGTAGGCTAGCGCAATCTCTATATATATCTATATCTCTAGTACCTCTATTATTATTATATTATCCTATACTTTTATATACTATAGTAGAACTATATACTATATTTAAGTAGTAGGTCTAGTAGATTTATATAGTATTACTAGGCTTATAATCCTTACTTATTCCTTTTAATAGATTTCCTTCTCCTATCTTACCTTAGGGCACTTCTCCCTTAGCTCTTTAGGCTAGTATACCCTATCTTCCTATACCTAGATATAAGCCCTCTTGTTCCTCCTTAATCCTTTATCTATCTAATTTACCTAATTCTTCTATACTTCTTTAAATCTAATAAGGAGCTTAGTATACTTATCTTAGTCCTTATTATTAAAAGAAACTAAGCCTTAGATTATCTTAAGCCCTTATCCTAACTATATAACCTTAGAAAGGTTCACGTCTATATAATAAAAGAATATCTAGTCCCCTACCTAGGTATACTTAGTATAGTATAGGTATAAGATTAGGTTTATAGTTTCCTAGATTATAGTATATTAGAGCTAGTATCCTATATCCCCTTATACTAGCTATTAAATAATAGAGTAGTATATAGTCCTACACTATCCTAAATTAGCTACCTACTTTATCTCCCTTAAGTACTATTTATATATTTTAAAGTAGTTATCTACTATCCTTACTAGCTCTAGGTCTTTATAGATCTAAGTAAAGGTGTCTAGGGTTATACTTCCTTTCTATAGAAATTTAGATTACTAAGGTTAGGAATAATTTAGGAGATAGATTATTAGATTATATCTACTATAATTAGACTTATATATATAGAGCTTTAGCTACCCTTACTAGAAGGTGTATAATTAGTAAACCTTCCTTACTAGAGCTCCTGCTTTTATTAGGCAGTTAGGAGTAAGCTAGCAGTTAATTAGATAGTAGGTTATACAGGGGTATTTAATTAGGATTAATTGGGATTGATTGGATCAAGATGCTCCGTGATCCGGTTGTTATCCCTCCTGCAACACTTAGTAATCACCTAACTCAATAATTAGTTATGCGTGCGTTACGCGAACACGTGCATAAGGCGCGTAGCCTTGGTAAGCCACTAGTTCTCTGTAGGCTGGCAAAGATGGGTTGGTGTATACCCCCTTGGGTATTAGGTTGGCTCTGCCGTAATCATCCTTGTAGTAAGATATTCAATTGTGAGGCAACTCCGCTCGGAGCAGAGTGTCAGCATAGGATAATCTGTGATCTGGTCTGACCTATCAACAAAGAAATGCATGACGGGGCTTCTTCAGGTTGGAGTAGACCTCAATGAGTTGGGGCTCTCAAGGCCCATAGCGCGCAGCGCCTTGGTCCCACCCCGCCTTCCACCTCACAAGACAACTACGCCCCATTTGAGCGATGCGTCATCCAAATCAACACGAGCCTATATCTCCAAACCCTTAAGGAATATAGTGAACGACTCTACAGAACAGTATCTAGGTTGTGGGATATATAGGTACCGCTGCGAGTAGGTAAGGTATATGGTACATGTTTGTAGTACCAGCAGTACCGGTACCGTAGGCTCGCTAATTTTTCCGCAGCGCTGTATGACATTGCCATCAACAGCTTCTTTGTAACCTGCTCTGTATCCTCCACGTTGTCTGACATGAGACGGCCGTTGCTGCCTATGAAATGGCGATTTACGGAATCCCACAATGGTAATCTTCTGGAAGCAAGGATGGTTTGGCGTGCGGACGACCCTAGGTAGCTGAGCAGAGTGACGGATTGCACAACCATGATACTAGGCACTGTAATACGGTAGGTAGCTGACAAACACTCCGACTGAGGCGCTTCATCGGCGCTTCCGCATCTCTTGGACATCTAAATCAGTACAAAAGTTGCGCTGGACTTGTCGCCATGACCTCATAGGAAGCTGTATTTCCTCCAAGGTGCAGCGGCTGCGCGGAATATGCATGCGGAGCTTTAGCGAGCGCTGAGTAAACTCCCCTGTTTGTGACTACAGTTCGTGTCAACGCTTGACACAGCTAATATTAGGTCACTTTTCCATCTTTGATTGGCACGCAAGTACTCCCACGCGCAGTTGCTACTAGTGTGTTGTAGAGAATAAGATACCCAATGCATCATCGCAGGAGTATGCCAGAACGTTCCCTAGGTCACACGGCGCGAGTCGATGACTACATCTGAACTGGCCTCATGGGTCAAGATGAGCAATCGATTCCACGCTTTGGACACTTTCTTCAAACCATCAGAGTTGGAAATCCTCGGCTGGCTTCCGCCTTTGATCAGCTATTTGGCATGCTTACCACACTGTAGACAAATGTAAAGTCTTCATGGAGCAATGAGTATTTACAGACAACAGGAATTCATGTACTAATATACAATGTGTGCCTAATGGAATGAAAATCATCCCACAAGAAACCAGAATACAAACTACCAAGCACTTCCTCGACTGACTTTCCCCACCATTGCTATCAGCTGGCCAACTCGACGACCAACAATACCTATTGAGTCTTCACACCGTCCATCTTGCAGGTGCGGCTCAAAATAAGCATCTGACTACAGCAGCCCTACAGCTCCCGCTGCACTTTAGCTACCAGTGCGTTCGGATCCTGCGCGCCAGGACGTAGATGGACGCCACGCTTCTAAATTCGGCTTCTACAACGTCCAATTGCACTCATCGCGTGGGTATCTTTGCATACTCACCGTCTCCAACTGATCTGATAGCATCTCGTGCTTGACTGCCATTCGGTACCGAAGCGATTCACAGAACGCTCGGGTCCACCATTTACCAGAAAAGTACTACATTCTGGCCTCCACCGCCTTCAGACCAAGCCACGATATCACGGTTATACGATACGACGCCGGCTTAGAACATCCAGGATTACTGTTTTGACACTTTACTCTTTCTAAACTCGCGAACCTTGAGGCCTTAAGACAAGACATAGCAGCTTTAGAACCAGGCGTCCCCAGCCCGCTCTCAAAGGATATAAAACTATCAAGTCCCAACTCCGGATTGATATTTCACCAGCAGCTCAGACAGCTAGACACTATACCTCTTCTGTAATTGATCTTAAATCTGTCGGTCCAATATTTTCGCAGAAGATACCACCCAAAAGGCTTTTTTGAGAGGTAAAATACCTTTGCCTCTGAGCGTTTGAACAACTTGAGCAGCCGGTCGGCCTCCAGTCACATATACCATCACCACTATCAGCACTACTGGCCATCCTCGGACTTACAAGATCAAGACGACCATTTCACAAGACCACAACTCCCAAATCTTATCCAAAAATTCTTCAATCCGCCGAGCAACTCTACCCAAATCATTTCATTTCCCTTCTCAATCCATCAGCTCTCAGCACCTCGTCTTCAAGCACATCTCAATCCAATCAGCCCTGAGAACTGAATCGAGTCCTCGAAACCCCTTCAGCATCGGAGAAGAATACATCAAGATCTCCTGGCGTCACAACTCCAACCTACGGCAGAACCAAAGTCGAGACCTTCTACAAACCCCACCATGTCTTCCTCGTCTTCGTCACCAGGAAATACTTCGACTGCTGGTTCCAACACTTCTCAACAGCTGCCTTATGCACCCTTTCCGTACCCCATGCCACCCAAAGGGCAACAACAGGGTGGTAATGGCAAATAAAAAAAATCGTTTTCAAACTCCCATATACTGCATCATATGGAGGTCTTGGTTCGATGTCGTTACTGTTTTGACGCAACGGTTAGACGTGGCTGACGTCTTCGCAGCCGTTTCTCGGTAGCGTGTCCCTTTTTTGATGGCTTGTTTCTGGTGGAGTTTATTGTGTATAGCTTGCGGGCATTGTATTCATGGATGTTGGATATACCCTTTTTCGTCTTTCGTTTATATCTCTTGGTTTTAGATCGCTTACAAGTCTCCGCTCTCTCGATTTTAGATCTCTTACAAGTCTCCGCTCTCTCGATTTTAGATCTCTTACAAGTCCCCTCTCCCTCGGTTCTTATATCTCGTCCAAGTCGCTTTACTTCTTTGTGTTCGCAATCTTCGCGTCCATGTTTATCCAATTTTTCTTTTGGCGCCGTCAACCTATGATCATCTATTTCGGTATCATGGCCATCATTCATGTCTGTACCTCCTACTTCATAGCTTGCGCGGATGCATCTAAAGGTCGGGATTTGTTTCTGTGGGGTACCGGTACCGTATGGCGTTAAAATAGACGTGTTTCTAGACCGGAAAGACTATGTATGCATGTAAACTCTTGGTAGCCCTAATGAGCACTCACAATCCATGAACAGGTCTAATTTTAGACAATCACTTGCAAAAGCGTGACGCTACTCCAACTTACGGACGGAATTCTGTCTTGGGGTCGAAAAGTGCTGGAGCACAATGTCGAGTCATGGTAATCTGCCAGGATAAGGCTTAATGTCATGTCAGTTGAGCGGTGGAGGGCGCATGACTAAGCAGGTGGAGGCATTGATTCCGTCATAGCGCCAACCCTACGTACTCTCCGCGAAAGTCCACGCGACTACCGTTATACATCCGGACCGCACGCGTGCTACTGTAGCGGAGACCTCATACACCTTCCCCATTTCCTGGATCTGCCTGTTTCAATCCTGTCGAAAAACGCTGCCCCGGCTAATCACACGCACTGCCGGCCTCCTAATCCTTCGACTAGACTGACACACGCCGTCTATCTCTCCGCTACAACGCTCTCCCATCGATCTAGGCGCTGTCCATCACACATTCCACCATGTCTCCTTCACGATCACGGAGTGCGATCCTTCCTCTTCTCGCCATCTCCTCACTTCTCCCCCAGTCCGCATGGGCATTTGACTGCAAAGACATCGCAGCACAAGGCGTCCATTTCAATTTCAAGGAATTAGGCGGCCCCCACATGGTTCACTGGAAGGAGGATGACTTAGAGCACGAGATATCCTACAAATACAACTTCACCATTGACCTGTGCAACTCGCTCAAATGGCACAAAGGTGGCAGCTTAGCAACTGAGTGCCATCACGGCTCAAGAGTTTGCGGTATTCGCGAACTGATATTCCTGGATTCGGAGAAGAACTCTACAATCACACCTATCGATATTGCAGGGACGTATAAGACACAAACTGGTCGCGACATCGACGCCAAGTTTGAGCTACTGCGCGACTCGAAAAGCAACTCTGATGCTGGACGCGAGGGTGTCCGGGCCATACTGAATGGTGGTCGCTTCCCTTTTGATGACAAGAAGAATGGGGTCGATCAGCGTGCTATTGTGGAATTTGTATGCGACAAGGAACGCTCAGGTCTTGAGGGCGACGAGAAGGACAACGGTGAGACCGAAGATGAACCCAAGGATGATGACAAGGGCAAGGAAAAGGATGGCGATGACAAGAAGGAGGAGAAGCTTAGACGGAGAGAAGACTCCACGAAGGGCAAATGCGAGGACAGCGACAACAGTTTGCGCTTTTGCGGCTACCAAATCGAACAGGCTAGCAAGGATAAGACAGCCCGAACTCTACGCCTCGAATGGCGCACCAAGTACGCTTGTGAGGATGCGCCAACTGACAGTTCGAGTTCATCCTGGGGCTTTTTCGGATGGTTCTTCATCATGTACGTCTCCACATCCCTCACCCTTCAAGTATTGTTACTGACAAGACCTAGCCTGTTCCTCGCAATCGCTGCTTACCTAATCTTCGGCTCCTGGCTCAACTACAACCGCTACGGTGCTCGTGGTTGGGATCTGCTTCCTCACGGCGATACTATCCGCGATATGCCATACATTGCAAAGGACTTTGCGAGAAAGGTTGTGGGCACTGTGCAGGGAAGTGGAAGCAGAGGGGGCTATGCTGCTGTGTAGAGCGCAACTCGTATCGTAGATGATGGCAAGGGACATGAGACATTGTAGAATAGGTGGTATTGCTAGGAGAGTTTTGGAGCTTCTTCATCATTCATGGCGTTCAGAGAGCATTTTACATATGACGCACCAGCAATCTTGGATGGTTTACGCTGTGTCTTTGTAGCCTTTTCTCTGTTTTTATTGCAATTCTAGGGACAACGTTTTGTTGATTGCCTGCTTGCCTGCGATGCTGCGACTGCCTTGTGCAGCCATGTCTTTGCTGGATGTTCTCTCTTACCATTGGCAGCCTATTTTCACAAACCTGTGCATCCATAACATGCAACAGGCTGAGTGCAGATGACGGAAAGATCTGCCTAACGTGAAGTATACCGATGATGCACTTCTGATTGGGCAAGCGCCTGCTTGTTGTAGCCGTGTGCTGCGCCTTCCTTCAGCCTTTATAACTCTTCGAGCCACCACTTCTTCTCCTTTCCATCATTCTACTACATCAGTTGTCGACACCATGGCAGAGATAGCCATCGGCATCATTTCACTCTCCATCCCAATCTGCCAAGGCCTCATCAGTTACATCGATGGCTTCAAGAACGCGAAGAGCAAGGCTGAACAAATCCGCTCCGAATCTGAGAGGCTGGCAAGTCTTCTAGAGCTACTCGATAACACTATCGGTAAACTGGATCATAACGAATGTGTTACCGCTAGTCGCACTGGAATCATTGCCTGCGCGAGTGCCTTGGAGTCGATAAGGAAGAGCGTGGGCGAACCCACCAAGGTTGTGGGATCGAAGCCACGATTTAGCTTCCAAGTTTTGGCTAAGCGCTTTGCTGCACCATTCAAGGAAGCAGACGTGAAATACAGGAAGGATGTGCTCAGCAGTATACAGCTAAGTCTTTAGACTGCTTTGCATGCACTGCAAAATGTAGTAGTCATATGTAGACGAGTTGCAAATCAAACGATCTGACAACAATATAGAGACCAACAACGGCGAGATGCTGAGAAAGTCGAATGTCTCATCACTCAGCTAGCTCGAAGCAACCACGACAGCATGCAACAAATTCTAACCCGTCACCAAGACTTCGCACAATCGACTTTATCATACAATGACGAGCAAAGACTACTATCGCAGCATGAGACTACTGCCAGTGAGCAACGGGTTGAGTCATTCCGACACGATATTGCGAGCGTACAAATGACTTTGCAATCCATGACCTCAAATATAGCACATTTGGCTACATTGTCATAACTCGGCCCTGTTTTGATGCGAGTGGTAAGTACCTCAGCCAGCATCGCCCGTCGACTTACTGATCTGCAGCTAGGCATCAAAGCTAGACTCGACCTCATCAGAATCCGCAACTCCAGCCCTCCAAACAATCTCACAGATCAGGCTTAGGAAGAAAATGCGACGACCCGAACCTAGACGCTGCAGTTGTCACCGTGACGGTGCATCCCGCACATTGCTTCGATGGCCCGTATCAATCGCACTTGCGTCGTCCTTTCGTCACAACGCAAATTGCCCTCTAGCAACTTCACAAGAAGTCATGAGGGACTTGAGACTTGAATTGTCAATCTATAGCTTCTTGCTAAGAAAGCAGTTCAAGATCGCGCTGGGATACCAAAGCAATGCGTCATCGATATCTATTGCGAATAGTCTGCAATGCATCCGATTCGTTACAAAAGACTCACCAGGTTTCAGACTATTGGAAGATTTGATCACGAGTAATGAGGGCAGCGAATGGAAGATTCATTTCTCCAAGCTTGATGACTGCGCGAACCGAATGTACAGACTTTTCGAAACGCGGCAGGCATCGCCAAGTGATCGTTTGCTCGACGGCCGCACACTTCTTCATGTAAGATTACCTACTTTGCATCTCCTTTTTCCACGTAACTTGTGATTGAACTATACATGCATACATATGTTAAGTAATGTTGTAGTTTGTGTGTGATATCACCACAAGATTTCTCTGGCGCCGCATATCCGATTCCCAGATTTCCGAGCAAGCGACAACGAAAACGAAAAACATGGTAGTTCAGCTTTTTAACTATATGCCTTTGCAAATGAATGAGACCGATAAACGCGGCAGGTACGTCTGAGTCTGGTCCGTTGAAGCTCCAGTACATGCTCACCTAGTCGATATTGAATACCTTCTTTTAAGTCTCAGAAAGCAGTACTGCTGACATGGTTTCCAGAACGGTCCTAGATTTTATTGTGACTTTCGTTCCCGGAGTTTATTTATCAGCTTTCCTGGATCTTTTCAGATATGACGTGCCGATCACCCGTCACCCTTCATCGATCATGTTGCCCATCACAGACGAAATGAGCCATGGTATACGATTAATCTTGCTGCGTGCAAGGGATGATTTCTACAGCTTCATACAAGAAACAAAAGGAGATCCGTCCTTGTTAGGAAACTTCACGCTGTATGAATTGGCAACTCGCGTCGGGTGGCTGGAAGGATGCCAAATTATGCACGAGGCTGGCATGAGCTTGAGAAAAGACAAAAGGCTCAATCGTCGGATCCTGATCATAGCAGTTTACAATGAAGATGCCAGTATGGTCAGATTTTGGCTGGGTGCAAGGAAGACAATGGACAAAGCTGGTCTCGAAGACATTGGGGACCTCGCCGAAGCTTACTGTCACGCCGCCAGCTGTTTTCCAAATGAAACTATACCGAACATACTTCTTGCTGATCTGGTACAGCAGAGACGTGCAATCAAGGACATGATAGAAAAGCATGGTGTCGAGCTTATGTGCAGCATGCGCCCAGACACATTACCAGATGCTCATGTGCACTGTTGTTTATCAGCGCTTGAAGAGCGAGGCGTTGAAGTCCCCGCTGCCTTGTATCCGATAACAGAAAGAGTTTATTGTGCACAAAATCTTAAAAAAGTATCCTATGCTGGAGCATATGCATTAGAACGACTATTCGATAGCGGATTCGAGGATGTGTTTGGCGAAAAGGTGCCGTGTCATCGCGGCACGGCGGGTCTCTCGCCTGTAGTATGCTTCGCAGCTTTTGTCAATCTTGGTAATCCACGTCGAATTGATGGCCACGATGTGCTTAAATGGCTTCTTGAAAAAGGTGCTAATCTGAAGGAGCGATGCGACGGCTGGAGTACAACTGCGGCACACTTCATTGCGGACCAGATCCACTTAGGCCCGAGACTGCATGATACTCTAGATCCCTTGGAAGTATCGGCCCTCCTTACAGATTCACCGGATGATTACACATGCTTTTGTAGCAGCAGAGGTTGTTTGCCCATAACTGCATTCTGGAAGGCTTCGTTCGTCAATGATATTGGGTATCGTACTAAAGAGGAGTCGAGCTTCACAGAATGGGAGGTCGAGAAGCAAAGATCATCCATACTGAGGACTATTGACAAGATCAGGAAATGCACCGATACGGGCACTCACAGGTGGATCATCCCAGAGATCATTCGCTCAATCCTGTTCTTATTGCTGGGCATGCGCCACACTTGTTGTAACATTGCGGACATCGCGTTTCAAATCACAAGGGAGACGGAGAAGGATCCGCAAGATCAGACGATAAGGAGAACATTAAATCTCGAAGATCGCTCAATACATCAGTCCGCAAATTACATCCAGCGCGTCAAGAAAGAAGATGCCTATCTTATCTCTCTGCTCGAACAACTTATCCCAGAATTCGACACCGCTTTCGACGCTTTCAAAGGCAATCTAACGGAGTTTGTGGATACTCAGATGTGGCCCAGAATGATGGATATCTTGCAAAAGCTGAAAGAAGAGGACAAAGTGAAATTCGGCCAAAAGAGATGGGAGATGGGCGTAGTGATGGAGACTGATGGTGAAGAGGACGACGAAATTTCAACGAATGAGGCAGACGATGAATCTGGCGTTCTGGATACAATTGGAGAGGATCTCGACTCTGAAGATGACTAGCTGCGGGGTTGAACGCTACGCTGGTCGCAGGTTTGCTTTCGGGACGTCGACTTGCATGGAGATATGCTGGACTGCTGAGCAGCTCGATTCCAAACGAGTGTATAATCTTCTATACTGTGGTGGGCGGATTCCTTTTGCTCCTGATGAGTTTTTTTTATCATGCGTGGGGAGATCACCTGCGAGCAGGACAGCTGTTACGGAGCCTTTTGCAAGTTTCAATTTCTTTCCTTCGATTTCACGCATCGCAGTGTAGAATCGAAATTGCGGTCGCTCCTTCTATCACTAATCATGGAATAGCTTTTGAATACAACATCTACATTTCGTACCCTTGACTAGATACCTTGACTACCGCGCCACTTGACTACAATCCGGCACCTGCAATGCATGTGGGTGAAAGGATGGAAGTATGTGTTAAGCTACCAAGCGTAGTCTTAGGTTTATTGCATTCATGCAGTTGAATGTGTTCTGCTAAAGGTTTGAACAACGTGGGAGCATGGTGTATATTTCGATCTTCAACGAATGATGTAACATTGAGAAGTGTAGGCCTAGATCAAAATGCGGATATTTGCCGTGTTGGATCCTACGTGGCTTGGTCTGGCGTTTCTGCCCCAGGCCGCTTTCCCACGACCAAGGGCCGTCTCACGGATTTCGTTTCTGCGAAGACGGAGGGCTTGAGATGGGTTTTCTTGGGCGAGTTGAAGGGAGGGGAGATGTAGCATCGATTTGAGAAATGTTTGTTATCGTATGATTGGGGTAGAGTATGAGCACTGATGTTCCTTGCCCTTAAGTCCATACTCACATCACATGTTCTAGTTCTTTTATATTTTGTCTTGATTTGTTCTTTGGATAAATTTTAGGTCAAACAATTGCTGGAGGTTGCGTTTTTGTCACTTCTATTGCCTCAAATGTTCGCCTCAACAACTGGTGACCCTCAATGTTCTACGTCTCTGCTGACTGCGAATTTCCCAGGCGAATTGCGTTCAACCAGAGTAGTTTTCTGCCTAGCCCTTTCACTACTGCGTAATCAAACGGTGCCATGTTTAATTTGTGATTGAGATTACAATCATCCTTCGACTAACCGTCTCGAGACGGCAGAGCAAAGTGAATCAGGATGACGTCGCAAATACAACAATACCGAGAATGCAGGGCCTGCTGATAACAAACCAAGGTGTTAACACTAATGAATTAGGCATATCAAACGCCTGATCAAAAAGGTGACCCAGACGAAGCTTCATGTCGTACGTACAGTCGGCAGGAAGGACGACTGCTTATGCACTAGCCCGAAGAGGCAAGGGGAGTTCTTCTGCTACCTATAATACCAGGCTGCCAACTGCCATTTCCCTTCTTCACTTTTCTCATCATCACGAAGCCGTGCAGCTATTCAAACCAACCAAGTTTAAAATCTTAAGAAATGCCAGGCCCAACTCCAAGTCACGATGGGTACCTTCCCTACTTTCTGCTGTTTGTAAGTCCACTGCATCCCCTTCCCAGACCACCACTGACACCACTCAGACAGCTTTTCTAGCCACTGTACATTCAGTCATCTGCTATGTCTCCCCACCATCCGCCGGGCTTCGCCAATTCTCCGGCCACCTTTCTCCGCCGCATACGCAGCTCCTGGCTCATGTGTACGGAGTGAAGAACATCTACACCAGCCTGATTCGTGCATATGCTGCGTTCAACGTCAACAATCGCGCGCTGTACGACTTGGCAACATCCACCTACGTGCTGGTTCTGTTTCTCTTCATCACCGAGTTGACGGTGTGGAAGACTGCGCGGGTGCGGGAGTCGGTCTTTCCTTTTCTCAATGCGGGGGTTGGCCTGACGTGGATGATGGCGGCGAGGGGATGGTACCTGGCAAATTAAGAAGCTGACAAGGTTGGCCAATGGGAGCGTACATGGAACAGCTGTTGTTGGCCCGTCAAATAGAGCTGCAGGATGCAGATTGGGGGCGGCAGAGCTGAATGAGCGGTCGGAGTCCGTGGAGCGGCATTTCCCTCTCTCTCTCGGGCTAGAGCTGGATTTGAAGGCACCACAATGGAATGTCGCATGATAATGGGGCCACAAGAAGTGGCAGAATGATTCAATTCATAATAATTTGAATGACAAGGGACCTGCAGTATTGATATTCGAATCTAGTCGCCGTGATACTATGCTGAGATTATGTTATACATCCTTGTTCCAGCCCCCATTCTCCTTGAACCACTGGATGGTCCTCCGAATTCCCTCATCCGTGTCGAACTCAGGCTCATACCCCAACACATTCCGTGTCTCACTGATGTCGAACCAGCCGCCCGTCTTCATATACTCGAAAGTCATGGTACTGGCGCTTGGCCTGACCATACCGAGGGTGAAGATCCAGAACAACCACTCGATAGAGCCAACGGCAAATAGCACCAACCAGAAGGGAATCTGAATGACCTTGTGCGGCCCATCTGGAGCCCAATTTGCGTCTCCTGCCTCCTCCCAGATCTTGCGGGTGAAATCCCAGAACTTCTTGGGTTTACCGTCGGATACAAAGAAACCTCTGCCATCGGCTCTCTCGCCAGTTGGGTTTACGAGCGCTTTCGCAGCGAGGACATGTGCTCGAGCGCAGTTCTCCACATGTATCCAGTCATGAACGAGCGTATTGGGGCCGAGCTGGAACTTGGTATTTGGTGTATTGACCAATTTCAGCATCTCCACCACCGTGAGGCGATCTCGGGGCCCGTACAGTCCCGTAACACGGAGGACGGTTGTGAGGAGCTGGTTTTCGTAGTTGCCAGAAGTATTGTCCAGAGCTTCTGGGGTGTTGGCTTCTCTCATGAGCCTGTCGACAGCAGCTTTTGTGCGAGAGTACGCGTTTGGTCCCGAGTGAAGGCTGTGTAGAGTGACCTCATCTTCACGCATTGGTCGGGTGTTGTCCTTGGGTGTCATGTTCATGCCTTCTACGGTCCCTGTGTACACTACTGCTTGTATACTTGGATGTTTGCGCGCCTCAGCGATGAGCTGCTTTGAAAGGTCGTAAGTCACGCGGCGATGGGCCTCTGGAGATGCGAAGAAGCCAGGCCCAATTGAGTGTATGATGATGCGTGGCTTGACCTTGTCGAGAAGCGCTCGGAGCTGGGTGGAGTTGCTGATGTCGCAATCATGATAGATGACTCCAGGAATCTGGCGATTGGGAGTAACTTGAGGTTCGACACTGGACACAACTTGGGAGAAGTCTGAATCATTAACTAGAAGTTCGACAATGTACGATCCAAGCCACCCAGCACCACCGGTAACCAGGATGGTACCAAGGCTGCCTCCACGCGACATGGCCGGCGTCTGCAATGGAGAAAGCTGGATGCCAATGGTATTTATGTAAAAGGGGAGGAAGGGAAGGATGGAGGATCAGTGTAATCAGCCACTCGACAGAAAGAGTTGTTGCAAACGGCGCTATGGGTGGCGTGGTAATCTATGCGGTGATGGTGGGTGGTGACACAAGAGTAAGCAGAAGACAGCCCCGCGCCTAACACCGATGGAAGGAGGAGCCTTACCTACCATACCCACTCACCAGCTGCCCACCCCGGCTTGCAATGCCCCGGCGACCTCGATGATGCAGTGGTACTGGCTAGATGGTCCATCTGAAGCAGCTTACTTCGCTGCTATAATACATCATGCGGCTCTTCCTCCCGCCCGTGAACCAGGCGAGTACCCGTGAAGGATTAAGTAGCCACCAACGCCAGCGTAAAACGTCCGCAGTCTCTGTCAGATTTCCTCTGTCAGATTCCTACTTTCACTTCCATCATGGCTGTTACGAGACTACCTCGAGCTGATGTGCCGTCGTTTGATGCGGAAAAGCAACACAAGATTGATCACGCTGGCAAGATAAACCGCAAGTCTTTTGATGTGAGCTCACTCTTATGATGTTTCTCCAACCAGAAACATCCCACTGATACCTACTCTATAGGGTCTGCTTTGGAGCTTCTTGATCATTGCTGTTCTTGCTTGCGGAGCTCGCCTCATCTTTCGATTCAAGAAACAGCGCAAGTTCTTCGCCGACGATGCTTTTGTATTCTTCTCCACCCTCTGCCTGATCGCCAACACGGGCGTCATGTGGCATGCCGCAGACAAGATGTACATGATCGAAGCTGTCAACTCGGATCCAACCATAACATTCACAGTCCCTGAGCTTATTCCTCTCCTTGACCTCAACAAGTGGATCTTCATCTACTTGGCCCTTGACTGGACTGCAATCTATGCGATCAAGATGTCCTTTCTCATTTTCTTTCGCCCACTCATACGGAACCTGTCAGTATCTTTGCATCGGTTTTATTGGATTTGTTGGGTCATCAACGTAGTCGCCTGGATGTTCGTCGTAGGCGAACCGTTCATCTTGTGCCCCTATTTCGGCATGGAAGCCAGTAAGACTACTGCCCACATAATGCCTTTGAAAACAGCTGATCCTCACAGTGAAATGCTATCCAAATACGCAGTTCAAATTGAACTTGGCGATGAGTATCCTTACGCTACTTTTGAACATCACAACTGATATAATGAGTATGCGTTCTCTGATTCCCTGGAACAATCTAGCTAACGATCGCAGTCATTACGATACCATTACTGTTGCTGCGCTTGTCTCAAATGCGAATTGAGCAGAAAGCGAGTATAGCATCTTTCCTCTGCCTATCCATCTCGATGATCATCATCACAATCATCCGCTTAGCCGGCGGTCTGCACGAGAGCGTGCGCGGAGAGCGAGAGTTCAGTCTTGTCTGGACACACATCCTGTTGCACGTCGAATCTGGTGTCGCTATACTCATGGCATGCTTGGTTGCATTCCGCACTATATTCGCAAATCAAATCGCTCAGCTTCGACACGACGAGTCCACTTCATGGTACCACCGATTGATCACTCGCATAAGGGGCGGTTCGAGTGCGAAGCAGTCCAGGGAGTCTTCCGGTGAACACTCTGTGCATCCACATGTTTCAAAGGGCCCTAGCACGCGTATCACGATGCAAAGCTTACGCAACTTTATCCGCGGCGATTCCGCCAGCCGTGGCATGACAACTCTCGGATCCGTTTCGGATCCCGTTGAACAGTATCACGAGTTTATGAGGAACGATGCGCGTCGAAACGAGAGCGGCAGATCGACCAAGGCTGTGAGTTTACGTACCGAATACTACCGTACTTTGGCGTGACACTACTGACGCTTGCAAGCATGTCCCACTTTCCGAGATCTCCCCCAACTCGACATCGAGGATGGTATGATTGGCGCGTATCTCGCTGTGAGCTCGTGATCTTCGCAATCAGCTACTGTACACAGTGTTGTTTTTAGAATTTCGTTTTGTACATATAGACACACGCATGGAACATTTGCAAGGATACCAGTATCAAAAAGTAACAATACAAAAGCACACTTCTACACATTTGCCTAGCGAAAACCACCCCATCCTGCCCAAGTGAAACGAACTTCTGGAGATTTTACGCGCCCGGAGACAATCTTGCTGACCTACGCTGACCTAACAGATCTATGGCACACACGTTGGCTGGGTCTTGAATGGCTGCGGACAAGATAGAGTACGCAGTGGCTAAATCCGAAGATGTGCATGCTAATCTATCATCGGTCAGCGAAAAGTCTTGCGAACGCGGACGTAGACAGCGTGGGGAAGTTGGCCAAATATTCCGACTACACAGCCTCGAAGCGTCTTCTTCTATTGGGTGGCATGCAGTCAGCCGCTCTCAAGTCACCACAGTCTGTCTTGGGATTGGCGGACTGGGTTCAGTTGCTTACGTTCATCACATTCACATGTTATGGATTGGAGTAAGCCGAGTCTCGCAGCTGTGGAGACACACAGTAAGGCTCACACAGGCTTACCCTACTGCATTCCTTCATTGTCGCAACGGCTGTGATGCATCCGTACGACTTCAGTCAGCAATGCGATGGTGGCTGCAGTATGTACCTTGTCCAAATGTACCGGTAGTGCCCCACCTCCTTTAGTGAGCCCGATCATCCTCTACAGGCTACCGGTAGTATACCTATTCCAGTCGCTTTCCATTGCCGTGGGGAATCTGAGTCAGCATACACATATTAATTTCCTCGACATATCGGTAGCTGATCAGATCATGACGTTTGTCAGATCCACCCCATCCCAATCTACAAGGATCTAGCACTCGGAGCGTTTTGGTTCAGCCACAGAGGTGAGAACCTTATCCCAGCTCGGCTGGCTTTTTTTTTTTGATTGCAGCTGCTCAACTTCACTTCACGATATCATGCTTTTGCATATCCAAACGGACTCCGAGCAAACAACTGTGCCGCAATCAGGCTGCCATGTTACACGACGTGGCTCAGCCTATGCCAGACGGCCCGTGCCACAGTACGCCCCCAAATCACAGGCCTGGATCACGGTCGACCGCTCCTACGTCTTGCAGATGTTTGGGAGGCCTTGGGAAACCGCACAATCTGCCTGGTAGGTGCAGTCGAACCTTTTTCTTCCTAACAAGATACGGATTGCGCTCGACCGGGTAATTATCCTTCACCATCTTGTGCTCAGTTATTGGAGTCGCTCACCTGTGATACTGAATCACGTGCATCTAGGGAACTATGTCTGCTCCAAGCAACCACGATGACGGCTCTTCATGGTATACCTCGAAACTATGCCTCGTAGGCGTGGTGCTACTCTGGTGCGGCTGGAGGCTTTGGACCTTTACATTGTCACCACTCTTGAATCCCTCACAACCAAAGACTCTGCCATATTCCATTCCATGTAGGTTTTCAATTGCAAGATCTGCCATGTTTACTAACATTCAAAAACAGGGGTTGGCCACATTGCAAGCTTTGTCCGTAACGGCAACGGCCTTATCACCAAAGGACGGTGAGGAGAATCTGTCTGATATAATAGCAACAAACAGAAACTAACATCCACACGAGGTTGCACTTTGGGAACAAAAGAGAGCCATTCGCGCTCGTCCTTGGTGGACAATACGTCTACGTCATCACCTCTGCCAAAGACGTGACTGCCATTTTCCGCAACACGACTCAACTCACATTCGACGCCTATGTAGAAGACATGCAATTGAGATTCGGCGCCTCCCCAGCCGCTGTCAAGGCCATCTGGGCCAAACCACAAGACTACTTCCTCCAAGATCGACTCAAAAACGGCGGCTTTCCCAACCCACATGGAAAAGCACTCGCCCATGTGTCCGAGGCAATCTTCAAGGCGCAATTGTACCCAGGCGACAAGCTAAACGCACTCTCGACCAAGTTTTTGAACACCATCATGGAGCGCGCAAATTGGGAATCTACCTCCAGCTCAGTAATTCTGGAGCGAAATCACAATGACACTGAACGCCTGGTCTCGCTCCATCGCTGGACTCGAGATGTGCTCTTGTACGCCGCGACCAGGGCTTTCTTCGGAGAGGCGCTGTTCAAACTCGATCCCAACGTTCTCGATCACTTTGCGGAGTTTGACGAGGATAGCTGGCAGTTTACGTACCAGGTGCCCGAGAGATTTGCGCGCAAGACTTACCGGGCAAAGGCAACGACCCAGAACGTGTTTGATCGCTACTTCGATCTGCCCGCTAGTGAAAGGAGTGACGCGAATTGGATGATTCTTACGCTCGAGTCTGAGATGCGAGCTATTGGAATTGAGTCGCGCGATATCAGCGCGTATCTGCTCATGATTTACTGGGTGTATGTTTTACTGCCTCGAAAACCAGCAAGCAAGAATTTTGCTAACTCAAAGCCACAGAATCAATGGAAACGCTTGGAAAGCCGCCTACTGGCTCTGCAGCTTCATTCTGTTCAACCCAGAGCTCAAAGCATCTCTTGAGAGAGACCTCAAGCCCCTCTTCCAAGACGACAAGATGCCCGAACCCAGCCTTTTGATGAAGCATATGGAAAGTCTCCCCCATCTTATGGCTGCTTACAACGAAACACTGCGCATTTGCACTTCTTCAGTCACAGTCCGCAATGTCCTGGAAGACTGCGTAGTCGGAACTTCGCGGTTCCAAAAGGGCTCCCGCATCTTGATACCCTTCCTACAGATGATGATGGACGAAAATGTGTTCGGCGCCAGACCAGAGGAGTTTCGACATGAGCGCTTCTTGGAGAAGCCGTCGCTGGCAAAGGATCCCAGTTTCCGGCCTTTTGGAGGCGGTCTGACGTATTGTCCGGGTCGGTTCATGGCCCAGCATGAGATTTTCATGCTTGTGGCGTTGGCTTTTGGCAGGTTTGACTCTACGCTTCCGGAGGCGGAGCAGCAGTTTCCGCAGATGGAGACGAAGAAGCCGTGTTTGGGTATGATGGGACCTGCTGCTGGGCATGATTTACATGTTACATTACGTAGACGGGACTGAGGGTGCTGAAGCTGACGTTTTACTTGTTTGTATCTCTTCTAAAAATGCATGCTGCTTCGCTCCCACAAATTTAACTACAGTTGACCAAAAAAAAAGACAAAACTACAAGATCTGTCTCAATGCAACCCACCAAGCCAACGTGGAAACATCCATACCCCCACCCCCAAAATATCCCTCCCAAACCGCCAACCCACTAACCGCAATCGAAACCAAAAGCGCAGCCCTCGGAATCGCAAAATCCAGAGCGAGATTCGTCGCAGCGCCATCATCATCATCATCATCACTATCACACACACTACCCGACTTGACCGATCCCTCCATCCCCCTCACATAACCAACCACAACCCCAATAACCTTCTCCACCACCACAAGAAGACACACCAAAGCAATCCGATGCGCGGATCCCCGCGCCGACGTACTCCCAAGTACATCTGCAAGTCCACGACTGCGCAGCAGCGTCGTAGGATGGTACGCCAGTATCAAGGGATACTCAATCGCCGCATCGACACAGAGCGCAGCGTGACGCAGGATATTTGCTAATTTCGAGTCTAGGATTTCCTCGCGCGGAGGCGGGGTAGGTTGGGGTTCTGCGAGGGACTTTTTGCTGCTGCTGTTGTGGTTGCGGTATAGATAGTGGAGTCGTGGGAGGACGATTTCGGTGAGGAGTTTGGCGGAGGTGATTTGTACGGCTGGGGGGGCGGAGGGATTGGTTAGGTTTGTGATTTTTGGAGGGGGAGGGGGAGGGGTCGTACGGATGAGGATGAGGGGGTTTGTGTAGTGCATTATGAAGAGGTTTTCTGAGTTTGCCATGGCGTGAGATGTTCAGGTTGGGGTTGGAGTTGAACTCGGAATCGAAATGGAAATCGAAGTTGGAACTGAAGTTGACTAGGTATCACCCAAGAAGAATGAAGGCACCAGTAGATGATAAGACAAGAATAAAAAGCCAACAACCTACCTCTACCTATATTCCCCTAGCGGACGCCCTCGCATCATCTCAACCCATGATACATCTGCAAGCCCGAGACAAGCCCAGCGGCAATACCTTCGGACCCCGGGGCAAAATCAGCCTAGCATGCAAACCGTCCAGCTGATTGCCAGAGCACGTATTCTTTTCCTCTTGGCCCCCACACGCAGATAATCATGGACCGGCCTTTAGTCGACCGGTGGGCCTGTGGTCTGGCGGCTGCGATACGGTACTGCGCCTCTTTTTTTCCATGGTTTCCGCTTACGGCAGAATATAGGTAGATGTGTGTTTTTCATGGCTTATAAGAGCGTCTTGGGCTCAGGGGATAATTTTTTTTTGGTCGGTTCAGACGGAGAGAAGATTGTTTGTACTTGTTGTATTCATTATGCTGTTTCAAATTCGACCTACTTTTGGTGTGTGCTTGATAGCGGTTTGGCTTCTGTGGCGGTTGAATAGTATTCTTCATCATGGAAGTGTTATCAAGGTACGCATCAATTATTCGTTTCTCATTTCACATTCGCAAGATCTAACAGACACTCACAGCGTCCAAATATCCGCTTCATAGAGCTGCCAACTCGGTTGGGTCAAGCTCTAAGTAGTTTTCTATACCTAATCAGCGGCCCAAAAATGCTCCTTCGTGCATATGTAAGTCCTACATCCTCTAGAAATTCTCAGATGCAACTAATCGTCCTGGAAGCAAGGGTCTGGTTCTCCTATAGCGTTGCGGACTCCAGAAGGCTACTACATACACATATCATCCACAGCGCACATCAATGAGCTTCTGGGCGCACCAGAAGGAACGTTCTCATTGCATGCTTTGTCAAAGCTGGTATGTTCTTTGATGTGTACGATCTGCCACGATTGCTTACCGAAGGGATCAGATGCTGCAGCCACGACACACGATGAATGGCCTGGAACTCAGCGATGACATGGGCGAGAACGGACACATACATCTCCGCATCATCGGTGTTGTACATCGCAACAAACTAGATGCTTTAGAGCCAGCACTTCACCACGCTGTATCGAGCGTTCTTTCAAATGCAATCAGTGACGAATGGACAGAACTACCCATTTTCGAATTTTCGAAGAGAGTGATCCTAGTTGGGAACTGCCTGGCCTTCTTTGGAGATAAACTGGCATCAGATCCGGATTTCGTCGAGGCAGCTTTGCAGTACCCCGAAGATCTCTTCAAGACCGCGGAGGCGCTTCGCTTGCTGCCAGGTTTCGTCGCACCTTGGGTGGCCCCGGTGTTGATGAGACACCACCAAGCATCCAAACTTCTCACGCAGAAGCTGCTGGATCTGATTGAAGAGCGTATTACCGAAAAGTCCACGCCGTCCAAAGCCTCGGATATCATCCAGCTCTTCATCGATGGAACCAGGAGCCGGGATGGATGGACGCCGACAAAAATAGTCCAGGTCATTCTCGGTATCTGGTTCGCTTCGATCCACCAGCCGGCAATGAGTCTCGCATATGCATTAAACGACATCTGCCGTGAGGGTCAGCACCTCGCCGCATTACGACATGAGCTCGGCTCGGTTTTGCCGACCAACACCAATCCACCACTCGGAGGGATTGATAGCTTGCCGTTACTTGATGCATTCCTAAAAGAGTCGGCGAGGTTACATCCATCTGACTCCATCTCTTGCCGCCGAAAGGTACTCAGGCCATTCAAGTTCACGGATGGCACCACCGTTGCGAGTGGTGAGGTGGTGTGCGTTCCCATGAACGCGGTTCTCCGGGACCCTGCCAATTATTATCGCAGCAGCGAATTCGATCCTGGTCGCTTCCTCGCACAGGGATCCAAATTTAGTGATGCGACACCTGAGTTTCCCCTGTGGGGATTGGGACGGCACGCCTGGTAAGTTTTCAAAGCCCTGGTTCTTAGCAGCCCTCACTGACGGTGATTCATCTGCGGCCCGGGCCGTCACTATGCTTCCCGCATCCTAAAGATCGCAATGGGCTTGCTCTTGCAAGAATACGATGTCAGACTGCCGAGCGGCAGTGAGGATGGATTCAAGACCTTGTCATGGCGTTCGAGTGTCATCCCCCATCCTAACGCGAAGATGCTGTTTCGCAGAAGGAAAATGGTATGGTAAGCTACAGATGCGGTGCAACATTGAAGATCTGGGGGTGGACAGGTCAAGCGAACAATCTGTATCTGGCTGACATGCAGGAAGACTGCCTTGTGTCGTTGTCTAGTCTAGATAGTCAGCTGATGTTGCATATGCTTGTTTGAGCACAACTATCCTAGATCCTTTCAGCGCTTATGATCCTGGAGATGCAAGCGATCGAAGAGGATTATCATGAAATTTTCACATGTCAAAATACGCGCATAGTGTGCTCCTGATGACAATGCGGAGTAGTTCGGATGATACGAACAAAGACTCGCTGTAGAGTAGTACCTGCTCCGTCTCATAACTACCGGTAGCCGTGTGCAGGCCTGAGGTTTTGCACCAGACCGTGGGCCGAAGGTGAGTAGAACGGATTCTCATGGATTGGATGTAATCCATAGCCAGGAAGTTCATTTAATAAAAATCGCCATTTAGTTCAGAAGAGAAGATGATCCAATCTGGCGCCACGGTCTATATGTTCTCAGTAGGGTAATGTAGGTAGGTCCTGGCAAGAGACCTACCTCAACCAAGGCGTGTAGAGGTCGGAGCACGTCGAGATGGCTGTGAAAGCTGAGACGTTCATCCATAAGGTATGTTAATCTGCATCTGCACTTTTGAGTAGGGGATAATCAAGCCTGTACAAGGAGGTGAGATGCAAAAGCGCGAGTTGGTGACGGCGACGAGGAAAGCTGGGTGTGACATCAACTCAGCCCAGGTTACTGTACCGTGGTATCGATAAGAGCGCGTGTCCCCCCATGCAACCTCAGCGCGTCTCATTCACTCGACCCGAGATCCCAGCCCAGACATGTGAAGCCTGGCGCCACCACTCTGCGCGTCGCAAAACCATGTACCACCTCTTCAAATCGCTCTACCTCCATGCCACCAGCAAAGAAGGTTCGCCTTAACCCCGTCCTTGCCCATTGCCCATATACACCACCTCCTTGACAGAAACTCTGACTAACCGACCAACCAACCCGCCAGAATACTCCGTCCTCCTCCTCGGCCTCGACAATGCCGGAAAAACCACCCTGCTCGAACAAATAAAAGCCACCTACACGCCCTCTCACCCCAACCTAAAAACCGTGCCCACCGTCGGCCAAAACGTCGCCACCATCGCCCTCCCACCCCCAAACCCACCCATCTACCTCAAGATATGGGACGTCGGGGGCCAGCATAGCCTGCGCGGGCTCTGGCAAAGCTACTACAGCAGCTGCCACGCCATTGTCTTTGTCATCGACAGCAGCGACGTCGGCAACGCGACGCTGGCCGATCTGAGCGCCGTCGACGCCGCGCGCAACGAGGATATTGGCCGGCTGGACGAGTGTCGGTTGGTGCTGGAGAGTGTGCTGGCGAGTGAGGAGGCGAGTGGGGTGCCGATTTTGATTCTGGCGAATAAGCAGGATAGGGAGGATTGTGTCGAAGTGGTGCGGATCAAGGAGGGCTTTGTGAGGAGGGTGTTTGAGGGGGACAAGGGCGGCAATGTGAGGGATAGTAGGGTCTTGCCCTGTAGTGCGCTGACGGGCACGGGGGTCCAGGAGGCCGTGGAGTGGCTTTGCAGTAGAATGGCGTTTAACAAGGAGGCGAGACCGCCGGTTATGCGGTGAGAGCTGCTGTGATTCCCCATGACAGCAATAGCGAAATTCGTCATGGATGAAGCTCAAAGCTGGCACGACCACATCCCATTGTGTCCTCGGCCCATTCGCCAGCATTTAGGGTTTAGAGGTGTACGGTAGAGTCAAGCATGCACAAGAATAACATGGTACCACCTCAAACAATTAGCAATCATCATGATTTCTGATTTTTTCCATAGCTATCCTCGTCCGGCCAGGTCCTGCGAGCATGTCATCATACCCCCTCAAAAAAAGGAATTCCAAAGGATCATGGTGCTCTAACAGCGACATGAATTGCTATCACACGCAGGGTTTCCCGTAAGATGAACGGATACGCTCAATGAATTAGGATGGGCTGAAGCTGAAGCTAGACACCATCTCAAACCAGCGCGGATGCGCCATCTTAGCCATGCAGTAGCAGCCCTTCCCAGTGCCGAGCGTTATAAAACTCGAGACTAGGATCCATATGACCAAAGATGGTCACCATTTCCAGCATAAAATACATTACAAAATTTCTCTACACATCGAAAAGCGCCCACGCAAGAAGCTCAATCTGGCAGTGCCAGTGCCGCAAGGAATGGAAAGAGGCCTTCAACCGCTGCTATAACGTTAGTACTCATAACCTACACTCACAGGAGAGCACGAAGCAACTCTACTGACTTGCAGAAGCCTGATCAGCCGCCCTATCCGAGCGACGTATGATACCAGTGAAGCGTCCTGTACCGCCGGGAAGTAAGCCATCGAACTCCGCTGCCTTCGCTGCTTCTGTATCCTCCCACCCAGTTCGAAGATTCCAGCCGGCCTCGAGCGCAGCAAGTTCATCTTGGTTGACCATCTGAACGATTTCGCCGAGGTGGGCCCATTTAGAGCTGAGCATGGCTGGGTCGAGAGCAACATGGCGCTTTTGAAAGATGGGGGTATTCGCAGTGGCGGCAGCCAGGACGTTGTCATTTCCGATTTCGTTCTGCTCCAGTGCGGCATGAGGCAACCTTGCGTAGCCACAAGATATGAACTCGATGTTCTGGAGTGAGGTAGTCCGCTGAGGATCGGCTTGCGAGTGCTCGGAACCAAAGTCGGAAAGATTTGGCCCAGGGGAGATCTGATCAATGATGTCCATCCAAGAACCCATACGTGCTTTAGCCCCCAGAGCCGAACGAGGAGTGGTGTGCTGATGGGCGTTTGTTATTGGTGGAGGCGGCCCTTGCACCACATTGACCTGTTGCTGCATGGCCTGTACCTGCATGGCGAGGTTCATCATAGCAATGTTACTGTTGACAGTGAGCATGGGAAAGGCTTGTGGGGGGTGCGGAGCTTGGAGCTGGCCAAATGGTCCATGGGGGGCGTGTTGAGCAGAGTGGGTGAGTGTCGGCGGGTTCTGCTGCTGCTGCTGCTGCTGTACTTGCTGTTGCAATTGTGTCTGAAGGGCCGTGATCTGTGTCTGTTGCTGATGACCTCCCGCATTGGCTTGCAGCTGTTGTAATTGGAGCTGAAGAGTTTGGACATATATCTGGAAGAATTGCTGCTGATTAGCGGGTATGTGCGCCGGTACCTGAGGTGTCGCCTGGCCACCGCCATTTCCATGGTTGTGCATCATATTCCACATAGCTGGAACAGGAAGGGGGCCCAGGTTTGCATTAGCAATCACCGGTGCTGGAGGAGCTTGTCCTGCGTTTGCTAGGGGCCTTAACATGGCTGTCAGAGAAACAGATTCCAATGTCAAGTGCTTGAGGCTGTAGAAGTCGTGGACTTTGATAAAATGCAGCAGTGCTGGTGGTGTAACCCAGCAATTCTTCAATGTCAGTTTCTCAACTGCAGGCAGATGAAGAGTTGCTGGTCCGAGCCGCTGCGCATTGGTTGCAACAAGCAATTCAGATGTGAAGGCTGCATCGCTCTCTCGATCAGCTCCGAGTTGCATGAGAGGGGAGGGTAGCAGGAGTTTATTTCGTCCATGGAGCCCTTCCTCATGCTCTCCACCGGTCACCCAACCGATAGTCAGGTTTTTGATCATTGGGCATGTCGCGACTTGAGTACGCAACATGTGGTGGAACCGATCGACACCTAACGTAGGATTGACACTCGGCGTCTCCACAAACCCCGCCTCGTCCTTGTGAACAGTTCTCCAGCTCGGCAAGACCATAAGGACGACATTGGCCAGACATGGCAAAGCTGCCCAGAAGTCAGGTCTGTCCAGCGCGGACAGATAGCGGTCTGACAGTCGGGAAATCGTCAAGGTATTTACAGCACAAAAAGTGGTCGGATTGTCGATAATCGAGAGCATGTAGGATGACATGAAGGCGCGTTGTGCCCATTCGGACTCGAGTAACCACTCCTTTTGTGCTTTGGTAAGATTGGCTGGCACCACTGGACTCATAGCCTGTCCGCCATCTGTCGGCGTAAAGTTGGACGTGAACAAGATTCCTGTACTGTTGGTCGAAGGAGGCAGAACTAGATGATCGAGGTCTCCCGCTTCGTCACAAGACGTAGAGATGTTTCCTTCGGCAGTATCATGTGGCAGAGCTTCATGGATCAGACGTGTATCCATGTATGGCAACGCGGGTTGGTGGTCCGCCAGCATAGTAAGCTCTTTCAGCTCGGACCAGGCGCGTGGGCTGTCCAGCCTATAGAGCGTTGCCAACCGTATGTCGCTATTAGCCTGCTCATGACATGCTTTCAGAGCGTCCCAGAGTTCGTGCTGAGCCTGAACTCGTCGATCGGGCACGGCTTTGCTGTTGCCAAAGACTGGATGTGGCCTGCTCAAGATGCGTGCACGAATGGATCGATCTGGACCATTCAACCAGCCGAGACCGCCGTCGACGGATAGTGCGAGTTCTCGGACATTGCATAGCTCTGAAAACGCGATTTTCATACGTGGCGTTTCATCAGCGGCAGTCTCCAAGCCAGCCACTGCATCGAAGCGGCGATATTCTTCAAATGGCCAGTCATATCGACCCCAAAATGTAGTCTTGCTCTCGGTCATCGTCTTTGCTGGCGGCGTTGCGAGGGTCTGTTCGTCCACTTCAAAACTCATGCCGTATTTTCGAATATGTTTTCCAAATCCTCTGAATACATCTAGGCCATGGCCATTGTATACCTCGTCGCCATTGGCATTCTTCCAGGAGTAGCCCGGTTTGTCAACCCTGGCCCTCTTTTTGCCCTTGAGGTCTGGCTTCGGCTCTGGTTCAAGCATGCCATAGATTTCCGTGTTAAAAGGAACTACCACTGTCTTGAAAATGACCTGCGAGACATAACGGTTCAGCTCTTGACTGACGAGACGCAAAGCTTGGATATCGTCGCGGTTGAGATGGCTAGCAATTATCTCGACTAGTTCAACAGGGAGATTCCATTTGGGACGACCCTCAAGTTTTGCAGAGGCTCGGTCGTTGTCATTGGGTGGCGTTGAAGCGGCTGCTTCCGACTCTCTCTCCGCATCCTTGCTATTTCGTTTCCCGCATGAATCGGACGGGGACGGATTGTTTCTGTTAAGCATGTAATAGTGGGCGGGTAACTTTGTAGCGCTCCGACAATCCGGCCAAATGTCATTTGCATCTGTGTTGGGGGCTATGCTATTATATGACATGACTGCAATAGCCCCCTTGGTCGAGAGCGCTTTCGCAAACTGATCGCCCGCGTTGTCGTCATTTCTTTCCCGAGAACATCGCCTCTGGTCACGAGGTGTGGTGCGGTTATTGGGGTGGTGGGAGCCGAAATTGGCGTTCATGTCGTCAACAGAGCGATTCGTACTACTAGATGGGTAGAATATACTATGGAACTCACTGTCACCGGAAGCGGAAACACGTGTTCTTGAGGCGGAAAAGGAGCCAGATGGAACAGAGATTCTCGATTCCAGGCTTTGCTCACTCTGGTCCCATGAATCGACGAAGGGTGAGAAGGGAGGTGAGTGGAGTTGGCTGGTAATCTGAGGAGGGCCTTGCTGCGGACCACGGGAAGACGAAGAAGAAACTGCAGTGAAGTCGCGTTGGACTGGAGGCTGAGCGCGACCACCGAGGAAGCTCCTGGCACTACTTCTCAGTGATGGTGATGGTGATGGTGATGCTGAAGCAGAGAGGTGGGTGGGCCGCTGGTCACTCTGGGAGGTGAAGTATTCGAGCAAGCCGCGCTGATCGCTGCTGGGACGATCTCGTGTATGGACAGAGCGCAAGCGACGGTTATGACGAAGGCTGAATGGTCGTGCAGGGGCAGAGACTACGACTGGGAGCTAGCGAGGGTCAACATGAGGTTTTCCGTGGACAGTCTTGGGGTGAGGGAGAGGCCATGGAGGTGGGTGGAGGGTGGGCAGATGTGCATGTTTGGGCTGGCGCAGAATAGGGACTGCTTTGGCTCATACAAGCAAAGTACTGCAAGGGAACACAGGCAGGTAGTGTACGGTAGAGAGAGTAACGCACCTGTTCAGCCATGTCTGCCATCAAGTTGTCGTCGTCGTCGACGGCGGTCTGAGACCTGTCGTGTGTTCTGAGCAAGCGCTCTGCCCATCGCGTTGGCCGCGGGGGTGAAGAGGGATCCATGCCGTCGCCTGGACTGTCCTCCAATTGAGGGGGTGCAGGAACAGTTGGGTGGATTGGATCAGTTGGATCGGTCGGGTCGGTTGGGTAGAATGGGTTGGTTGGCTATGTTGTGGAGGAAGTGGGTGGGTGGTGGTTGCGATGGTTGCGGAAGGTGGGCGTACAAACGGAGGAGTGACGATGGGCGTTGTTGCCAGTGTCGCCAGGCGAGGGCAGTGGAGGAAGGGGCGAATGGCAGTCTGCTGCACATGAGGCAAGACAGGCGATGAAAGAACAAGGACTGGCTATGTGTCGACTTTAGGAGTTTGTATCAATTTGGAGTATGGAAGAAGACGAGATTGTACTGTAGCGCTGCTCTACAATGATAATCGGTATACCGGTAGTCACTGCAATAACGTGCGGCGGGCGCTATAATACCGCCCCACCTCCGAACCCCGCCGGCTCTCCCCCCCCCCTCAACTCTGAACTCTAAGGCTGTTTATTGAAGCGCACAGAATGCAGCAACTCAACACTCGTCTTGCCACTTGCACCCGTTCAGATACGTGATATTGATAGGGCTTAACAGAAGCCTTTCATGCAGTTTGAACAGGTTCATGCTCTGCTACATCCATCATCTTCTGCCTGCAGCAGAATACAATACGTACCTGAAATGACGGTCTAGGTAATGCATTTCAATGATTTATCGCATTCACCTCCGTATTCTCGCAAAGCCGTCCGTTTAGTTTACATACGCCTGACGGTAGGTAGACAGACCCTTTTGCGGGGTATCAGTACCGGACTTTAGACACACTATGTCCGCGCTCTTCTCCACGCACAAAACATGACTAAGGCGTCCAACACGCCACAAACAGTGGCACATCAACAAACACACGTCTCACGCCTGACGTCTCACGCTGACAATCACTGGCTTTCTTACCAACCGTCAGCATTCACGCCCACCCGTTTCAAATGACTTCTTCTTCTTCTTCTCCTCCTCCTTCTACTTCATCACCTCTCTTGCATCTGCCTCGTGAACTACGGGATAGGATTCTCGACTTTCTCTCCCTGCCAGAACATGTCTACACCTCCACCGCCACGCCAGGCCCCGCCACCAATCATTTCAGAGACTCCAAGCAAGCCGAGAAAACCTATGTCGATACACGCATCTACCTGCCCTCATGTCCCCCCACAGCCATGCTTGCAACTTGCACCCAACTTCGACAAGAGTGTTTGGAGCACCATGCGCATCGACTCAATTCCTCTGTCCTCCCACGGCCTGCCAACTCCAAGGAGAAGCCCACAAGCGCCATCTTGGCTGAGAGGCTGGGCACGGAATTCATGGAAGAGACAGAGCGTGCCTGTGACAATGGACTTTTGCGCATTACTGTAGAGGTCGATCGGAAGATGCGTGGACCCATGGGCTACACAATACCTGCACGCGAGCAATTGTCGCCACGATTTCTTGCTCTAGTACCCCTAATGCAACGAGCACGAAAACTGCAAATAGACGTCTGGCCTGGCTACGAGTGGTGGAATGGAGGCCCACAGCCGTGGACGGACAAGTACGGCAACCTTCGTGCCAATGTCGCCCAAGTCTCCAAACCCAACTCTGTTACGGTGGCGATAGGAAGGATATTGGAGAATTTCCCCTGCATACAACATTTGGACATCAATGTACTTATGCAAGCTTCAGAAGCTCGTGGCTGGGACCTACCAGATCGCAAGTGGGAAAACCTTCAACCCTGGTTGGACACACCAATCACCGTCAGAGGACAGACACTAGAGAAGAGTACTAGGAACCTTACCATTTCTGTCGAGTCATCCCAGCCTGAATCATTTTATACTCAACTTGAAACGCGTCACCCGTCGAGATCTCTCTGGGTGGTGGAGAGAAAAGGCGACATGTTAACGGTAAGTCTTTGACCACAACAAAACGTCAACAGCAGCCACTCACCCTTATAGCCGACCATGAGGTCACTCTGCCAAGGGCCAGACGACTTCGACTTCTTCGCCTCACTGTTCACCCAAGAGTCTTTCGCACGAATGGATAATGGATCGACAGTCGTCGGATGAACCTAGCATGGTTTCCCACGAGTCACGGAAAATCTAGACTACATTTGCATGAATCACGCCCATCTTTACGTTGGACTCGCAATCAACCAGCGGCCAATGTTTCATGCGCGCGGCGACGATATGTGGGGAAGAACCCCGGTCCGCGGCAGGGATGCATTGCTGTTGAATATGGAAATTCTCCGATTGACGCCCACCGGACACGATACCATCTAGAATGCGGAACCTTCTTTGCGCGTGCCAACGGCCGCCGACTTTGGACAAGACATGTTGATTTACCACCAATACAAAGTCTGATCAACAGTCATGTTGGTTTTGGCTCTCGCGCTACATCCTTCGTCTTGTACAAAACTCTATACATAAATCATGTTTTTGCTGCTTGTGGTATAGTGCCTCCGACAAACACTAAAACTTGAGACAGCGAAGAAGAGCTAATTGTTACAATTCCTCCGCGCTGCCCATCCCTTCACTACTCAGAGTAATCATGCTCACAAGGCGTGCTACTTAAAGCTGCACAAGTCTCCCGATTAGACTGGTTCACACCTCGAGTTACTGTCCTTCCAAGTCACTGTCCTTCCAAGTCACTGTCCTTCCAAGTCACTGTCCTTCCAAGTCACTGTCCTTGTCCTTTACTTTCTTTCTCGCACCCGCAAGTACCATGAAGCTCTCTACCTTCGTTCTCGCCAGCACGGCTTCACTCGCGCTTGCGGTACCTACCGCTACCGTGAAGCGCGCCGACTACTGCGGGCAGTGGGACAGCAAAGTCACCGGCAGCTACACCGTTTACAACAACCTCTGGGGCCAGGGGCAAGCCAGCTCCGGCTCTCAGTGCACAGGTGTCGACGGCCTCAGCGGCAACACTCTCAAGTGGCACACATCGTGGTCCTGGGCTGGCGGGTAAGACGATATACCATCGCCAACCCCATTTAAATCTCACTAACCCATCTCCCGACAGAGCCGGCCACGTAAAATCGTACGCCAATGTCGTTACCAAGATCCCCCAAGTTGCCCTCTCGACCATCAAGACCCTCCCCAGCACCTGGACATGGTCCTACACTGGCAGCGACATGATCGCCAACGTCGCCTACGACCTCTTCACCTCATCCAGCGCCTCCGGGTCCCCAGAATACGAAATCATGATCTGGCTTGGTTCGTTCGGCGGCGCAGGCCCGATTTCCTCAATCGGCCGCCCCATTGCCACCGTTAAACTCGCTGGCGTGACCTGGGACCTGTACAATGGCTCGCACAGCCAGATGAACGTCTTCAGCTTTGTCCGCCAGGGCGGAGACGTCAAGAACTTCCGCGGCGACCTCATGGAGTTTGTCAACTACCTCACCAGCCAGCAGGGCATGTCGCGCTCGCAGATTCTGCAGAGTGCCGGTGCAGGCACAGAGCCATTCAGCGGTAACAATGCCAAGTTCACTACTAGCGCGTACAGCCTTAGCCACACCTAGATTGGTGGAGGTTTGACTGCGTCCCCGCTTTTGTTCAACATGTGTTTGGATGTCGGACGATATGACTTGAAGGATCTAAAGACTCACGGGAATTGCATTCTTTGTATATATTGTCTTATCACGCTCGCTCAAGCGCAGCGAGAAATTGGTTATGAATCTGCTGCAAGCCCCATTTCTCCCCTTTCCCCTTTGGTGAAACAGACTGCTGCTGTGAATATGTCCTTTCTTGCCCACCTATCCTTTTGCTGCTGTGAATATGCCTTCTTTTGCTCAACTCATCCTTTTCCTGCTGTCTTTTTTGTCTCTGTTACAAACCATGTTGCTATGTATGTACTTTGGTCGCGATGCAAGCTACCTTATTCTACAGGGGCTGACGACCTTTTTTTCCCAAGTCATCATATATGAATGACGCGTCACCAAACCACAAGCAAACTGAAACTGCAAGTCATGAATCTGACAGAGATGGTTGTCTGGGTTGAGGGTAGTTGTGCGATCAAGGATTTATGGGGGGTTTTGGGGTGGTGCTTGGGTTGCGTTGATGGAGTTGGTCACGTGGTGGTAGATGAAGTGGAGAAGAACTGTATTGAGACTTGGTCGGTAGGCTTAAGTTACCGGTAGTGCTTGCTCCGAATGAATTTGACGTCAACCAATTTTCTCTCTCTTTACACATGTAATTATAGGCAACCCTCTGTGGATCACTCTTATACTCTTCTGTTTATCAACATGAGCCGTTGCTAGAAGCATTAGCCCTGTCCACCAACTGCTTGTCCAATAGCAGCTCGCCTTGGCCGCACATGGGCCGCTCTCACGCGAGGCTGTGATACATCGGGGTTAATTCCTCGCGCAGACTCGGTCGCAATAGCGAATCACAAGAGTGATGTTTTGGATGATGACGGTAGAGGTTCAGTTATCCTGTGCTCACCTTAACCACTTTCGCCATGCTATGCCGCCTTTAACACCGCTTCTTATCCCGCTTCAACGCTCCGAGCCCCGCATCATGCTGCTTTCCTGCTCTCCCATTGGAGTCTTGCATGGTTCACGATGGACGTTCCTGCAGACATGACCTAATCAACATGCACACTAGACAAGTGCCTTCACTCCACGGCTCGAGGAGAACCGTGATAGCGGCACGACTTTTGAAGATCGTATATACGGTCTGTAATTATTCTCGGCTTCTTTGTGCGCGATAGATCGATTGGTATCACTACCTCCATCATCTCCTACGGTAACGGTGAGCATTCAATTGCTCGTCCATGATGAAGCTTCAATTCATCTCGCTGCTGTCGCTGGCAGCCGCATACGATGGTGCCAGCTGGTCAAACAACCTCAACTATCGCTCACCATCAAATCATCATGCTGCCATGGGTATCTCAATCCACAAAGTGGTCAAGAGAAACGACCCAGCAAGCGCCTACGACCCGGCGAATCTAAACTTCACCCATGGCGTGGCCTCTGGCGATCCCTATCCCAACAGCGTCATCTTGTGGACTCGCGTTGCACCCCAAACCGATAATTCGCAGTCGAACCTTACAGTCACGGGCTACGTGCCGCTCTACGATCACGATAATCAGAAATATGTTCAAATTTCAAAGGCCCCGATTTGCGTAGAGTACACGGTTGCATGCGACAAGGATTTGAAAGAAGTCGTCGATACTGGCAAGGTATTCACGAGTTCCGATGTGGACTTCACCATCAAGGTACGATAATCGTGCTCGTGGGATGAAACGAAACTCACCTGCAACAGGTTGAAGCCAAGAATTTGGAGCCCTACACTACCTACTACTATCAATTCAACGTTTGCGATTCCACCAACAAAAGCCCTATGGGACGTACGAAGACTACGCCCAACGCTGATGACGATGTCACCAAAGTCGGTATCGCAGTCTTCAGCTGCGCCAACTATCCATTTGGCTTCTTCAACGCGTACGGCAACTCTGCGCGCAAGGTGAGACCACGCTGGAGCATCTGACGAACCCCGAAATACTAACAAAAATGTACAGGACGCCGTTGACTATGTTGTGCATCTTGGTGATTACATCTACGAGTACAAAAATGGCTACTATGGAGACGGTAGCTCAGTTGGCCGTATTCCTTTACCCGATCATGAAATCTTCACGCTCTATGACTATCGCAAGCGTTTGGCGACGTACCGCACTGATCTCGATCTCCTCGAGAGTCATCAGCATTTCCCCTGGATTCCCGTCTGGGATGATCACGAAGTAGCTGACAACACCTACCGTGATGGCGCTGCTGAGCTCAACAACACTGAAGACTCATTCCTCCGCGATGGCGGCGTCTCGGTCGACCAGCGCAAAATGAATGCTGTGCGCGCCTACTTCGAATGGATGCCCATCCGCCAAGTCGACATGGACGACAACCTTCGCATCTGGCGCTCTTTTTCCATCGGCAAGCTTGTCGACCTTGTCATGCTCGATACTCGCGTCTACGACCGCTCCATTACCGATCTCTACTGGAACACCGACTACATCCACGGCATCTCCAACGATGCTGGGCGCTCGCTCATGGGCTCCAGACAGGAAAACTGGTTCTACCGCAAACTCTCCGAGTCCGCCGACCGCGGGGCAACATGGCGCATTGTAGGCTCGCAAATCGTCTTCAGCACCGTGAACCAATCCGCGGCCTACGGGCCAGCGAACCCGCTGAACTACGACGCCTGGGACGGCTACCAGGCCAACAAGAACCGTACTCTGAACCATCTATACAGCAACAAGATCAACAACAACATCTTCATTGCCGGAGACTCGCACGCATCCTGGGTCAGCGACCTCGTCTGGCTCAACGAGAAAGAGTACGACTCGAGCACGGGCGAGGGCTCCATTGGCGTCGAATTCGCCGGCAGCGCTGTATCATCGCCATGTCCCTACGGCGCCAACATCTCCATCGCCACAGCCAACAACTACTCCTCCACCATCATCACATCAAACCATGAGATCCAGTGGCAAGACCTCTACTACCGCGGCTACTTTGAACTACACTTTAGCCCCGACGAGGTCCAGGCCAACTTCTTCGGTCTGCCCACGGTCGTGACGAGGAACGCGTGGGAAATTCCGATTGCGAATTTCACGGTCAAGAATGGGGCGAATCGGTTGCAGAGGCCGGTTGCGGGGGGAGTGGTGGAGAGTGGTAGTCTCAAGTATGGCAAGGTGGTGCAGACTAATGTTACCCTGGATACCCATAATGGAACGTGGTTTGTGAGCCGGGCGGATAAGAGTGTTTTATAGAGGATGGCGTTGGCGGTACTGGGGTTGATGGTTGAGCTTGGGCAAAAGGAATTCATGAAAGGGTCTGTCAGGAGGGCGTAGTGTGACATTACTGCACATTTCACCCACCTTGTACAAATACTCATGATTATTATTTTCGGCCAAGGAAGGACGCAGTCTGTCAAGCTGCAGGTAGAGTAGGCAGATGACTTTAAGTCGTTTCTATCATCATTTGAAAGAAAAGTGATAGCCTTTGAACGCGTGCACACAGTGCACTGACTCCGCAAGCGCCCCACAACAGAGAACATTCATACTACAATATTGATACATGAATCGCCCCCTGTAATATCCGTAGGGCAAGTCTTAGATCCAGGGCAGATCTACTTCGTATACACAACACGATGATCGAGTCAAACCAGGTATATAGCTACAGGCCACAACAAACCCAGACGGCCATGGAGTACCGTTTCCTAGGGCTGACTGTGTCACGGCAACACGTGTGTACACAAGAGAGATCAAATCTTCTGTATATGCGCCTCGGAGCCGAAAGCATCAGCAGGCGATCGCAAAATTCGATACAGTACCATCCGCAATCCACAAAGCGCCGCATCCGTCAATCAACGCAGACCAGATTGTTCTCCTGCATCTGCTAATTTCGGAACGACGAGGTTCCTTGATGTTCACAATCTCTCCCGGAGCCGCCAACCGCGAACGTGCTCTCGGCGCCGACGGCAGTGTCTGTCTGTAAGTACGGGAGGTATACTGAGAATCGAGCTGCGGTGATGCCGCATGGCTGCGTACAGAGGCGAACTCGGCATTGCAACCCAGGCAGTCGATGAGATTTGGTGGGAAGAGGTGTCCGGTGGATTAGGTACACGACCATAGCGTAAGTACGGCAGCGGTACATGGACATGGACGCTCCACCGACGTCGGTGACCAGCTCGTTAATCTGCCAAGGCTCTGCAAGGCCCCGCCTGGGATCTGGACGCGCCCATGCACATGCTAGAGGAGATCACTGTACCGGTAAGCGCCGCACACAGCCTGCAGAGGTGCCAAGTATGGTACCCACAACCAGGTACAACCGTCGTCCAGTCTTCCAGCACTCTAGACTCTCTTTGTATTCCGGCGCTTCGTATTTGCACTTTGAAGCTCACGGATGTGCACGCTTGATGACCTCTGCACGCAATGCATGCTGGGAAGGGACCGGATGCTTGCCCCAAGAATGCCAACCAACATCCACAACACACTTTTCCATGCTGAGCAGAATTGCTGATGGATTCGGACCCACAGGCTAGGATGACGGTGACTTGGCTGACGAGCTGGCTCCGGTCGTAAGGGCTTGCCATGGCCGTTTAAGTTTCGGGGTGGGTGGTGTGAATACATAGTTAGGGCTAAGTAGGCTGTTGGCCATGGCTGTGATATCGATGGGTTGGTTTAGTGGGCGGAGAAGAGAGCCGCTAGAATCGCGGCCTTGGCGTGTGGAGGTGGTGATGTCACACAGCCAGTCTTCCCGAACCTCCAGCCTTTTTTGGCGTCTTTGCCAGTGTGATTCGCGTCTTTGACACTACCTCTTCATCGTCTACCATGGAATTGCAGTCGAAGTGACTTTGGACTACAGAAACCCAATCTGCAAGCGGTGATTGATTCTTTTCAAGCCAGTACCGGTACCGGTAGTACGTACCAAGGCTCGTTGATGCAGTAGCTCCTCAGTGTTAACCAGATGTTAGGTACCAGTGAACAATACAGTCCATTACGACGCGTGTCATGCGCTTCTGGACGTACACTTTGAGCGTATGTCGAATGTGCGGTTGCAAAAATAAAAGGGCATGTGTCTTGGCTCCTTCAGCGCTTTGTATTGCATGTACCTGCGGTTGCGTACAGCCACTTTGAAGATGCGCACCACATCCCATTGCGGAAGTCTTGGTGTAAGCTAACGGAACCCACAAGCCAGGGTATACTACGGAAAGCCAGCTACCCGAGCTAAGAGGGCTAGGCGATATCTTGGGAGCGATCCTAGTATGGAAATGCTCAAGCTCAGATTACCAGACGTGGCAGAAGCTGATACCATATCGAGCGACGGCATTTCCACGGTAAGATGCGCCATTGGATGTAGACTGTGAAGCTGCTCAAATGGAGCATTTCGGCTGGCCGATCTCACGCGTTGGGCACTCGTACACTGCTTCTTCATCTCCCGCTACTCTAGGCACCCTTACGTTCTGGTCCGGATCCCAAGACTACGCCTTGCCCATTTAGTCCTTGATTCAACCAACCTTTGTCTTTTCCACGGTGAGAAACATTTCAAATCGCCGTGGAGTCTTGGCCTACCAGCGGCAATCGTCCCAAGGCCCCAGTAGCTACTCCCAAGACATGATCAACGATCGTTACCTCTATCGCGCGGTAGACAGATGTCATCGCGCTGAGGCTCACCATGGGAGGCCCGGAGCGTTAGGGCTGCAAGAAAGGGACCCTGTGTGTATAAAGCATCTTGAACAATCCGCTGTTTAGGACCGACCATCGGCCACCTCCACTTCACTCCAATCCAGCAAGTAGTAAAGTCCATCATTACCTGATACCCCTCCACATCCAACACAATGCACTTCTCCACACCCACCATTATCGCGCTATTGAGCGCTACCCTTGCCGTTGCCGCACCCACCGCTTCCGACTACAAGACGGACTGCCAGAATGACTGGGCGGACAAGTGGGACAACGACTCCTGGGAGAAGGACGAGAAGCTTTTCTACTTCGACGCCGAGTACATCGTCAAGGCCACCCCCGACCAAGTGATTGCCACTAACGGCACTGCCGTTCCCGGCCAGCCCGGCGCTCGCGGTATCTTCAAATACGGCATCAATGTCGCTGAGAACACCATCTGCTACAACATCACCCTAAGCGGTGTCACTGGCAACTACTCCTCCGCCGCCGTCACCGCCACGCACATCCACGAGGCGGTCAAGGGCAAGTCCGGCCCACCTCGTCTGGTACGATATCTCCACCCAAGATTTCCCCCTTCTGCAAATACTAACAACTCCAACCAGGCTTTCCCCAACCCCACCGGACCAGACAGCCGCCGCACCTCATACGGCTGCCTCAAGGGCCCCTTCTTCGTCGGCATCAACAACAATGCCACTCCTCCTGCTGACCAGGCTGCTGGCTTCCACGTCCGCCAAATCGTTGCCAACCCCTCTGGTTTCTTCACCGACTCGCACACTGCCATGTTCACCGCCGGTGCCGTCCGTGGCCAGCTCCACTAGACGAGAGTTTGTGGTGGATGAATGGTAATGGAGAGGTTGAGGATGAATGGTAAATAAATGTACTCTGAAGAGTGTGTATTCACCTCTTCCTGTAATGTCTATATGAACACAGATATTCTATCCTAAAGCACAATCGTTGGCCTCGGTGTTCTCTCCCTCGTGATTTTCATGACAAGGTTCAAAGCATGCGGTTTGTTAAAGCGGCGGCTGACATGCACAGTTGCCCTGTTTCTTCATCCAGCATACACCGAGAAAATAGTCTTTCTTTGTAATTGAGTTGGTACATTGTGTACTTGGAAATTTCTCTCATCACCATATCCTCTCCGATCTTCATCGACTCCATGAACAATACAATCTCGACAAACAACTACGGCAGAAGAAAACGCGCACAAACCTCCTCAACATGCAAAACATCTCTCCTGCCAGTACTTCATACACACATCCCACATACCCTGGATACATACGGTACTCACGACCAAGAACCTTGCTCAAAACCACTATATCACGTGATTCAGACTTGCGTCACCTACAACCCACACCCACCACGGTTCACATGAGAAACATACTCCTCCCATTGGCTATCAGTATCAGAAATACGTATGAAGAGCGCTGATGACTGGTAGCTATGGCTTCGGCCAACCTGCGTTAGTTGTGACGAGATGACGTCGCAAATATGTCAACATGGTGACGCGATGATGAGCGTGTATGTGGGTAATTGAGGATGTGTGTGTAGTCAACGGGTATAAGAAAGTTTTTTGATTTTAGGTAGAGGCGAGACGAGGGATCATTCACACGTTCATCTCAGCGGGATTTGTACCTTGAAGCACACGCCGTCCTTGGAAATTTGGTTTGCAAAATAAGAGCAGCAGGAAGCATTTGAAACGGGTCGAATCGGTATACACGCGAAGATGAGTCAAAACCCAGACGCTGTTGCCAACCAGGGCGAGTTTGCAGGCCATGTTAAACCCAGTGAGCCGCTGGAAAAGGGAGGTGTAAGTCACTTCAGTATCCCAGGTCAAGCATGGAGTCAAGACATTCCATCACACCGATAATAAACCACACCCTCTCTACCACCCTCACCATCTTTTAAATCCCAAAACCCCAACTAACACAAACCCCTCCCAGCACCAACCAGGCAGACTCGTCGGCAACGACGCCCACCCCACATTCAACGCACAAACCCTCCCCCCAGGCACCGCGCCTCCGTCCTCCACACACGCCCCCAACCCTCCCCTCAACAATCAAAAAATGTACCAAGACGCCTCCTCCACCCTCACAGGCGCCACATCCAGCGACGTGCACAAGGGACTCGGACACCCGGGTCAAGGCCAGACGTCCTCGGAGCTGCACGAGGCGGGGAGCAAGGGACACGGACTGGCGGGGCTGGCGCACGGTGTTGAGAATACGGGTGCGGGCGAGGGGGTGGGAAGTATCAAGGATCTGCCGGCGCATGCGGCGCAGAGGAATTTGGGGGATGTGCCGACGGGGCAGAGGGGAAATACTGGGGGGCCGCCTGCGGAGGAGAGGGAGAATGTGAAGATTGGCGGGGTGTAGGTAGGGGATTTTTTTTTGGAGTTGTGATGGGGTTGGATGGTGTGAATTGGTGGTTGGGGTGGGGTGTTGGAGGATGGACGATGCGGGGACATGCGTGGAGGGATGGGAAGTGTACTCCTATCATCTGGATACCATGATCCAAGTTCCCTCTCCCCCTTTTATATTACTCCCCCTACCACACTATAGGACAGTTCACCTCGCCTGCCGCATCCCGTGCAGCTTGAGCACAATGTGCACTCCACCCATAATCCACGCACCCCTCACCGCAGCTAAACATGCTAGCCCAACAATTTGACCCATACGCACACGGTTTGATTTGCGAGCAAGATCCACAGTAGATTCCGCGAACAGCGCTGGCCGCACATTGACAAGACGTGCGGTTTGCCAGGCCGTTGGGTGGGAACAGAGATGGGCTTCGGAGCGAGGTAGTCGGGGCAATGGGGAGTGGTAGTGGAAGAGAGGAAGTGTTTTGGCTGGTTCGAGGGGGCGGGGGCGGGGGCGGGTCTGGGAGTGCAATTGGAATTGGGGATAATGCTGAAGTCGGTGATAGTTTTGACCGTCGGGAGTCGGTGGAGATTGAGGCGTTGTTGGCGTCGAGTATCGTTGTGCTTGTCTCCCCGATTGTTTTGATGGAAGGCGAGGGCTGCTGGAAGACACTGGTCGTGGATTTCCTTGTTGTAGTTTTTGCTGCTATCGTAAGCCATGCCGGCTCATCTTCCACCGGCATAGGAACACCCGTACCAGCCATTATCAATGGTGTCCACATCATAACCCATAGTGTAGTCGGTACAGCTCTCATCTTGATCACAGACGTATTCTCAAAATCGGTTCTGAATAAGTAGTCAGTTGCGCCAGCGAGGTTGACGATTCAAGGTTGACAGTTATTGTTGGAGCGGTGGAAGCATGTTGAGACGACATTTTCGACGTGATATGCCTATATAACCACAAGACATGTCGGTTCTCGAGGTGAGGAATGCAGACACATTCCACATGCTGGATTCACGATATTCCGCCCTTGCCCTTAGGGGATGCGTGTGTTCGGCGTTTCGTATCGGCCTTGGAGTACAAAGATGAAACTTGCACAGAAGCATCGGTAGATATAAAGATAGGCATGGAGCGCGCCCACGATGGATCACAACATACCGGTACCATGTTGTCTTGCAAAAATGAAGTCTCGAGCCCATGACTCGTGCTTGGCCCCTGTCGATATGGCCCTCTGGTCGGTACAGCCCTGTCACGACTCGTGTGATAAACTCCCCACATGTTCTCACCCTACTCTACTACAGTATGTACTCCCAAGCTCAACATCACGAGCCAACTCCATCCACAATGTGTCACCAGGCATCAATGATTTCCATTTCCCACCTTTCCCGGTTCAGCAGATCTGGGTTGACATCTCCGCTATCTAGGGCAATCAGCCATGTGAGATCCTGATGAAAGTCGCAAGCTGGGCGTTCTGGGCACCGTCATCTGTTTGTACAGACGCGCCCGACACCTTCCTAATCGCGCAAGTAGCTCCAGTGGGTACAGGATTTCTGGACTGACTGCTTATCGGCCTACGCGAAAGACTATAAAGCTGTTGCCGTAGAAGCAATGGCTTGCCATTGATGTGCTGCCGCGCAACACACCGCACGATGCAGCTCCTCACTTCGACATTGGCAACCTCTGCGGTTCTGGCCGGTAGTGCGCTGGCCGCGAATTTCACCGGCGACGTCCTCAATGGCGTGCCTGTCATTCGTGATTTGAACCTAGCGGACGTCCCGGCGCAGACCGTGTCGAGGTATTATTTGCGGGTTGGCGAACTCAATGGCGGACACCCTGTGCACATACCCGTGATGGTTGCGCGTGGGACGCCGGAGAGTCTCGAGACGGGCAAGAAATTGTCGCTGTCGGCTGCGATTCATGGGGATGAGTTGAATCCTGTTAGGGTCGTTCAGCGCATCTTCGAGCAATTGCAGGACCAGGTTGCGACGCTCAATGGCACAGGTATGTGAATTTGTGTGCAAGACAATGGTCAGCGAGAAAAACTCACTTTTACTCAGTCATTGGCCTCCCAACTGTCAACCCCATGGGAATCTACCTCAATCAGCGCAACTACTTCACTTCCGGTGCCAGCGGTTCTCTCACAAACGTAAACCGCGTCTTCCCGGGTACCGCAGCGACCGACGGTGGTAGCGGTCCCCGACTTCTCGCATACAACATTTGGAACTACGTGTGGGGCAACACCTCCCAGGTGGACGTTGGCATCGATCTCCGTAAGTAGTCCAATGTCCCCTCCGCTCTTGATTAAGCAGCCAACACATGCAGACACGCCCAGCACAGGAAGCGAAACTTCGCTCTGGTGCTACTCCGACTGGCGTCTTCCCTACGTCGAGCGACTCTCCAAGCTGCTCCAGCCCGACACGCTCAAGATCGATCCCGGCGAGCCCGGCAGCATCGAAACCACCTTCATCGACTACAAGGTCCCCTCCCTCACTGTCGAAATGGGCCAGGCCAAGGTCTGGAACAACCGTCTTATTGACCGCACCGTCGACTTTGTCAACCGCGTGCTCGTCGATCTCAGCATGATCCCTTCAAATACGACTGTCGAGCCTGATCTGACCAATGTATACATCGCAAACACTTTCCACGACACCTGGTCGCAATATGGCGGCTTTGTGGAGAGATTAGTCGAGGTCGACGAGCCGGTGACCAAAGGCCAAGCGATTGCCCATGTGCGCAATCCATTCGGGGACATCTTGGAGACATTGTACTCGCCAGTCGATGGACGTATGTTTTCGAGCCCACGCGACCCTTCGATTGAGCCGGGCGGCAGTGTCGGACAAATTGCGTACAACAGCACTGACCCGGAGTGTGCTGACGGATGCATTCTTTCGGGACCTTCGAGGAGATAGGCGGCATTGCATGACGAGTATGAGATTATGGTCAGTGTAATAATATATGATAATATTATCACCCTTGAATACTCCTGATCTTGAATCCCATGTCCCTTCTTCCTAGTTCCCAACTCTTGCTGTCTGCCAGTGTTGCGCGGTGCTCACCCTCCCGTTTCGTTTCCGTTACCACTGTAATCAGGCCTCGTGCATCTTGGCCGTCCGTCTTTATTCGTTATTCGCCATGTTCATTATTCTCGCCTTTCTGGGGGGCCTATAGTTTAAGACTGTACCAGTTTACCGCCAAGTATGAACGGGGGAAGAGGGGAGAAGGGGACATGACTATTATGACAGTGATCACGTAGATACCGCACGTGCAAGGTCACCGACGTAGTCATCAGGGGGTGCCTGGAATGCACAAGCTGTCAGTTGGACAATTCCTTATTATTGATATAATATGGCCTTCGTCGGATATGGGCTGGTGTAGAAATGCGGCTGGATCCATCATAGTGTTGTACACCCAAGGAGAGATTCTAAGACGCTGATGTAGTTATAAGTATGAATTAAAACATACGAGGCTACTTGCTTTGGAAATGAACATTTTGTGATGCATATCGAGTGACGTGACATCATATCAACCGAATCCCTCGAGACAACGAAGGGAGGACAAGGATATCGCCCCAACAAGTGAACTGGTCTTCCATCGAATTATCCATTCGCTTGCCATTGGAAGCCTATTTCTTGGAAGCGGCCTGGGCGAGATCCTGCAGAGCCTCGCGACGCTTGTACTTGGCATCTTGAATCGCGCCTTGAATCTGTGAGCAAGAAGTCATTCTGACAATTGTCAAACTTACTGGCATCAGCGTCGCTCGAGAAGTTGCCAGTCCAGGTGACAAAGGTCTGGCCCTCGTGCTTGCCAGAAGTAATGGGGTATGCGCGGATGGTGGAGACCACGGAAGAATAGGAGAGCTCAGGCTGCGACGAGATGACGCTGTATGTAATGTAGTGGTCGATGCTCTATTGTCCTCCATATCAGCACTCCACCCAGGCTGATATCAACGTGATGAAACCCACCGAGTGCTCCTCCTGCTTCACCTCTAGAACGGTGCCATCCTTGAACGACCACTTGACAATGTCGGTCTCCTCTGACACACCCTTTACAAACTCGCTCTTCTCAAGCTTGGACCAGAACTTGCTGAAGTCCTGGAGCTTGATGAGGTGCCAGACGTCACTGAAGGGCGCCTCGATGACGGCCGACTCACTGACAAAGGTGGAGGTGGGGATGCTGTTAGACATGATGATGATGGTGATTTGGTTGAGTGCAATTGGATTCGCGGGATGATTTTGAGTGTGAAGATATGAGGCTTTGGATGGATTGGTTTTGTTGCAATTGAAGTTGAAGTTTGGAGGCTATGAAGAAGTTTGGCGGGGCTGGTTTTGAATTGTCACCCCATGGCGTCATAGCATGCAGCATGCACTGACAGATGGAAGCTACCCCTCCTACCCCTCCCCCTCCCTCGCCCTTGCCTGACTGTCGCCCCACTCGACCAAGCTTTGTTTCAGCCTTGTCTCGTCGCTCCATTCTGTACCTTTTCCACTTATCGCTAGGTACCCAAGAGTTCAAGGAAACCGACCACAGCGGCTTTGATGTTTGCCATAGCTCTGATTGTACTCCTATCACTATATCAGAACTCGTTCTAATACGCCGATTCTTGGTGTGTCTTGCCCCTACTACTATACCCTCTTACCGCTACCAACGATTCTACACAACTTTTTTTTTTTTTGGCAATCTGCTGTTTCTCCCTTTGCTATGCCATCATCCCCATACTTGCTAATGCCAATCGTCCTAACTGTGTTTCACAAGCAGGCGCTTCACAAACATGGTCCTCGTACTGTCACGCTGAATCTCCAACCTCGCTAGTTTCTCTTCAGTCGCCAGAGAGCTAGCAATACAACCCAAGACGGCACTCGTGCTAAATACAATCCTTCAGCCGTCTTCCAGATCTGCAATCCGATCATGATTTCTTAACATTCATCGGAGGCCAATCAGATCATCGTCGCCACAGTTGACGCCACATCGGAACGTTTCAATCCCCGACATGTCTGACTTGACTCGTGATGCATCATCGACGCGCAACACCCTTCTGCCTGCCTATAATTTGACCGCCAACACTCTAGATACGCGGCTGCGTTGCCTATTGCTCATGGAACTTCTGGCCACTTCTACAACATGCCATAAAATTTACCAAACTCAAGTTTGATTGGCTGTAGGGTGGCGCTGGCCAGTTTCTTGACCAGTCGGGGGGTAGCGGCGTCATGACAAGGAGGCGTGCACATACGTACATCTCGTACGCATTGTCTGATGCCTGGAGCCAGTAAATATGTATAAGAAAGGTAAATAATTATGGCCTTCATATTCATCGCCATTATCATCTCCATTGTCTCTAGTTCTGAACATTCCAAGCGCCATGCCGCCTGTCACGTACATGAACCCATCTACTCCCTTTCATGATTTCCTTGCTAGTTTTGAGCAGCAAGGATCTCAGTGCCCGTTGTTCTCTCAGACCTGCGAGACGGGGAACCAACACGGACACGAACCAGAACCCAGCGGTCACTCGATCCCTCAAGCACCCTTCACTCCTTGCACTTGGGATCACTTCCCCGGTGGTCCCTTTGAGATGCCCCGCCGTGGACCTCCTCAGAGGCCATCTGAAAATCACCGCGATAATGAGGGCAAAGCCGAAAAAGTGCACGAGGAGAAGAGCGGCGACAAGAACGTCGAAATGAACAACGACAACGCCTACGATAACGATAATGGAGAAGGACCGTCCTGCAAGTCTGAATTTGACAATGAAGGTGGGCGCAGTAACCGCTATGGCCAAAGTTGGTCCAGTGGCTTTGATCCTCGTCACAATGGACATCGCCGTGGACCCCATTGCCACGGCCCAGGTCCCCATGGACATCATCATGGCGGCCGTAGATCCTGGGACCATCGCAGTCGTCACGGCCCACGGGCCAACATCACCAGCGACTGGGCTCCCTTCGATGCTGCCTTCAACTGTGCTTCCCCAGACCCCTCCAGTATCGCCACACATTTCTGGAATCTTTTCAATAACGGCCATACCGCTAACACCAACAATAAACATACACCTGACACCACCGAAGATCACTGCCCAGACGCAGACGTCTTCAATACCGACACGGCTTTCGTTGTCCACATATCTCTCCCTGGCGCAAAGAAGGAGGATGTTGGCGTCAATTGGGATGCAGACAAGGGCGAGCTTTCCGTCGCTGGTGTAATCTACCGCCCAGGCGATGAGGAGTTCATCAAGACGCTTGCAGTAGAGGAGAGGAAGGTTGGGCCGTTTGAGCGCAAGATTAGATTGGGGACGGGTGCGAGTCCTGCACATGTTGATGTTGATGGTATTACGGCCAAGTTGGAGGATGGTGTGTTGAGGGTGGAGGTTCCCAAGTTGGACAGCGGGTATGTGGATGTTCGCAAGGTTGATGTCGAGTAAGGCAGTGTTTGGAGTCCTTGATGGTCAGTCGGGTACGTGGATACATAGATTATGCAACGAGTGTTTTCCTTATGCCGCTGCTTAGGATATGAATTTCGATCGAGACACGCCCATGTCCCAACGCGCTTGTAGTATCTCGACGCCTAGTAGTTAGATATCACGTTACAGATGGGACATATATCATGGCATTGTACTTACTGTAGCAAAGAATATTATGACTTCGCCCTGGCCCTGTCATCACACTTCTTCACCTGTAAACCATCACTGCGCACGGTGAGGATACTGGCAACCTCGTCCGAATTACAGGACCCACCGCCGCCCTCACTATTGTCCATATCAACATGCCGAGAAAGTTTCCTTCTTCAAGAAAGGCCACATGGACCAAGACTCAATGAAAAAAAAAATGGTGCCAGCTCGAAAGCATAGGCTGATATGGATAAAAAATTGGCAGCCAGCTCGGCTAGCAAGACAAGTCTTGCAAATGTCAACTCAAGGTCAACAACAGGAAGAGTCCTGTGGAAGTAGCAACCCCAAGTGTTGCAGCAGAAACGATCTGCACGTAAACGGTCCCAAGTACCGCAGCAGAAACGGTCTGCACGTAAACGGTCCCAAGTACCGCAGCAGAAACGGTCTGCACGTAAACGGTCCCAAGTACCGCAGCAGAAACGGTCTGCACGTAAACGGTCCCAAGTACCGCAGCAGAAACGATCTGCACGTAAACGGTCCCAAGTACCGCAGCAGAAACGATCTGCACGTAAACGGTCCCAAGTACCGCAGCAGAAACGATCTGCACGTGAATAACCCCAAGTGTTGCAGCAGAAGAAACGGTCTGCACTGGTAGATAGATCGCCCCAATAGATAGGCCGCCCCAGATAGGCCGCCCCGGTTGTATCGCTTTGGTGAGCGAGTTGGAATGTGGAGTGAGAAATTTCGACCAAATTGGAGGGCGGTGGACAGTCTTATATGTGAGAGTGTAGTGGCCCTCGCGTTTAAGCGAACCGTAGCCTTGTAGATTACGTCATGTATACAATATATGATCCAGGACGCGGTGTGGAGGCGCAGATCAAGGTGAATGGGATTTCCAGGGCTTGGCATTAGCGACAATGTGATCACGCCGCATCATTCTAGGAAAGAGTCCTGGCTGTCAATCGATATGCTAATTCTCACTGAGATTATCAGTATACAGTGTTATTCACATTATTCCTGCTTGAAGATACTCACAATGGTAGCTTGGCCTGCCAGTGACTGTCACCCGCCCTAGTTGATATTCTGTAAGATCTGGCTGGCGCTTCTCTAGGGATGCCCTTGGATCAAAAGTATTGTGATCTCCTACCGTAGGTTGTGAGGTGTGCATGATAGCCGTTTGCTGTAATTTCCTGCAAACGCCTTCACCTCTCACTGCAACTGCGTGCGCCCTCGTCGAAGCGCACAACCCACATGATTTAACACGTTCGTGTTCTTCGTGTTCTTTGCTCTTAATTCCAGACATGAAAACTTTGATTTTTCGTCCCTGAGCTCACCTTCCAAGCTGACGCCCACTGTTCTGGCTATCGCACCATGGCCCGCATCGAACTCAACACTCCGGCGGACGCCAAGGTCAACAGTGATGCTGAGCACGAGTTGTTGATTACAAGCCGGGTTCCATTTGTCCAAAAGCTGATTGAACAAAAAAAACTACTGACCACTATGGTCGATCATCTACAGGAGTCCAATGCCCGTTCAGGTAGTACAATAGCTGACTAGGCATAGTTCTCAGGCTGTTACCGCTCACCCGCGTATGCCGCGCTATCGTAGCGTATGCAAGCGCGATCTGTGCAAGGGTAACAAGTGTGGCCTCGTTCATCCAGACCAGGTAGAGTTCTATGGCCATGATCTCAGGAACTTGCCGGTCTTTAGGGCGAACAAGCACAAGCGCAGGACTGACAAGGACTGAGACTTCAAACTATACCGCGCTCGCACCAAGTGAAGGACCAGCCAGGCCTTCACTATGTACTCTTCATAGATTCAAGCTGTTCCTCAAGCTCCTATATCCAATCTTCAAAGTCGAACATTCACTTCACCTCATCGTCTTGTGACTATACATCCGACTTCACATCTCTGTGACATGTTGTGACTGTGCATTCGTGATTTTTTTTTACCTATGTTTTCTTAGCGGTCTAACTTGATATCTTGCCATATTGTTATGACGATGCATTGGTGGCTTTTGTTCAACCTGTCTTGTGTTACCTATGATTGTTTGGCTCTGCAGTTGTGACAATTTGATAGTGATCCACAGGTACTGCAACATACGAGGAACACTCAAGATTCTTGAGAATACTGCCAATGCCCTGGTTATACACTCTTGGATACTGGGAGAGTTGTTGAATACTATGTACCAAAAGGTGGTGTGGGTGCGGGACGTTGTGCGGTCGGCGTCTCGGAACCTGGGGGCCGACACATCTCCAACGGCTCGAGAGCGCGTCATTGGTGCAAAGGGCTTCACGTGACAGCGCCGAAGTCAGGGTGCCAGGCAGCCAAACATGTCATTCATCGTCGACAACAACTCTCCCCACCGCGCGTCTCGGTCCCTTTCCTTCGACCTTGCATCAAACACGGCTGTCTTTGCAAAGTGCATTCGCAATCCAAGACGCGCAGTTGCTGCCTTGTCGCACTTCCGGTAGCCTAGTGCGCAACTCTGGGCCGGCCCTCATCCGCGCCCGCCCCAGTCCAGTCGCGGTGCTCGACGTCCGCTGTCGGCTGCGCTTCCCTCCAGAGCGCGCCGTCCCACTGCCCCACCGAAATTATTCACAAGCTCCCCAGCAGCCTCACCATGTCCGGCTCAGTCGCAACCGCCCGCCCAACACAGGCTCTGCGAGTGCGCCGCGAGTCTCAACGCCCAGCAGCTGCCCGCACTGGCACCAAGCCGCCCGTCATGGACGACCAGGCGACGAAGCCAGACACGAGGCGTTACGGTAGGCCGTCACCCAGCGCGCGAGACTTCCCCGTCGCAGCAGCAGATACTGACAGTAAGCAGTCAGCAAGCAGGTCGATGTCCTGGCCAAGTACAGTGGGAAACCACCCTCGCTGCGCGTCTTCCTGCACCCAAATCACTTCCGCATCAACGACTCCCAGGAGACGCTTTCCTATGCCTCGCCCATGAAGGAGCTCCTCCAGGCCATACGCGACAAGGTAGTGCCCCATAACATGGTGGAAGACCTTCTCGAACTCAACATCCCCTGGTACGATGGCTGTCTGATCGTCGAGGTCCACGACTATCGCTCAACTGGCATCAAGCCCAAGGACGACGCCAATGGCGCTGCTGAGGCCGGCTCAAACTCCTTCTCCATTCACAACTATAACAACTTCATCACACCTTCGCCTTTTGCACCCTTTCCCTCAGGCAAGCCAGACACGAAGCCTGCGCCTGCACCATCCCAAGGCAAAGATGCAGACACGAAAGAAGACAAGGAAAATATGCCTGCCCCGAACCAGAATGGACCCCCACAAAAACAGCGGCCCAAGAAGTTCACCGTCGTTCTTTTCCCCACCCCACAGTCGCAGTTGGCCGACATTCAGATCCTGGCCACAACGCCGGTTCCGGATATGGCAGCTATCAAGCGAATGCAAGCTGCTGGTCGGACGGGTGGTCTGCCCCCAACACCATTGACCGCAGTTCCTCCCACGCCTACCTTCCCCAATGGCCCAAGTCCGAAGCGCCAGAAGATGCTTTTGGATGACAGTAACATCCACGAGTTCGAAGCCGAAGTATACAACGCAACATGCCCGAAATTATATCTGGAACCCACAAAGAGCTTCGCAGAGTCTCTTGCCTTGATGGATGCCATAACCCATCCGAACAACAAGAATCCTGCGCCCCCACGCAAGACCCGCAAGAGGACCACGGCTGAGCTGGCTGCCGATGAGGCTGAAGCACAAGATCTGCAACGTTTCATGTTGGCAGCCGACGGGCACCAGGCTACTACAGCGTCTGCAGCTACCGGTAACGACGACAGTGCAGGCCGCGCGGCGGCCAACTCGCAGACATTCTCCCGCTTCAAGACAATCATGAGCATCAGAGCCACTCACGAGGAAGTCGAGAGACGCAAGAAGGAGGAGGAGGCCCGCATTGCCCAGGCCAAACGGCAGGCGCAAGAGGAGGCGGCAGCTCAAAAACAGAGAGATGCAGAGGCGAGCAGACAGCAGGCCGAAGTCATGGAAAGACAGCAACAGCTTCTGCGCCAGCAACAACTTCAACAGCAGCAACTGCAGCAAAACGAAGCTATGCGAGCCGCCAGCGCCGCTCAGCAGCAAATGTCGAATGCGGCCCAGCTCAACCAAACACCACAGTCGTTGAGTCAGCCCCAATTCTCGCCGGTCCTGCGACAGCAAACGCCTATGGTTGCGGCAGCAGCTTCGCCACACGTAGGTGCACAAGTCTCGCATGCCATGGGTAGCACACCAATGGTTGCTTCCGCTTCGAACAATGCCGTCGCCAGTCCGGCTCGGCCACCATCTGCCGTCTCCCACCACCAAAACCAGATGGCACGATCTGTTAGTCAACAGCAGAATATGAGTCGTACCGGTACACCCCAGATGGTTCAAGGCACTCCCGTTATGGGTGCATCAATGCCTAACCGCAACATGACGCCTACGCCGAGCCGTATAAATCAGGGCAGCCCGTCCATATCGATGCAAGGACAGACGCCGATGATGATGAACACTCCCCAGCCTGGCCAGAACATGACGCCCGAAGCCATACAGCAGTTGCAGGCTCAGCAGCGGATGCAACAGCTAAGGATGCAACAAATGCAGCAGGCAGGGGGTTCACCAGGGAATCAGCAGTTGCAACAACTCGCACTGCAGAAAGCACACATGCATATCCAGCAACAGGGTGTCCCTGCTGGTCAGAATCCGCAGACATACCGGCAGCAGTTGGCCCAAAACTACCTCCGCCAACTTTCACAACAACATGCGCAACAACAACAACAGCAAGCAGCCCTCGCAAACATGTCGCCACAGGGTGTTGTAGCGCATGGTGGTGTGCCGCAACAACCCACTTTGAATGTCAATAACTTGAGTCTCCAGCAAATGCGTCAGCAATTTGCACAACGAAAACAAACCCTCATTCAGCAATTCGGCCCGACCAACATTCCGCCCAACTACATGCAGCAGATGCAGCAACTCGAGGCCGCTATCAATGTCAAGATGCGCCAAGAGCAAGCACAGCAAGCACAATTGCAGCAACAAATGAACCCTGGCGGTATCCAAGGCCAGATGGGCAATCAGATGAACGGCCAAATGAACGGAATGCAAAACGTAACCAATCCTTTGCAGGTCCAACAGCAACAACAGCAATACCATCAATTGCTGCAACAGCAGCGTGCTAACGAAGCCCGCCGCCAACAAATGATGCAAATGCAGCAACGTGCTCTCGCGCAAAATGGGCAGATTCCGCAAGGGATGATGAACAACATGCAACAACAAGGCATGAATATGGGGAACATGACCGGCAACATGGGTGGGGGAATGGCCGGCATGCAGGGCATGAACATGGCGCAGATGCAGGGTCAAATGCAACAAATGCAGGGTATGCAGGGCATGCAGGGCATGAATATCAGCCAGATGAACCCGCAGCAGATGCAGCAGATGATGATGATGAGGCAGGCGCAGCAGCAAGCTCAAAGGCAGAGCATGCAGCCGCAGCAGGGCAATGGAGGAGGGGACATTAATTGGAGTGGCGTTTGAGTCTGAAGAGGGCTTGGATGGCCACGATCCCTTTGCATAAGCTGAGGTGTACTTGGTGTTATAAAGGTGTTATATCAGGGAACAAAAGTTGAAGTCAGAGATACCCCCTCATGCTGTTATGTTGGGCTGGGCTGGATTCGCGTTTTTGGGTTTATTTCCTCGTCCAGTGTTAGGGCGACTATCATAAAAGATAGCAGAGGCATTTGCAGGGCGTTTTCCTATCTTCATATGATATGTAAATCCTACCATCACGCACACCATCTTCTCACAGCTTCCCATGAATCTAAACCTCTAGCGACTGTCTTTGTCGGGAGGGGCTTCATCATACTTCTACCTTCCTCCCCTTGTTCTCACCCAACCACCCCACTCTGTGCCTGTTTTGATGAAATACCAGAACTGAAATATTTCAATCACAACTCTCCATCTGCGTATCCTTCTTCCGCCGCTACCACCCATCTCATCAGCTGTTAAACAGTACTCACCCCTGCACCCCTCGTTGCACTCATGTGGGATAAGGCGTCGTACGCGCTGCCGGCGCGAGCCGAGATTGGTGTCTGGCTGGCGCGTGGACAACGCCTTGGAGGAGGAGTTGTATAGGGGAAGCGTATCAAAGTTTAAGGAAGGGGAGGTAGAGTGGGATAATGTGGGTGGGTGGAGAGGTGGAATGGACGGGTGGTGCAGTGGTAGAGAAAGATGGTGATTGCGATGGGTCGTTCCGGGAGGCGGAAGGCTAACGGGCATACCGAAAGCAGAAAAGGTGTCGAGGGGTAGAACGGCCTTGCGTGTCTGATTACGGTGTCTGGTGTGCGGAGGGGGCCCCTTGGGCTGTAAAGAATTTTAGTTTGAGGGCTCCGTGATTCTCTCCTCACAGCTTGTGTGGATACCTGAGACTATGGTATAATTTGAAGCGTTGCGGTGTATATATTTTGTAAAAGTATGGTGCTCGCTGTTCATGCACTGTGAGTCTTCTATGCAGCGACTGTGAAGACTCTTTGTTTTTGTTATGTGTGCTTGGTGACTATTTGATAGGTGATGTAGTCAGTATCTGTGCCATCTGATTTGCGGAAGAGTCATTCATCACCCTGAGAGTCACATGAAGATACGAGCTCTGAATATTTAAATCTCGCAAATGATAGCGCGCTTCAATTGCTCGGTACAAGAACAATATCGCTGTTCCTATCTTCACCTTTCCTGCTGCCAATGCACCAGCAAATAGACAACGTCACCTGGTAGCGTACGGTATAGCTACAACAATTTACCGAAGAATCAACTTTTTTAGTGATTGTCTGTTGATTCATTTCAATAAACAAGCATGGGTTTCACCTGCGGCAAGTGCAATGCCTCAAATCCAGGATCCTCAGAATTCGTCCGCATGGGCACCAGCAATCCAGCGACGTGTACTAGATGTCAGCATCCGTATTGCATACAGCCATCCTGCTGCGTGGTCTATCATGAAGCGGGCATATCGAAAGCGGAATTTGAAAGGCAGGAAGCATTGTGGAAGGCTGGGAATGGAAGAGAGACGCAAGTACAAGGTGGAGAAAAATGTGTAATTCTATGATTCCTGTACTGTTTTAACAGCGCAGGATATACCGATCGGGGGGAGAGGGGGAACAGGTATTGGTGGAAGATTATGTAGAAGATAACGAATGTCATCGGTTCTCGTGGACCGCTCCTGTACACACAGCTAATACGGTGCTACATGTGGTAGATATGATTATAAATCCACATGACGTGATACAGGATAAGTAAGCGGTATAACTTATACATATGAGCAGGGAGAGTGCGGGACCATAAATCGTATAAAAAACCCCACTTACTGGATTTGACGCCCTAAACCCCTGCGTACATGGTCAATTGATGCTGATGTTCGAACTTAATGCTCAATATCTCAAAACGATAATTGAATTGTAGGTGAAATGTCCGGAGAATCGAGGGATTAGCGACCTCGGCGATACTGGCATGAGGTAGAGATAGCGAGCATAAGGCCGACAGAAAACCAAGGAATGACGTGCCAGAAGCTTTTGCGAGTCATATTGTAGGAACTAATAACAGTTGTAATTGCGGGGGGTGTGGCGGTAGACAGAGTGGATGTGTCACTTCTAAAGAATTAGTGCCACATTGAACAAAGCGTGCGTACGGTGACGTACCATAGCCTCAATGGCTGGCAACATTTCTCATCAAAACACACCAACTCCACTTCCCTTTGACCATACTCTACTCCGAAACGTCAACGTCAATTTTCTGACAATCTTAGTTCGAATCACGGTTTTAAAACTTGACTGCTCCGCTAGATTTGACTGCGTGGAGCGGACACTGCACACGTTACAATTTCACTTTTCTCTACATGCATATTTTTCTTCGACTAGTCATCACAGCTTTTTCTCAAGTCTGGGTGCTATCAAATCGACGCTGTTATTGTGAGGCCACCCTTGATTGTAAGGCAAGAGCAAATTGGTTTCAACTTGCTAGCGTCGCATGCATCCTGAAAACTGCCTACAGTAGATAGAAACAAGTGCATTACGGCGATGGTACACTCTGCAAGTAGAGCTGGTATTACCATAGACCGAAAAAAAATCAAGTTTCACAATCATTGTGTCTTGGTGTAAAGCAGCCACATGTGGTAACACAAAGACAATCACCGCTTGAACAAAGCTATTGTCTTGTACACATGGAGACGATGCTTCGGTTCTATAACCTGGCCGAAGATATGATTAGCATTCTTATTCACAATGATGACTAAATTTAGCCATCAAGAAACATAGGTACCGTCAAACCCCAGCATTGTGCATGAATAGCTAACCTTCGATTCGCCAGGCGCTGCACAAGAAAAGAGTCCACATAGTTTCCCCAATTATTCAGGTGTAATCACCTCGTGAGCACCCTGAATTCCTCACGCCAACACAAAAATCAACGACAAATATCATACGATTTTGCGCTACCATCATGTCGTCTCGCTGCCAGAATCAAACATATCCTCCGTACCAGCCCAGTCTACAGAGCAGTCATGGTCGGAGCTGGCTCTGCCCACTTTGCGACGCCAACAACAAAGGAAATGTGAGCAAATGCACCAATTGCAAGGGGAACCGCTACGCGAAAAAGAAGGTGAGAAGTAAAAAGAAGAGTTAGGACTGTGCAGTTATGTAGATCCTATATCTTGATATTCTCTATTGGGGAGCATAAAGCTTTTGGACGCTCTTGGACGCTCACTTGCAGTCTGCAGAAGTGCCAATTCTTCGTGAACTGTACTAAAGAATTTTGACCATAGGGCCCTTGTGTCCTCAATGTTTTCCTGCAATGTTCTCAATGATATACTATTCTCCAAGAGTCAATTCCATCAATATGACAGTCTTGCCTAGTCGCCACAAATCCCCGGATTATCCACTCATACATATCTGACTTCGTGAAATGTGAGTGTCGGATTACTCAAGAACTGTATACATATCTGACTTCGTGAAATGTGAGTGTCGGATTACTCAAGAACTGTAAAGGATCTCCAGTACATTGCTTTTTATACAAACATCACTGATCAGCCCGCAAGCACGGAAGATCAAGGATTTCAAGTCACCGAATCCAAATCAGAACCTATTCCTCAAGATCTGAACAATCACAAACCATATAAAAAAACATATCAAGGCGCATCATGGCCAGTCACGATACTACAAGCACACAGGAAGAAATTGGACGGGTAATGCTGAACAACCCAGAGACAAAGCGAACATGGATATGTGCCAAATGTCAGACGACGAATTTTGAATCAGTACAGGAGTGTAAGCGTTGTCGCGCGAAGAAGTCAGATGAGAAAAAGTGCACAATACAGTAGGGTGCATCCCAAGCACGTCTCACAGAGCATAATATGGTCACTCGCCCTTTACATTTTATACATTAAAGGATATTCTATAAGATGGCTATATTTTGAAACTCACTACTATGTGGAGTGAGCTTTGGGTTTAGTAACACGGGCCTTGAGACGACGATCATGTACCAGTCATTAGTATGACGAAGAATCACACCTACTTTTCAGTATGACACATTGAGACCTACCGCTGTGACCGTCTCCCAAAAAATCATTTCAAATTCGCCCTTCTTTGTTCCATTATATTTGTATATCTCTTGTTCTGAAATCTGATACGGTGTACAAACGTCTTCTTATGCTCTCGGAGGGAATGGTTGGGGTTCTTGCATCTCGGCAGGAGGCACTGTGTTACCCTTGCCATACCGGGCTTTGGCAGATTTAGAATTCAGAGATGATCCAACACCCACGTATCATGAATATTGTCCCGCGGTTTCTGTGGCAATGAGCGTGGTGCCCATGGTGATTGTAACAGGAGCGCCTTAGCTAAAGCACCGAACTTACAGGTATTAATTAGGGCATGGTAGCAATCTATCTAATAACAAAACTTTTGAGGATACAAGGAAGCCAGCTGAGTGCGATAACGGTGAATCTTGGTATCGACTCAAGCGAACAGACTGGGTTGTTCACGTACACTCGTATGTTGAGGGGGCTGGAGTAATTAGTTCACCTCCTTGGCAGTGGCAATTATAATGACTCCTTGGGCTCTATCAGGTGCGCATAGCGCAAAATGTGAATGCGAGTCAGCAGCAGATAGAGTCAATGATGTATTGAAGCTGACCCTCGGGCTCCAGGCGTCTATATCGTCTTCACCAAAGTAACGTAGCCTCCCTTTGTACCGACAACTCATCAAGGCATAACAAGGGTGACAAAATTCATCGACAGAAACGACTCCAATTTCCTGCCAAGCATTCAGTACTACCAATCTTCCCACAAGAGACTGTTCTACACAGCCCACATCATGCGTTCAAAAAAGTAAGAGCTGGTGTACCCCACCTTGGAAATACCACAAGCCTCATCTCGTCAACGAACGTACACGGAGCCACGCTCTCGGCAGGCATGGGGGACAAATAACTATCGGTCTTTGGAAAAACCGCGTCAATCAGTCGCAAACTTTCAGGGAAAGTCCAAGGAGAAGAAGTGTTGTGTGGTCATGTGAGAAGTGAGCTCGTGGCAGAAATGCGAATCGTCACACGTGTCATTGTGCTTTGTGAGTGGAATTGCTCGATGGCGTTGCACTTCATAGTCAGAAAACAGTCGTCACGTGATAGTTATGAAAGCCGGAGTGAGGTCTCTGATCACAACAAGACTTTTGATCAAGCGGAGATATGAGGGTCCTGTCAACGGTTGTAGACAACCGACGCGTACTTACACGACCTCTTAGAGGCTTTTATGTAATATCATTGACCTGTTTCCCAAGCATGCATTGTACCTTTAGTTTTCCCATAGCTACCCGTTGCAACTCTAGCCGCAACTAAGCAGCTAAGCTCAAGACTCTACAATACCACATCCCTCATCAGCATGGGTCCTCTCGGTTGCATCTGCTGTGGATGTTATAGATGGCATGAAGGTGATGGGACAGCAAAGGACGAAACTAGGAAGGGTGCCTGTTGCTTGCAGTGTGCGAAGAGATTTTGCTACCAGTGTCCGAATTCTGTTGAGAAGCCGGAGTCGCAAACACTCCATAGACGATCAGAAAAGCAGCAGAAGACATTCCAAACCTCGGGCATGATGAGCCCCATCTACAGCCAACCTGAACCTCAGTGGAGTGATGAGCCAGCATGTGGGCGGCCGGGCTATCATACCGCTCAGACATGGAGTTCACCACAAAAACAAAATTCCCATACATTCGTTCCAATAAACAGGGCCGCTATCTTCGGTCGAGGAGGTACTACGCCACAAGGTTCTTAACAAATACCCATAACCTATCATTGTCCGCCTATACCAAACGCACCTCAGCCAGTCCGGGGTGAACAGGTCGGCGTAACTGCCCCCTTCAAGAAAGGTAAAGAGAGCGGATGCTGTGTGCTCATGTGAAAGAAGAAGGGCAAGAAGAGCATGCAAATTCAGAGAACTGGGAGACAAGTCGTGCTAGGTGTCAGGATGGGCACTCCGCGAGGATACCCGGGGGAATGGAATGAGTTGATATTTCTCTGGAGAGACAGTGGCGCCGAAAATACCTAAGACACATGCTGGTGACATCGGGGAGACCGGCTCAGCTGTGCCGTTGCGCACTCACATTGTTACCTTCCATTCACCCACACGCACTGTTGTTCGATCTGGTGATAACATCCACGTGATTAGTTACAATGGTTTATGCCAATCAGGGAGGCGTCATGGTCCAGTCAATCATCAGTCGTGTGGTCGCACGCGCAGAGCTCCCGCAACATCCTATTGCTTCATTATGCGCACGGCTTGTGAGTTCTGACCCCAGGTTCAATAGTAAGATATCGAACGTGCATTATGAGTATGTCACGGCCCTATTCCGCGCGGTGTGGTAGCAGCCGTGTCTTTTCAATGAGGGTCGATCGCCCTCAGAGTGCTCCAAGGTAACCACACTACGCCAGGTACTGTCTGTGACACCTAAACGGCTGAACAAACCAGGTAGGCGGGTACCCACAGAGATCAACTTGAACAAGCTAGTTCTCAACAATAGCTGCCGTAATGCCCGTAGCGTGATGATTGGGCCTCCGTGTTGCACGATTGGCAAGCCCTCGGCAGTCTGATTTTATGCCCAAATCGCGATTCCTGCACCACCTACAGTCACGTCTCGAGGTCGAAAGTACGGATATACTTCGCGTTGTTACGAGCCGATTAGATTGCATGAGGTGCCAAAAGCCCATGTCATGCTCAATGACTCTACGACAAAAAATGCATCTTCAGGGCAAACAGAGCGTCGACCGGATCCATGTGAGAGGAGCATTTGCTTTACGGATTCTCTGATAGTAAGTCGTCTTCATGGGAGCAATCACTTTCCATAGTGAGCCGACATGCCACGATGAAAAGACTCTGTACGCTGCCGTTATGCAGCAGCTGCATCGGGCATCATGTGTCACAGCGTGCTTCCCCACATCAGCAGCCCTGATTCGATCGGAGTTGCTGTAAGTTGAGGCTTGTTGGGGCCCTGCTTTCTGTCTGAGAGCTGCGGTTAGATCTTAATGTGGCAGTGGTGTTGGACTGGCCGACTCCGTCAACACGTTGTCGCGTCGTCAACTGAAGGGAGACGGTCTCCGCAAGCTTCTAGAAGGATTTCGGCCAAACCTCTTCCAGATTGACAGGAACCTTTGAGCAAGGCTGGTTTCGAGGCGACGTTCGTGACAGCTAGGTACCTACTCTAGGGCCGATTGCGAGGAGAGGACGATGCATGAACGGGGCCTTGGTGCGGCCAACAGATTGCGGCCCTTTGCGAAACCGAAACGTGGGATGCTCATGGATCCTACGGATTTTCGTGGCCAAGCTGCATCGACATGCTGCCAGCAGTAGCTGCAGATGAATGGCGCGTAGAGCACGCAAAGGCGCTGTACGAGCGCGCAGAGCTGAGCTGCAGTACCTGCGTCCAAGGCTCGCAGTGGGACGCCTCTCGGGTGTAAGCTGCAACGTGGGGAAACACCATTCTCTCGTTTCCTGTGTGTGTAGCGCTGGATGCGCACAGATCGCAGGAGAGTGCATTGGTGGTGGTGGTTGTGGTGGTGAAAGCCATCAAGTGCTGACCAACCCCTGGCCAGTTCCCCGCTTGCCCAAACTCGCAACGTCTTGCTGCCAACCAGCACAAACCTCTTGTTGGCCTGTCCCCCAACCCAACAGCAAACCATCCCACATACATCCATCCCCTCTCATGTCAAAACGCTCACATGTCAGCGATCAGAAGAGGATGTCCCAGGCCCGAAATGGCCTATAATGATCCCTCTATGCTGCAGCATCATCGTGCTCCGCAACAGTATGGCATGGTAGTAGCCTGTGTTCCCGTGGCTGTCTTTGTGCCACCTCCTTCCGCCATACCGCTCAGTTCACGCGTCTCTCCCTGTACAGGAGATCCCTTCCTGTTACACCAAGGACATACTGTTGCTCTGGCTCACCAGCAGCCGGCCACCTGCTATCTACCCCTCCCTTGCCGCTCAGGCCCTCGGCGGCTGCCAACGTTGACTCCCGCTGTCCACTGCCCTTTTCACTGATTGCTTCCCATGTACACGGCAAATCTGGACATTGCCTCATCCTCGACCTCTTCCAACCGTCTACCCCAGCTTTGCGCCGCTCCTTTCGCCTATGTGACATTTGCATGACGTGTCCCACCCTCTCGGTTTACGCTGTCTTCCATTCCTTTGACATACGTTCCCCCACCTTTTGCGTTCTATTTAGCAAGAGGAGGAGCCTGACGTTCATATCTCCGAACTCCAGACGACGCACTATCTCTCTCTGAAGACCTAGCAGATCATGGTCGAGATGGCTCCTGGCCTCAGCCCCCGCAAACTGGACGGTAGCTCCAAGCCGAACACGGACGCCTTAGGAATCACATATGTCGTCATTGCCATAATTTACACAATCATATTAGCGCTTGAACTCATCTTGCTATATCGGCATCGCTCGGCTTTCTGCGTAAGAATTCGAAACGTCAAGATTGTCTGCGCGGCGGTGTCGACATTGCATGTGTATTTGGTTCTTGTGCTCCTGGTCTATGCATGGAACGGTCTCTTCCCATGCCAGGTTGAATTCTGGATCATGTCCTTGTTCTTACCATTTGGCATGGCTCTTTTCCAGGGTTCGTGGCGGTGATCGCGCAGCATCTACGAACTTGCTAACATGGCATAGCCTGCAATGCCAAAGTCTTGACAGCGTATGAAAGTCAACGGCGGTTGACTCGCAACTTTCTCGAGGGTTCGCGCAAGAAGCACCTCTCATATACACCTCGTGGACTCTATCAGGCGTGGATGGGGCTTGATGTAACCCGACAAGTCTACATTGCTACCCTGGTCGGACTCATTGTCTCGGTATGTTAATAGGTAGAGTGAGTTTACCTCGCTAATCGTTTTGCATCAGGTTGTACCATCTTTCATCTTATTTATCGGGTCCCGTCGATTTCACAGCGGATTCGGATTCTTTGGCCCGGCGCTCGAGTCAGTGAACGTGTACCACGAATGTCGCAGAGGCGGAGAATGGTAGGCTATGCATCAAAGATCATTTTTGCTCAGCTGATTGTATTATAGGACTCCATCGATATTCATCCAACTATTCTGGACAGTATTTGTTGGACCGTGGATTTTGTGGAAGATCAGATCCATCAAAGATGTACATTCCTGGGCGTTGCAGACGAGGATAGCGATCGTAGCAGGGTACGTGCGCGAATCTAGAAAGCCATTTACTTGTACTTACATTGCATCAGACTACCTGGTACACCGCTATGGATCGCGTTTACATACTCTAACCTGCCAGTGATTAAAGACATCAACATGCACTTCCCACCTGCCGGCTGGTAAGTATCTTATGCTTGTTTGTACAGGGGCTTCGCTGATCTATGCCACTTAGGTTCTTGCCGTCTTTGGTCGTTTGCCAGCAGGTTCTAGTTCTTATTCCACTACGTGACGCCTTGAAGTCGCCACCTCGTCAACGAGAGATGTCAACGTCAGAAACTGCATCTCTTACCTCGGCTCAGTCCATCACATCCACCAAGTCATCTACCGTGGTATATGCTAAAGAACTAAAGTCCAAAGCATCAATGCAAGCTCTGGAATTTAGCATCGAGCACAGCATCGAGCCCCTGATTGCATGGGCAGCAGCACGAGAATTCACAGCTGAAAACACCATCTTTCTCCGCGAAGTACGAAACTTTAAAAAGAAATGGTCCACACTGAAAGTTGTTACGACTAGTCAGCGACGGCAGATGTTCAATGAAGCATCGCTGATCTACTTTACACTCGTCAACCCTTTCACAGCCGAAACCCCAATCAATATTGAGTACAAGATTTTCAAGACGCTTCAAAATACCTTTGCAAGCGTCGAGTTTGATCCATATATGCCACGCGCCCAATCCCCGGATATCAAGTTGCCAGTGGCTAGGGATAACGTGGTTTGCCCATGGGAGGATACACTCAACCGGCCTGCGAGTATTGATTCGAACCATACCTCATCTTCCACCACGAGTACGAAGACGATAGTTCCAAGCGAATTCACTGACGAAGTATTCGATGCCGCCTTCGAAAGTATCAAGTACCTCGTCTTCACAAACACTTGGCCACGGTATTACGAGCATGCAGGCAAGATGCCTACCCCATAAAGTCATGCGCAAAAAGGAAAGAGAAAGAAAGAAAAGAGCCTGACAAACCCAAGGCTGGTCGCACGGGCTGTCAGGCCTTTGCCTTCGAAATCCACTTGTTCATACACATTATTTTTTTGATACCGATTCAATGCGGGTAGAAGACCCTTTGCGGTCTGAATGGCAGGTAATCCTTGATTTATGAATTGATGCGTAGCAAGCGTTTCTGAAAATGTAGTCTTAGCTTGATATTTATGGTTGGGAATACCCGGGATAGTATGCAAATAAGTGCATTGGGGTTGATCTGATTGGGTTTGCCATTGTTCCGCGTTCGCAATCGCGTTGCTGTTGGATCGTCGCTAGGATTGAATCTGGGGGGCTACAGAGCACGGGTATCTTCCGATGCTCATACAATTTAATAGGTACCGATAAGTTGATCCAGTTGTATCTATAGCTTGAGAAAGTGACTAGATGGCCATAGGCACAATTTGAAGACTACTCAGCTATGTAAGGGTCGCCAGCTCAGTCATGTCAAGCCACAGCTACCGTTATAGTCCTATTCACATCGTAGAGGCCTGTGTTCTAATCTTGTTGCAACTTTCATGTTTATGCAAAGCAACTATCCTTGGTCTACCTATGTGCTTACCCCACGCTAACACTCGCTTGTTGTCGCGTTCCACGTCGCAGATCTGCCTGACTCGGTATCAACGTCTCATTTTCCGGAGCTCTGGTCGACACAAGCATTAGGCTATATATATACTAGGTATTCTACCATCCCTGATAAAACTTGTCTGAAGTGTGGTGAGCTTGTCGACCACTGGGACCGTTACATGGTCTATAGTCCCCCAACCCAGCATCCATACTTTGTGATTGTCAATGTACGTCTAGAAATCACGAGTGTTGTATCAATGTACTTCAAAGCATTGTGGGACTCCAGTCTTGACGGTTGTCGTCCACCAGGATACCACATTCCTGGCTTGATCTGCGTCTCGATTGAAGGCAGGAAGATGACAACTTCGCGTAATCTCTGGGGGTATGCGACATGGTGACAGCAACATGTGCTTACATTTTGAAAGCGCAAAGCAAGCTTCGCCGCTTTAAGAATTGAAATCACTGCAGACCATAGAGTAAACTGCTCGTCTGTGACGCTTTTACCTTCACACAAGATACTTGTAGACTGTGCTTTTGTACAGCTTATATAATTAGTGTACATGCGTGTCTACAGTAGAGTGTCGTCCAAGTGGGCAAGGGCAGTGCAGCTCTGATTCAAAATGGGCGGGGAATGGTGGATGCAATTCGACCGCAGGGTGGACATGTACAAGAGAGCATATTCAATTTAGATATTGCTTGTAGGTAACAGCCCATGCCCCGTGGGTGATTGTGAGGGAATAGAAGCAATCCGTACGAGTTAATGCCATGCTGTGGCAACGCACCGTACTAAAATTTCATTCTCACCCCACAACATGATCAGGAGCAACCACACTACTATCCTTCCTCTCTCTCCTCTTACTCAAATTCTCGATAAAAGGGTTTGTAAAAGGCCACTGGATAGCATCCCTCTCCAGTAGAACCGATTTCCCCTTGCTCTCAGCTGTGAACCCAGGAACCAGCTCCCACTCATTCGGCGGACAAATTGCATCCCGATCAAAACCGGATACTTCCTCGAATACCTCCTCCATACTTCCATCGAAGAGCTTATTGATTGGACTACGATCCCGCTTCATCGTGAACTTTTTCTCGTCTTTTTTCAAGATGGACGGAATCGGCGCCTTGGATTCCGTGCTCCTCTTCCGGCCACGACGAATAGAATTCGGGGCGGGGGCTACAATTTCAGCAACGGGCTTCTGCTCATTGTTGGGCTTGAGGGGCTGAGAGAGGACGCGGTCGCCGGCATGGGCTAATTCTTCGGGTACTTCAGGAAGTGCCAAGTTGGTGTCATGCTCAGTCCATGGTGCTACCTCTTTGATGTTGGAATGTGCGCTGGTCGCAGTGCGGAGACTACTGGGCTGCGAATCATCTGGACTAACGGAGAGGGACGACTCCGCCAAGCTACTGGGCTGGGAGCGTGTGGCGGCGGACTTGAAGGGGACCTTGAGTAAGCTGCTCCCAGGTCTTGTGAAGGGCGAGGCATCGTTGCTTGCAACCTTCATAAATGCATGTCCACCATGAGCCAGGAATGGGATGTGTGCTTTCTTGTCATAATGGGGTTCTTTGAAGATTGTGTCCCGGGACCTGACGGGAGATTCTGGGAGACCTGGAAAGATGGCAGTAAGCTGTCTTGGAAGTGGTGCTATTGCAGGCGCGATCTTCGCAAGAGCTATGTCGTCCGTCATCTCTGGCATTCTAGTCCCCGCATTGCGTTTTCCCTCTCGGTACAACTTGCGTAGACGCTTATATTCGAGGTAGTCGTCAACTTCAGTAGCTGTCGGGCGACGAATGACCTCCGACAGTGCCACTGGGCAGGATCGCTCAAATTTGACGTCGTATAGAATATCGCCTTCTTTCCATTGGCCATTGGCAGTATCAGCAGTCTTGGCTTGATGGATAGACCAACCCTTCACAGAGTATCTGTGTATTGTAAGCGACTGCAAGGTTTGTCAAGCCGCCTTGTCTTACAGTCCTTCATATCGAATGCCAGCCTTGGGACCCCATATGCTGTTGATACTGTGACTTCGAAGCACTCTGATGGGATCTCTGCTCTTGGGAGTTGCGGCTGTGAGGCGAAACTTGCCTTTGTCGTCCTGTGGAACTCGATATGTGAACTTGTCATCGCACTCTGCATCAACTTCACCGGTGTCCTTGAGAACCAAAGCGTATGCGCCGTTTTTATCAAAGGTCGTCCCACCGTCACATGCTTCGCGGCCGATAATACCCGCATGATGCGCGAAGAGAGGATTAATCCACCATCTGCAGTGAAGGTACTTAGTGGGAGAAGACAAGTGGAAAATCATTTTACTTACGATCCCACGCTGAATCCCAAATCTCCTAGCTGATGAGAGCACTTCGGATCAATTTTCTCGGGGCAAAGTTGAGCCCATCGCGCAAGCAGATCCTGGACACCTTTCAGTAACAGTGTACGAGGTTCTGAGAGCAACTGACCTCGCGGGAGTATTGAGAAATAGTAGCGATACCCTCAAGCCGACCACCCCTGCCATAGAGAAAAGGATGGATATCGGTGAATGAGCCGAACTTGGCCGTCCAGATACGTATGAGTTTGTCGCAGTCGTCGCACAAACGGCCGGGCCATCGCGTTGCCACACCGGAAATGTCCTGAACAGCTTTGTGGATTCCTGTTGCTCTCAAGTCGAGAAAAGTAATGTCATTTGCATGTTGCAGAGCGATGAACATGTCATGCAGGGTAAGGACATCGTCTGGCCGTAGAATGTCCGGTCCTTCGCGTGCGACAAGTATGTCAAGACCGTCACGGATCCATAGGGCAAGTCGCTTGAGTTCAGGTCGCGAGAGATCACCAGATAGAGGTGGAGGTGGGGCCAGGTAATCGCGTGAAGCTACATTCGCCATGCGAGGCCAAAGGAAGTTACCGCGTGAGAGACGATTGCAAAAGGTGTGCCTTGAGCCTGAGCGTTGGCCGCGATTAATGAAGCAGATTGTAGGTGAAAGAGGATGTACTGGTGAAGTGCCATTGTTGTAGAACTGTATCTTTATGGTGTTTGGGGAAAGAGTGTAGTAGTCCTTTCCTCAATGTCGTACCAAGGGCTGTCAGCCCTACTAGACTAGTCGTCGGATCATTCCACGCCTTTCTTCCTCTTTGTGGACTTCCTCTTGGGTTGAATCGGCTCCCCCGCAGGAGGGGAATCGATCATGCGTGCAAGCTCCAGCGGTGCATCCTCATCCTCATCGAAGCCATTCCATTCCTCTGCAGCTTCTGCGCCTTCTTCGGCCAGCTCCATCGCGTCGGGTGCATCTTCTCTTACAAATCCTGCAACGAAGAAGCCCATGGTACCTTCTTCAGTTCCCTTGTCACATCTAATACACCCTTCCAAGACTTCTTGCTTGCGAGGTTCACCCACGGCGCAGTTGAGCTTGCCATCTTCCCATGCACCGCGCCTTGCCCATTTCCGTAAACCGTCGACTTGTTCGTCCCTCCTAAGGATCCTCCACCCCCGATCTTTTGCCACCGACGTCGACAGCGCCTGCAATACGACACCCTCGTTCTCCTCGAAGTGTATCGAACATGTGGAGTAGGTGATCTTGTGAGCATTTGCAAAGCGCATGGCATGGGTTAGAATGTGGAGCTGGAACGCTGAGAGCGCTGTGAGCCGTTCAGATAGCTTACCAACAACCATCGTCTCCTCTGGTGTCGATTCGTCCATGTCTAAGCGCAAAGTTGCGGTGTCGTGCTCTGCCTTGCTCTCTTCATCGCCGCGTTTTCGCTTCCTTCCTTTGCCGGGTATTGGTAGCGCTGTTCGGCCCCCTTGCGCTTCAGGGAGGTGCATCTTGATCGCGTCGTCTCGTCCGACAATGCCGGTGCCAGAGCAACTGGGATCGAGTAGGATGGCCCCAACGCTGGCATACTCATCCGACTCGGGCTTGGCAGTTATGAAGTCGCTGCTGCCCTTTACTTTGATGACGCTATCGGTAGTCGCAAGCTTGACCATCTTTTGAAGAATACTCGTCCTGCCTTTGTCACGCTCGAAAGCAATGACTTTTTGTTCCTGGTCAGGTTCACTACGACTCTTCACGATCGCTGCTAGATGTGTCGTCTTATTTCCAGGCGCCGCTGTAGCATCGATGACGTCCCCATCATCAGGCGTAGGGTCCAGAAGATATGCTGGGAAGCATGAGGCCTTGTCTTGAAAGATAATCTGGCCCTTGGCATAGGCTACCGAGCGGCTGAGATCGATCTGAGCAGGCAGAGCAAGTAGGTTGGGTATATTTGGGTCCTCGTAATATATCTTGGTTTTTCTGGGAGCTGCAAGCACTTTTTCCAAATCATTCGTCTTCTCATATCCCGCAAACGTTTTCGACAGCTGCTCCTGCAAAGTCGTCTTGATGGTATTCACGCGCACCCATCGTGGATGGCGGCTCTTCGGTGCCTCTCCGTCCTCTTGGTCGAGCTCGCCATTGCTTACAGCCTCTCTGAAGGCGTCGAGTGTAGCATACCCATGTCGAATCCGAGATTTGGTGAGTTCAGCGCTGAGACGGGCTTTGTGTCGGGTGATTGCTAGCTTGAGGACATGGTTGGCGGGAGCAGCGACGCCGCTCTTCGCAAGGAGGAGATCGTGGGCCAGAAGGAGAGCGAGGACGGGTGTGAGCTTCGCGGTTGTCAGCATGAGATGGTCGCGTGTGCGGAATTGTGTGTAAAAGTTCACCTTCCTCTCCTCAGCCAACAGGCTGGTCTTGTCGATAACATGCTTGAGTACCAACGACCATTTCGACGATTCTGCAATGAGCGCAAAGATTTGACCGGGCGTACTTTTCAGCTCTTTCTTCTTGTAGATTCGCGATTTGAGCGACCCGCCAACATTATCAGAGTTGGCGAGAATCGCTGCGGCCTCGTAGTAGAGCGACATTGCGGCAGCCGCATTGTCATGCAATACTTTCTCGACAAATCTCCAACATTCGTAGAGACGCTAACTAGATTGGGTGAAGTGGGTCCGAATCTGTTCCCCGCACACCTCCGTACCACCTCCGCACCAACCTCCTCGTCTCATCTCAACTTCATCAAGCAGATGGCAAATAGTCGATTAGGGATGTACGCGTGCTTGTACAATTCCATTACAGATACCAGGCACTTGTAACTTGACATCCTCGCTCGAGCGCCAACAACGACGACGACGACGACGATGGAGATGAGAGTGTATTTCGTATTTTGGTGTGTCAGCACACAAACATGGCTTCAGTTTCCCGCTTCATTTCTGCAGGTCAGATTAGAAATGTCCAGACTCGATTGAGTGAGGGCTACTTCAACCGACAAGATTCTCTTTACTCGTTGTGACTTTCAACGTTCGACAGGGACTTCACAACGTGACACACTAGCAAGCCACAAGCGGCGCGAAGAACTCCTTTTCTGCAACGGTTGCCAGTCACCTCGAACGCCACCTCCGCCTCGGCACGATTGAGCACCGGCCTGACTGTGCCGCTTTGAGCCGTGCAACTATCGCAATGTAGGAGCATATTGTATGCAACTTGTGACGGCTGGTACTGCGCCGCATACGGGTACACGGACCTTACATTAGAGGGAGGGGAGCACACATGGGGTCCAGATGCTTCTGGAGGGTTGGAAGGCCCGCAGCCAGATGGACTGGTTGGCTAGCCAGCAAGACGATTTTGTTGTTGCTCGGTTTCTGCATCTAGGATTGAAGGATCGGGTTGTGGTGACACTGGCCATGAAAGGATGTGGCATGGCAAGTTTCTGTTTCGATTCCAAAGTTTATTCTGAGACACTACCGCACGGCCGTCCTTGACTCTACGACCCTTGGCTGCCCTCCAACAACGTCCAACAAGCTCCAACTTGCACTGCGCCCCAGACGTCAGGTCAATGTTCTCTTTGGCGATCTTACTCGCCCTTTGTCGTGTGGGGAGGACTGTGTCGTGTGATGTGGTGATGACCCTGTCACGATGCGTCCATACACTGATTACTCGCGGTGTCGGTTGAAATAGGAAAACAGCATTGCTAACTCTTTGAAGAGCTGCATGGACTAGAGGACAGGATCTAACGTTTGAGCTATCATTCTCTAACAGCCTCCTTGGATTCCTGCAGAACCGGCCCACTTGGCCGAGCCGAAATGTAGTGTGGCTGAGACCGGCTTTCGCTTGCGTCTGCCTGGGACTTACTCGTGTCCATCAACATGTCCGCACGAGGGACATTGAATATATCTCGCGGAATGTGTAGAGCTGTTTACGAAAGGGCTTCGAAGTGTCTACTGTCTACATGTCGATCATACTCGTCGTATTGTCTCTCCATGGCTTTTGAGCCTATTGGACGCTGCCATGATGATGGTGTACATACAGCGGCTGCTCAACAGTGATCGTCTTTCAGCATGATTCTGAGGCCGTGAGAAGGTTCAAGTTGGTGTAATCAGGCCGATTCTGTTGATGGATCATCGTCAAGCGTGCATGCATGGGGTCGATCCCACGTGGAAGCCTGGAGGAATTTGGGGTGGATAGGTAGGGGGGTGGGGGCCTTACCCGATCGGGATTGTTGAAGTCGGGGACTTCAAACTCTTCGTCTCAACACATTACAACGGTGTTTCTTCACATCCGTTCCGGCTACACCCAATGTCAGGACTGGCATCGTTGCGGCTCCACCCAAGGCCAAGACTGGCATCGCATACCGGCCGTACAGTGCAGCTGCTACACATAGATGCATCTTTGATCAACGCCAGCCACATCTGCATAGGTACAACCAGAAACACTGTCAAAGAACGCCATCCGTGCATTTTCGATCGGACGCAAGTCCCACGGTATCAGAGCTCGCGCCAACATCCACACATTACGCGGATGGCTTTACTGGTGTGTAGCTAGCTGAATGATCGTCAGGGACCGGCAGATGAAATTCGAAATTTGTCCTGGACTGCTCTGCATCCCCGGTAGGATTTCCAAAAGCATTCGCCATTGCGTGCGTGCAGATCGTCGCGCTTACCCAAAGGATTGGCACACTCCGCTGCCTCTCGACGCCCTACCGGTTGCACGTGTTTCCACCACTCCGTAGCCGCAGCCTCTTCGGCAAGTACAGTTATACTCCTGCAATTGATCAGCGCTACCTCTCCGATATGTACACATGTAGAGATGAGTCCGCACGAATCATGGGCCGAATTGCTGGCAAACGGATACGCGGTACGGAAAGAGTAGCCAATCACTGGACGTAACAAGAACTTCTCGCAGTATGCATCACGCACTACCGCTTGCTCGATACCCTGCAAACACCAGTATCCTTTAGTTCCTCTTGGGAGACGCGAGTAGGTAGATGGCCAAGACACGGCGCACACAGCCTATGCTGTGAGTGGGAGTCAGGGACCCAAACTCCCCAAGAACTGTGGCGTTGTCACTCCACTTGCCTTGCATGAATGAATTCGACCTACTCCACTCACCCGTAAACCAGATCGTTTGCTCCAGGTCCTTCACACTCACTTGCGCACAACAGATCCTGCAAACCTACGATCCCCAATTGTTTGCCCTCCTTACGCTCCGAGTGCATGCCATGCGTACCGCCGGCTCCCACTCCCACTGACACATTCTTCGTATGCCACCAGACCTCGTCATGGCTGACATGCTGGGACCTCGATCACATGCAATCGACATTGTCGCCCGTGGTGGTGGTGGCCTTCATCCACCTCCCGAGGTGCTCAGGAGCTGGCCACGTCCTAATCACACGGATCCAGAAGAGCGAGGATGGGAGGCACCGATTGCGTTGGCGATAGTGCTGGGAATCACAATCACCGTTTATGCGGCGAGAATGTGGGCAAGAGTGAGGGTATCGAAAAGTGCGGGCCTAGACGGGTAACTTGATTCATTCTCAGTGTCTGCTCATCAGTCTGATGCTAATGCTGGAGTAGTAAGAACCACGTGATTTTGTACTTGGATGGCGTGAATGATTCATACTGATTGATTCATTCAAACTAGATTTACTCATCAGCCTATCCATGCTTCCGCTCATCGGCCTCACGATATCAGCCATTCTGGGTGTCCGCCAATACGGGTTCCAATGGCATGCTTGGGACCAGACGGCGAGGACCAGGGTCACATCGCGAGAGGTTACGCTAGCGATTGAACTGACTTATTTGGCATCAACGACCTTGGTCAAGGTCTCCATTCTCTGCTTCTATCGACGCATCACTGGATCCCTGACCAACACCTTTGTCTACACCACATGGGGCTCCATCGTCTTCTGCAGTGTATACGGCATCCTCTTCTCACTCCTCATCGTCTTCACCTGCACGCCGGTCGTTGGCTTCTTCCACATCTACGACCCTATATGGCGAGCTAGAAACACGGTGGACTGCCACAACGAAGGGGCCATCATCGTCGCCTGTGCGGCCATTAGTACGGTGCAGGACCTCGTCATCTGCATGCTACCCATCTTCCTCATCTGGAACCTCAAAATCACCAAGCGCCAACGATTGGCGCTGTGCGGCATCTTCGGCATAGGCGTGGTGACCTCCATCTGCGGCATCATGAGAACCTACTACGCCACATATGTGTACTATTGTAAGTCCACTCCTCGGCCCCCTCTTCTTGCTCGTGTGATGCAACAACTAAAACCTTCTGCCCACCCTTTGTTTAGACACGTACGACATCACCTGGTCGGCCTACTACGGCTGGATCTGGACGGTGCTCGAAGCCCAACTGGGCGTCATTGCCGCCTCAGCCCCAGCCCTCAAAGTTTTCTTCCAAGCGTACTTTAGAATGCCGTCGTCGCGCTCTGGCTACGCGGCCACGACCGGAAGCCGGCAAACAGCAGCCCACGACCTGCCCTCGTCCCGGTCTCGCAGCTACCCGCGCTCGCACATGCTCGCGTCACAGCATTCGACGACGCGGTCCAAGATTGAGGCAGGGGGCGCGTATGATACAGAGGTGCCGCTGAGTGGGATCAAAGTGAGCCAGGGACTACATGTGCAGGTGGAGGAGCGCGATGATGCGAGTCGGATTAGCTATGCGAGTACGAGGGGATTGACGGGCAGGGGGGATGAGGAGCGGGGTTGGAGTGGGGGTGGGGGTGGACAGGGAAATGGGGGTGGACAGGGAAATGGGGGTGGACAGGGAAATGGAGGTGGACAGGGAAGTGGAGGATGGAGAGAAGGATGTAGGACAATGTGTGCGGCGTTGAGGTCGAGCAGTACAAAGTCTGGTCGGCACCGGAACCGGAGTTGGAGTCGGAGTAGGAGTAGGAGCCAGAATCAGAGTCAGAGTCAGGGTCAGGGTCAGGGTCAGAGTCCGAGCCAGAGTCCGAGCCAGAGCCGGAATACGAGTCGAGATACGAGCCGGAGTCGTCGTACAAGTAGTCGGGATAGTAGCAAGGAGAGAGAGGTCGGGCAGATTCAGATTCATTCACAGGCTCCTTGTCGGATCCGGCGGTAGGATGAATCGAGTTTTCTTTTCTTCTTCTTTGGCTATTCTATACATGACATGTGCCTAAAGAAATCCCATTACCCCATGTTTTTCATGCCTGTGTGATGGTGCATGGATCATGTGCCCATGTCGTGGAAAGAAGGAAACCCAAAAGGACATGATGGCACGCCGTGACAAGAGAGAAGCAAATTCATGACAAAGAGTCCGAGACGTGCATGCGCTTCCCCACCCGGTCCCTTCCCTTGGTCCCTTGGACTTCTGCAACGCCACGTATGAATGCATCCCTTAAAAAAAAAAAAAAAAAAAAAAAAAAGACGTCCGAGCCGGGACACCCTCCATGGTAATCTAAATGTGTAGGACAAAGCAAGGTAAATGGCAACATCATCCAAGAACCATGGATTTGTATAGGGATGATGGTAGTCGAAACAAATTCTTGGCTGCCAATCTCGTTCATGGCAAACTCTGTTGGATGCGTTCCTCGTACGCTGCCCAGGCCGCCTTCTTGTAGCGCTCGGCTTCCGACTTGCGATCTTGCGCGCGCACAATGCCTCGTCCGACAATGATGATGTCGCAGCCTTGCTCGTAAATGAGCTTGTGGGGTGTGTTGTACTGCTGACCAAGATTGTCGCCCAGCTTCTTGCCTTCCTGACCTGGAGGCGGCAGTTGGCAGCCAGGGGTCATGGTGATGAAGTTGTCGTTGGGCTCCGTGTTCAGACTCCTCTGGGCGATGAAGCCCATGACAAACTCGCTGTGGTTCCGCGCAATCTTGACCGTCTCTTTTTGGTATTCCGGCGTCATCAGGTGGCCTTCTGAACTCATTTCGGCCAGTAGGAGCAAGGAGCGGAGAAAAGGCACCTCACCGAGGCGGAGGAGATCGGTGGCCGTGTCGAGGTTGAAGAGGTCCTGGCCCTGTGCATCCTGTTCTGGGCGAGGTGAGATGCTTTCTGATCGCATCGAGATCGACGTCGTGACGCTGACCACACTCTGTTTTCTGTCCATTGGCTTGATGCTCAATCGCCTCTCGTCGCCATCTATTTCAATCGAGGGTGACTCGAGCGCAGCAGCGGCGGCGGCGGCGGCGGCGGCGGCAGGTGGCTCCTCGTCCCTGTCCTCGTCCTCGTCGTCCCCTTCTTCCTCGTCGGATTCGCTGTTCCATTGGCCTTGGCGTGGAGCGGCGGAGATTTCAGTGTGTACGGCTGTGTTGTATCTGGCAATGGTGGCGTCTGCAGCCTTCTCGAGGGCCGTCACAATGGCCGGGCCAGGGAGGACGTGTGCGTTTGTGATTTCGGCCCAGAGGGCGATGCGATGGTGGCCGGAGGTGTATTGCTTTTGGACCGTCTCTAGAAGAAAGAAGGGGAGTGTATTAGGTGGTGGTCATGGGAGGATGGGGAGCCAGACTGACGCTGGTGGCAGCATAGGACGTACCACCAATGTCTGCAAACTTGCGATCTTCGAAGATCAGGAAGCGTTTCCGCCTTGCGATTTCCTTGAGCGCCTGGGCGGACCGGTCGGACCAGTCGGAGACAATGTCGCAGTGTGTTTTGAGGAGGCAGATGGAGTCACCGACATCCTCGGCCAGTTGCAGTAGTTCGGCGGTGGTGTCGACGTCGGCGGAGAGGCAGAGGTTTGTCTTTTTGATGGAGATTAGGCTGAGCAGGTAGGAAGCCAGGGGAGTGGTGGAGGGGAGATTGGCACGAGAGCGGTAGGTGGTGGTGAGGGTAGGGTGTGAGGAGGACATGACGTCGGACGGTGGCTTCTGGTGGACGGGGGGTGGTGAAAGTGTAAAGGTGGGTGGGTAGGTAGGGAGGGAAGGAGGGAGACTGCGTTGGCGGCTGTCGCTATTCTTGGTGTGGGGGGGGGGGGGGGGGGGAGGGATTCGTGGAAGAAGGTCAAGGGTGATGGCAGAAGCAGTGCAGGCCGTAGTAGTAGTAGTAGTAGTAGTAGTAGTAGTAGTAGTAGGGCGAGTGCAGTGCAAGGCGCGTACAAGGGCGAGGATGGCTGATGTTTTTTCTGCAAGCGGATCTGGCCAGGGTCTGGCGGGGGATTGAGGAAGACAAGGCTTGGAAGAAGGAACGAGGGGCAGAGGAGGGTGGGTAGTAGCCTGTTCGTGGTAGTACTACGCAACGAGGACGAGGACGAGGACGACAGGCAAGAAAACAAAAAACAGTGGCAGCAAGTCGGCCAGGGATGACAGATGTAGAGATGTAGATATAGATAGATATAGATAGATGTAGGTATAGGTATAGGTATAGGTATATAACAACACCGCGAGAGAGAGAGAGAGAGAGAGAGAAAGAGAAGACAGGCGTGTGGACCGTGAGCGACACCGACAGCGTGGATCAGAGGAGCAGGCTTACTCTACTCTACTCTACTCTACTCTACTCTACTCTACTAGAGTACTAGGTAGGTAGAGTGGAGTAGAGTAGTAGGCACTCTAGTACTACCCGTCCAAATCCCTTTTCACCGTACTGCCCTACTGCGGCCCGCTGGTCGCAGATCAACCAACGCCTGGGTAGGCACAGGCCGGCGGCGGCCAACGGTGTAGTTGCACATGGCCAAGTACGGTGGAGTAGAGCAGTAGAGTAGTAGAGTAGAGAATGGAAAGCTGACCACCACTTGCACTTGACCGTCCACCTGGGCCAATGACCTCTGCGTACCTGCAAAGCCCGTGGGTGGATGGGAAAACCTTGAAAGTGCACTTGTTGGTTGACAGCTGTGGTGGGGCCTTTTGCAGCTTGCAGCCTCTTCTGCCTGCCTAGGTATAGGCAGTGCATACTCTACTCTCCTCCTCTAACTCTTACTCTTACCCACCCGACCGCATACTTCCGCATGCCCGCCCACTTCCGCCTCCTCCTTTAGTACTCTAGAGTCTAGTACTGACATACCGTCTACACCACACCAGCTTCTGCATCATGCTTACTACCCGTCCTTGACCTTGCCGGCTTCTGTACGACCGAATCGCCCTGCCGCCTGTAGCCGCTACCTAGCTCTAGCCTCGCTCGCTCTCTCTCTCTCTCTCTCTCTCTCTCTCTCTCTCTCTCGCTCTCGCACAGCAGCTCGGATCGGCATGGTCCACCGTCGGCACACTCGGTACTCTCTGTCTGTACTACTGTGTAGATACTCACCCACAACACACCGCATTCCTTGGGCTGCCTCTTGGCCATGGAGAATTGCCTAGTGAGCCCTCTCTCCGTCTTCCCCCTTCTACATACCTAGGCAAGCCTACTACCGGTACAGGCATGTCTAGAGTAGAGTAGCCGTTGGGTCAACGAAGCTGGAAGCCTTGTCCACAAGGCCTCCACCCCACCACTGACCACCATGCTACCCATTGTAACCTGCCTACCTCGGTGCCTGTGTGCCACGACGCATCATCCCTCCTCCGCCTTCCCGGTCGCACATCCAATCTACCTTCCCTACCTAACACCTATGCTTTTTCTTCACACCGACACCCTCTCGACACTGCCCTGTCTGTGCCTCACAAAGACGGGCGGAGGTCGAAACACGCTTTGCCAATAACCGCCAGCCGTGCAGCTGCATTGCGTGTCCCCCCCCCCCCTCTCTCTCGCTGAGAGTGGGGAACAAGGCCCGGTGCAGAACCAAAAAAAATCGTACCATTTCCACAGTCCATAGGCCACAGTCCACGCAGTACTTGTACAACTTGACGGCGGCGTCTTCGAGCAAATCCGGAGATTGGCGGCGGGGTGGAGAGAGCTGACGCCATTTTCGTCATCCACCCTCGACTCAAGTCTCACAGCATGCTGCTAGCTATCATCATCGCTTTGATTTGGCTGGATAGAATGACCGCCATCTATTCCTACACCTACTTACTTATCACGTACCTCTACCACATCACCCCACCCACCTCTACCTACAACATCCTTTCAAGCACACACTTGTCCCATCATCAACCCCTGCCCCTAACATGACATGCAATCTTGTGAGATGCTTGTCTCTACTCTCCGCATCTAGAGACACTTCATTCTGAGCTTTCTACACACTTGTCCCCTTTGTTCCAACACTCGTCTACTTCTACATGCTTTTATACCCGTCTACTTCTACATGCACTTTGCACACTTTTTAATCCTACATGCACATTTTATACGAATTCAATCGTACAGTTACCTTTCATACTCATCCATCCTTCATCGCTTTCCTCGAGCAAACGCACCAATCTCATGCACTCCCTCATCAGCGAATCATCTCACTCAACCAAAGGAGCGATGAAGTTCTCAAGTAAAAGAGCGGAAGCAACGTCTATTGTGGAATATCGGGTAGACTACCAGAAGACGGCCTAGACTCGGATCTCCCTCCAGCTTCACCGTGTATCGCGTGTGAGGATGGCGTTTTGCAATCCTTCCTTTACTTGACGACAGCAAACGATTCCAGGATCAACAGCACAACCTAAACAAACCAAAGGCCCATCAAAACGTCCTTTATCTCGCGTTGCTGCCTTGAATGGCCACTGCATGATACCAGCAAGCTCCAAGTCGCATTCACTTTGCATTTCCATTGCCCGTCAAACGGCGACCCCGCACACGCTGGAACCTCTCTTCTTCTCCTTTCTTCTCCACTCAAAACTGCAGCTTCTTCTTCATCCCTTCCTTGTTCTCCTTGCTTCATTACTTCATCTCTGCACTTCGCCCCCCACCAATCCAACCCCATCCACAAAGCTTCTACACCACCGACAATATGCCTCCCAAAAAGGAAGCCGGCGATGGCCTTCTCAAGGAATTCGAGGACCGCGAGACCAAGCTCATTGCTGCCGCTTTCCTCTCCACCACGGGACCTGACAAAGTGAGTCGCACTAACACTCGGTTCCTTTCCATCACAAAGTAACAGTAAACAGTTCGACTATGACCTCATGGCCGCTCTCACCGGCAACACGGTCGGCTCCCTCAAGAAGATGTGGCCACCCGTGAAGCGCAAGGCCATGGAAAAGTATACAGGCTTTGCCAAGTTCCTCGGTCAGCCTAGCACTTCCACCGCCGCCGCTGCATCCTCTCCGGCTCCCAAGATAGCTGCTAGCAAGAAGCGCAAGGCCGCCAGCGAGGACGAGACTCCCGACAACAATGCTAGCGGCGGTCGTACTGACTCTACCGCTGCTATTGACAAGTCGGATGGCAACAAGTCCAACTCCAAAAAGAAAACCCCCGTCGCAAAGAAGCCGGCCGGCCGTCCTCGCAAGCAGATCAAGATGGAGGAAGAAGAAGAAGAAGGAGGAGGAGGAGAGGGAGCAAAAGACGATGCCATGGACGAGCTTGATGTGCACTCCGCTGGCGGCAGCGATGGCCTTCGTGAGTACGCTCTGAGAAACGGTGTTTGGGGCTGGTGGGACGCTGCTAACGGTGAAGGAACAGACAACCAGGCTACCGTTGATGAAGAGGAGATTTAGCGAACCATGTGTCTGTTCATCACCGGGGGTGCCTGTTCCCGCAACGCAATTTGTTGGGTCGGGACATATGGCATGGCAGAATGTCTTCCAGGCATTCGGTGCAGGTACTGGCGTTATGCTCTGGCGCCATCTGTATCCGAACCTCTACCGTCTTTCCTTGAGATGACGGTCCGCCTCGCACTATGTCTAGTATTGCGTATCGCAAGGTATTCAGTATGACATGGGCAGGCATTTACAACACGACTTGAAGTTGCCATGTGCTTGGTAGTATCCATTTGAACAATGGAAATCATGGCTTCAACGCCTCTTGCTTATGCCTCGTTGCTGAATAGCAGTATAAGATTCTGTGAATGACGATCCACTCAAGGGACCCGTAGAAGAATGGTTGTGAGGACGCGATGAATTCCATGTCGCGTTCCTACCGAGGCCTGCCGGTAGACTTGTTGAAAACACGTTGTCGCGTCATCACGTGATCCTAGCTGTGTTGACATTTGCCGTGTAGGAAATTGCCATCAGACCTGCCGGAGCCATTCCGCACTCTCAAAATAGCCTGACAAACACCACGCAGCATAGAGTACAGTCCTGTCCAGGTTACTCTGATGGTGCCGCTCTGATAGCTAATTCACCCGACCAACCAGTACACAATGTCTGTGTTCTCTACGACCCTGCTTACCGGTACATTTTGTGCCAGGCCCCTCCTTGCTGGATGATGCAATTCACCCGCACTCCTCCTCGTTACTAGCAACACTCGTCCACTTGCATCAACTACCCCATGTCGCTGCAGAGTCTCTTTCGAACAACGCCACAAGAGATCCTCTGCAAGGATTTCAGCAATTCCCCAGAGTCTCTTTCGAACAACGCCACAAGAGATCCTCTGCAAGGATTTCAGCAATTCCCATTATCCTCCTACGCGAACAACATGACGCGCCTTGCTCCCGTCATCTCCATCTCCCACGGCGGAGGCCCCATGCCCATCCTCGGCGATCCCTCCCATACCGCCATCACAAAGTCCCTGCAAACCAACGTCCCTAGGATTCTCAAGTTGGACACTCCAGACGCCCCAAAAGCTATCGTTCTGGTGACGGCGCATTGGTCGACGAGCAAGGTGACTATATCCAGTGGCTCGAAATATGACATGCTGTACGACTACTACGGGTTCCCGCCGGAAGCCTACAAAATCAAGCATGATGCGCCAGGCAGTCCTGAAGTAGCGAACCTTGTAGAAGCTGCGTTGAAAGACGCAGGCATCGAATGTGAAAAGGACGCTGAACGCCGTAAGCAAGAAAATTCCCTCACGTGAATGGACAACATTTTGCTTGACCACAAGACTAATTGCCTTACCTGTGACTTGCTCTTTCCAGAATGGGACCACGGCGTCTTCATCCCCATGAAACTCATCGATCCCGCAGCCCAAATCCCCATCATCCAACTCAGCGTCCTATCCTCCGAATCCCCCTCGCACTCCTTCGCAATCGGGCGCGCCCTCTCTCATCTGCGCACCCAAAACATCGCCATCATTGGCTCAGGCTTTGCCACCTTTCACAACCTGCGCCTCGTCTTCTCTGGCGCCTCCTCGACACCGGAATTCAAGGGAAAAAACGTCGAGTGGAGTACCAAGGTTACGGAGGCAGCGCTCACGCTTGATGAAGAGCTGCGCCATGACAAGTTCTTGACATGGAGGGAGTGGCCCCATAGTTGGGAGATGCATCCTAGAGGTGGGGCGGAACACTTTTTGCCCCTGGTTGTGTGTGCAGGGGCTGCAGGACGAACAAGGGGGAAGGCATATGCGGATGAGTTTGGGGGATTTGATATGTGGAGTTATTATTGGGATGAAGAGGGGGGGGGGAGGAGGAGAACATAGCCAAATTTTTGACTACTAAAAAGTCTTGGTAAGATGGACAAGGATGATGAAATTTCGGGCTTGAAAGAGGCGGCGAGATGAGGAGGGACATAGGATTAAGCGTGGGGCTCATACAAGCGTTGCTCATTGAATACGATGAAGGCTACAGGTGAAGGCTGTATGACTTCTCGCTTCTCTGGCTCACAAAGCTAAGACCACAGTGAACGCAGTTGCACCTGTAATGATGGCAGCACAACCAGCAGTAGACAGTTCTTTGATGCTAATTGCCATTGGTTTCTAAGCATTGCTTACTCGATTATCAGAAACTCAATATACCTCGCTCATATTCACAGTTCATGTGACCAGCCGCAATATGGGAGCTCAAGAGCCCAAGCAAAACGAAGCTTGCATGCCAAGCCCTGGCATTCTTGGTCGTCTTCAGACCTTCTTCATCTCCTAAATCTTTGACGATTCTTTCTGCCTCTTCATCTCCTAAATCTTTGACGATTCTTTCTGCCTCTTCATCTCCTAAATCTTTGACGATTCTTTCTGCCTCTTCATCTCCTAAATCTTTGACGATTCTTTCTGCCTCTTCTCTTTCGTGCTCGAGTTGCACTTTTAATCCGATGCGATACCATGGATTGCTTGTCTACTGCACCTGCCTAGTAGAAGTGCCGGCACCCAGGCCCTGCTCGTTGGCCGTCTTCTCTTCGAAGTCCCGGTACCGGCTGGAGGTATCGCTTTCTGTTTCCACGGGGGCAACGGTCGCCGGAACGGTCTCCTTGTTCTCCTTCCAGCCCATGTACAGGAAACCGAGGATTACGGCAAGCCAGTAGAGGTTGTACGAGATGACGGAACCATAGGTAGCGCTGTTTTGCCATCCGAACAGTGAGTTGAAAATCATCCAGCCACTGGTTTTATATCAGCAGGGCTCAATAGACAATTTTGTCTCATGAGGGGTGACTTACCCATCACCGTTTTCCAAAGGTGAGCAGCACTAATAGAAGTCAGTCTCAGGACTTAAACGAGCCAAGAAGAATGTCGCCCCATGCTAACAAGGCGTAAGGATAAGAGACTTACGTTGACGTGCCAAACACTATTCCTAATGTCATAGCTGCCAGGTCCGGTACCAGCTTCTGCTGCACCCTCACCAGCAAGCCTCACCCACGCGTTCTGCTCGAGGTTCCAGACGCCCTTGGAAAAGAGACCAGCGGCGACAAGGTACAGGAAACATGTGGAAATAACGAGGAATATTTGCAGGGACGTTTTGTTGCCGCCCTTGTAAATGAGCCAACCCACGAGCGCGCCAGCACCGAGCCCACAGAGTACAGCCAAGGGGAATGAAGTGGCGGGCAAACCAAGGCCAACACCAGCAATGAAGCTGTCGGGATCATCAGGATTGGTTCCATCCAAAACAAATGTGCTCGGTGAACTTACAGCACGGCCTCGATACCTTCACGGAGGACGGTAATGAATGGCAGGACAAACATGGCATACTTCTCCGACCATGCCTTCAACTTACCCTTGATGGGCAACTTTGTGTCCTTGTTCTCGAGAACCTTGGCAATCTTAACACGCCATTTGTCTTGCAGTTTGCTCACACGTAGCAGGGCTGCGCCCATCAAGGTGATGATGATGCTTGCCACGATGCCAAACACACCTTCCCAGATATTTTCAGCCGACTCGAAAGAATTCCTGCCTGCTGTGTAGACTGCAGATTCGGGCTCAGAGTCAGTGTGTAGCTCGAGGGGTCGGCCAGAGCCTGGGACTTACACGTTCCGATCACACCAGCACAAATGATCAGACATATCAGTATCCCGGCCCCTACACCGTACCAAACCTGCCGGACAAGGCGTTTGCGAATAGCAGCATCATGCTCAGGGCCGAGACTCTGCTTCAAAAAAGCAAGGAGGACAGAGACAATGATGCTCGTCTCCAGGCATTCTCGGAAACAGATGAAGAAGACTACACATGGGTGTAAGCATGTCTGTCCAACAGCAACAGGCCAACCAGAGAGGTATAAATGGCCCTCTTTTGAGGCTTACCTGGTACCGCAAAGACGTTCGGCATGGTTATCAGATTTTGACTTTGCTGAGTTTTACAGTTAGAGATCTGATCAGATTAAAGAGACGTAGAGTTTGAGGGAAGGGCAGATCTAATCAGATGCACAAGTGTTGGAAAACCTTGCTACGGTCCATCCCTCGTGCCACGGGGTCGCGTAGGTAGAGGCTGGCGCTAGGTAACAGTCAACAACCGAGTTCGGCCCTTAACCAGATTATCTGTGGTAGAGTCTCTCAATCTGTGTTAGCTATCCCTCGCCGACTTTGCTCGCGAGCCGTTGCGACATGGTCTGATCGGCCTTTTGTCGCGCCTTCTGGCTTTACTTTTCCCACACTAAGGAGTTTAGGAGCGGATATCCGCGACGTTTTGGGGGTGGAATGTGAAAAAGTGTTTTGCACCTCCACTCACCATCACCAATCCCAGAGAGTTGACCACCTCCACCCTCGCGTGGCCAAGGCAAGCTCACATGGCTCCCCCATGCTTCAGGATCTGCTATCCCGCCAAGTAAGCCAAACTGACACAAGAGTTTGTCACGCACGCTAAGGCATAACTAGACAAGCCACCGCTTACCCCAGTCCTTCAGTCGGTAAGGGTCCAGATTATCAGATGCCCGATTATCAACGGCAAACTGTCACTCTTTGGACAAATCAACTTGTTTTCCCAACCGTACTCGGTTCGAGCATCGCTAAACCAGAAAATCTCTTTTCTGCCGCTGCTACCTACCGTACCCTTGAAGCCCCGATGGCCGCAACTTCAAGCCATGGTGGTGCCATCGCCTACCAAAGCCTCCCGCTATGTGTCTCGCTTTGAAGACGCTAGCCGCTAGACTTAAACAGCAGATGATCTGATAACTTTTTAGATTCGGCTGAAGAGGTCGAAGCGGCTAAGTCCTCGGTCGTGGGAATTGGGGTGTTATCTGATGCCCGCCCGATCAGTGGATGCCATCTAATCTTTTTCATCAGTCGTCGACCCGGTGCTAAGGATCGCGAGTTCGGTCGGACTTTTGGTATTGCCTGTCCAGATACACTTTGTCCAACATTCCTCTCCCTCTCTTCCTCTCTCAAACCTTGTCTGTTTTACGTTCTACATCGTGTACGCCTTCAAGATGGCGCGCTCCCTGTCCAGCTTCCTCCTTCCAATATCTCTGCTCGCCTCTGCTGCCTATGGTGCAGTTGTGACATATGACTTCGAGGCAGGTTGGGTATACGCCAATCCTGATGGCCAACAGACACGCCCCGTTCAGGGTATCAATGGTCAATGGCCGATCCCACCCATTGTCGCCAATGTTGGTGATCAAATCATCGTCAACCTGAAGAATTCGCTCGGAAACGAGTCGACTTCTCTGCATTTCCATGGTCTCTACATGAATGGCACTACTCACATGGATGGCCCTGTTGCTGTTACGCAATGTGCTGTTGTGCCAGGCAGCTCGTTCACGTACAACTTCACAGTAAGTTTTTGGAACTAGTCAGCATAAATTCATACTAACTTGCCTAGATCAACCAGCCTGGAACTTATTGGTGTGGGTATCTTCTAATATCAAAGTATAATCACAAAACCCTGACTTCTTGCAGATCATTCCCATGAGCGGGGTCAGTATCCAGACGGCATACGCGGGCCTTTGATCATTCATGACCCAGAAGACCCCTTCAAGGACATGTACGACGAGGAAATCGTCATCACCCTCTCCGACTGGTACCATGAGCTCATGCAACCACTCCTCTCACAATTCATCAGCGTTGCCAATCCCTCCGGAGCTGAGCCCGTGCCTCAGGCTGCTCTTATGAACGACACACAAAACTTGTCGGTCAAGATTGAGCCGGGTAAGACATACCTATTCCGCCTAGTCAACATGGGTGCTTTTGCCGCACAGTATGTCTGGTTTGAAGAGCACACAATGAAGATTGTTGAAGTCGATGGCATTTACACGGAACCTACCGATGCGAATATGCTGTATCTCACTGCGGCGCAACGATACAGTGTGCTTGTGACTGCAAAGAATGATACAAACTCCAACTTTGCTTTTGTCGGATCCATGGACCAGGATCTGTTTGATGCCATTCCCGACGGCCTGAACCCCAATGTCACAGGCTGGCTCGTCTACGATGATAGCAAGGAGAAGCCAGCACCAAAGGAAGCCCAAGCTTTTGAACCGTTCGACGACTTCACCTTGGTACCCTACGACAAGGGTGCGCTCCTCGAACACGTCGACCGAACAATCACACTCGACATGAAGATGGACAACTTGGACGATGGTGCAAACTAGTAAGTTCATCATCTCTACCTCTTGTTATTAAAAAAAAATGATTCCATACTTATCCAATCACAGCGCCTTCTTCAACGACGTAACCTACGTGCACCCCAAAGTCCCAACCCTCTACTCCGTTCTCTCCACCGGGGAGAACGCCACCAACCCGGCCATCTACGGCAGCAACACAAATTCTTTTGTCCTCGCTGCTCAAAACGAAGTCGTCGAAATCGTGCTCAACAACAACGACCCCGGAAAGTAGGTTTTTTTCTGCATGGGGTCTTTACCTTTCCTTCCCTCCAACTACTCCTACCCTACCCTTTTACGAGCCACTTACTCCATGACAACTGACATTTGCACAGACACCCCTTTCATCTCCACGGCCACGCTTTCCAACTCGTAACACGCAGCGAAGAAGAAGCGGGCGCCTACGACCCTGCAAACACGACGACGCCGTCTGCAACACCCATGCGTCGTGACACCGTCCTCGTCCGACCAAACGGGCACATTGCACTGCGCTTCCGCTCCGACAATCCCGGCGTCTGGCTTTTCCACTGGTACGTCTTCATTTCATCCTTGTCAAACTCCTTACCCGGCTCTCTTCTTTCTGCAACATCCCTTCTAACCAAGCCCCCTTCCCACAGCCACATAGAATGGCACGTGGCCTCGGGCCTAACCGCCACCATCATCGAGCGCCCCCTCGATATCCAATCCCAACTGGCCGGCCATATCCCGACTGACCACCTTGCCGCCTGCGCCGCGGGCCAGGTCCCCACGGCTGGAAACGCAGCGGGGAATACGCTGGACCTGCTGGACCTCACTGGCGAAAACAAGAGTCCTGGCACCTTGCCAGCTGGATTCACGGCCCGAGGTATTGTGGCGCTCGTCTTTAGTTGTGTGGCCGCGTTTGTGGGCATGGCAGTGATTGCGGGCTATGGATTGAGGCCGCTGAAGGTGAGGGTGGCGTAGGTGGGTGGGTGGGTGGTAGGCTGTCTCTGTGCGTGTGCGTTGGGAAATGAAGCAAATGCTTTCAGGTACACGCATGGTTGAAAGGTAGCAATGACGATAGATTCTGATTTTGAACAAAGGGCGGATGTGGCGGTCTTATGTTGTATACCAGTTCCTCTCTCAGCATTTCAATAAAATATGCAAAACCCATCGTGATCAGGAACGTTCATGTGGCGTGATATTATATCGATCTTGTATATTATGTTTTCAAAAAGATGCTGTCAAACATCTCAGCATTGCGTCGCAGCTTCTCTATAGACGCGTACCACAACAGTAGGCCGACTAAACGAACAACATCCACAGAAATTCACATGCCAGAACTTCCTACGTAAAAAGCAATAAAACTGGAGAGAAATCGCCAATAACTACAAGTTTAGTACGGGGGCAAAAGTGTACAACATATAAAACTCGGGACCACATATGCCCGTCCGCTCCTTTAACCATTACCTCCAGCTCATCGTGGTGCTGGTCACCTGCAATGCTCTTACGTGCAGCTCACCTGGCAACGCCGCACGAGAAGCTCATCTTCTGATTCGAACGAGAAGAGGTGCCGAGCATACACATCAGTCCTGGGCCTTGAGCCCTATTTTGGTCCGTGAGAGGAGCTCTACTGACTCTTCTTCTCCTTGTTGGGCAGACCTTGTTTCTTCCTCATCTCACGATCACCCTCGGCCAACCATTGGCTAGCCTTGACCATCTGTACCACGTTAATCCATTGCTTGATTGCCATGATGGGAGCAGAAGCGATCATCAGGATCCAAGGAACAGTCGAGTCCATCTTGTTGGCACGAGCCATCTCCATGGCTGCAGCAGAAAAGGGGCTTGCGAAAAAGGCTGAGGGCTTAGGAGCAGCCGGGGAGCCGGGCTGAATTGAGGAAGGGGTGTTGATATCTGAGAAGAGGGTAGGCGAAAGGAGGGGCGAGCTGAAGGAGAGGAGGTAGAGGGCGATGAAGAAGATTTCATTCATGGCACAAAAGGTGAACAGGACTTTCTGCGGGGTATCAGTCAGAGGCATGGTGACAACTTGATGATCTTGGGCATACATTGTTGGAGTAGTACTGCTTCAGCAGCCAACTGCGGCTCTCATCCACATTCTTGTGTGACTGTCCACTGCCTCCCATGCTCAAGGTGGCGTACATGTGCATGTAGTGGCTGGCTAAATCCAACGAGATGAGACCTTGGAAGACGATACTCCAGCGGGGGAAGGCTTGGGCAAGAAAGACCAACAAGCACGTTGTTGTGCATCTGTCGGTTACCATGTCCAAGACTGCGCCAAACTTTGTGCTTTGCGAGAAGGATCGAGCCGCGTAGCCATCGAGGGCATCGAGGAGGCAGGATACGCTGTAGAGGAGCGTGCATGTGCGTGGGTGGAGGGGCATGTAGTAAAGCGATGTGATGGCGAGGATGATGCGAGAGTAGCCTGCGTATCGTGTGAGGACGTGGCCGATCAGACAAGAGTGTCGAACACCTACCAATCAAGTTGGGTATGAAAAGAAAGATGTTCTCTTCTTTTTCCTCTTCTTCTTCTTCTGCAACGCGTACAGGCTTGGACCTCACAGCTGCGCCATGGCCGTTGCCGTTGCCGTTTGTTTGTACTGCGGCCATGTTTTAAGCAAAGCAAGGTAACACTACACTTGTCAATCTGATTTCAGTCCTGAACAGCCTCAGAGACCACTCTCAGAAAAGTTTCCAATATAGGGCGAACCCCGCACTCGGTCTTGCGTCGAGGACTTGATTCACGCTGGCAGCCTAGACCTGGGCTCCTGTAGCACCGAGCGACCAAGGGAGGGTGCAAGCGTGTGAGCGTGTTGTAAGCGTGACGTTGGTTTGCGGGGTGCCTGACGCTGGTATTGGCGCGTATTTGGACGTTGGCAAGTAGATGACAACGGGCTAGAGTACCGTTCGAGGTGAGGTTGCGCGGCCCTGAGGGTCTGGCGATGGCTGTTGGGTTTTGGCTTGGGTGGGTCGCGACCAGAAAGTTATGGAAGTGTGGACGAACGGGACCGATAAGCCCGATAAGGATGCGAATGCGGATGCGGAGCAGGGTTGCAGCACAGCAAGCTGCGCGTGCCTTGTGGCCTTCTGGCGTGGTTGCAGGAAAGGCAGGGGACCGCTGAATGGATTGGAGCAGATTCGTGGGCAAACAGACACGAGATGAGCCTGGAGATTGTCATCAAGAAATATCTGGCCCAGGCTTACCGTCCACGACAGGTCATGTTCTCTAGCACATACTCTGGTCCGTCAGTTCCGAGGTGGGCGGAATCTAAACCGAAAAGGGGCAACGTCTTGGCAGACGCAACGCTTCCACGTTCAGCCGCACCATCCTTTTCTTGCTCCAGTTTCTTTGTTCTTGTTACTCTTGTTGATGTGATGCATGTCGTCTCAGGAGGATTGAGGAGCGATTCTACAAGTACATTGACGCACTTTGCCATCGGCCTGACATCCTCTCCACAAGGATCCTACCTACCGGTACCGTATACCTTCGTGGCCGACCCTACACTACTGTGGTAGACCAGAATCCTGACCCCAGACCTGCTCGGAAACAAGACATGGCAGCGATAAGACGAGACATCAAGATGCGGACTGTTAAACACTTTATTGACTTGCACTCCATTATGATGATACGGGGGCAATTAATCTTTCCCAAAACCCTTGAACGCTGTCCTCTTAGCAATCTCCTTGCTCTTCTTCTTGACATGCGCCGCCTTCTCCTTTGCTTTTCCAGTACTCAGCCCCCTGTCCTGCTTGCCCTTCTTCCACTGTTTGCCTTCGGTGCGGAAGTCCCTCGCTTCAAGCTTCTTCTTGTCCTTGCCACTCAACTTCTTTCCCTTCTTCTTGTCCTTCACAGAACCACCCGCTGGACCATTCAGTGCAGCAGCCCCCTTCTCACGCTCGGCTATCTTTTCCTTTTCCGATTCGAACCATACGCGTCGGGGCCTGGCTTTGATTTCGTCTTCGTGAAGAATCAGATTTTCACCTCGCTTGAGATCTCGCTCTGTTATACTGAGTAGACGTTCATCCTTTTCTTCCTGAAGGACCTCCTCAATCTCCTCTTCGAGCCCCCGAAGCTTTGTCATCCATCGATCGGTTTCTTCCACCGGAACCTGTCGTTGGACTACTTTGGCGCCTTGATCGCGAGCAGCCTTGACAGCTTGCTTGACAACCTTGCGGTCAGGCTCTGCAGCCAGGGTGCATGCTCGACCCTCACGTCCAGCACGGGCAGTACGACCCACACGATGCATGTAGATGTCATGAGTCTGAGGAGCTTCGTAGTTGATCACCGTCGAGACGTTCTTGATATCGAGACCACGAGACGCAACGTCTGTGGCCAGCAGGTATGCCGATTTGCCTGATCTGAAAGCTTCCACGGCTTGGATACGCTGTGACAGGTTAGTAAAGGATTCGAGAATGGGTGTTCCCATCATGCCCTACCTGTTCTTGGCTCATGTTGCCGTGGAGCTCGCTTGCCTTGAGTCCACAGAGAGCGAAGACAACACGAACCCTGTGTGCCTCCTTCTTCTGTCTGAAGAATATGATGACTCGCTCGTTGTAGAATTTCTCACAAATGTACATGAGGTAAGCAAGTCGCCTATCCTCTTTTCCTTGCCTGAGACGAATGAACTCTTGGGTAAGGCCCTTGACAGTATGCTTTTTCGCATCCACCATGAGACGCACAGGCTTATCCATGCCAATGCGAATCAACCTGTCCACAGTGCTCGTCATTGTTGCGGAAAACAACATGGTTTGACGCGACTTAGGGATTGTTGTAAGAATCTCGTTGAGTTGGGACTCGAAACCTTCTTCAAGCATACGATCAGCTTCATCGAGAACCAAAATCTCGAGATGCTCGACTTGGAAAGCAGCAGTGTTGTGCATGTGATCAATGAAACGACCTGGGGTAGCAATCACAACATCCGGCCGGGTCTTTAGTACTGCTTCCTGATCTTTTGTGGAGAAACCACCAGCCATGAGAGCGAAGGTGATATCGGTAAAAGATGCAAGTTTTGTAGCGACATTGAAACATTGGACAGCCAGCTCGCGTGTGGGCATGAAGATAGCCACACGTGTGGTCGGTACCTTCTTTGGTCGGTACAGAAGACGCTCGAGAATGGGAATAAGAAAGGCAGCTGTTTTACCAGAACCCGTCTCGGCGCCACCCACAACGTCCTTTCCCTGCATCGCGATGGGGATGGCTTTGTTCTGAATTGGCGTTGGCTCACTGAAGCCTACGGCCGCAAGGCCACGCAAAATGGGTCGAGAGAGTGACATGGCCTGGAAGGATCCGGTGCTGGCTTTGGCGCTCTTCTTCTTCTTGGTCACACTTTCCTCAGGCGCAAAAAATTCTGCTGCCTTCTTCGCTTCTTCTGCGTCCTCTTGCTCTTCGTCAGATGCTGATGCCTCGGCATCCATGGGGTGTGGCACATGCGGAATCTCTTCGTCCTCATCAGACTCAGCACCGTCATCTGCAGACTCATCTTCAGATGCATCTTCGCCCCCTTCCTCCCTATCCGAATCTGAGTCGCTCGCGGCGCCCATGCCGAAGCCATCCTCGGCCATGAGCTCATCGTCTTCTTCAGTGAATCCGTCAAACTCGGCTTCATCGTCCAAATTGTTCTCATCGTCATCCTCGGTCTCTTTTGCCGCCCTTTGTTGTCTTCGTCTGCGCTCGATGATGTCGTCGACATCAACTGCGTTGCCCTTTTTGCCGGATTCCTGTGCTACCGTGCCATTCTCATTGCCCCAGCCATCGAATTCCTCGACGAAGCCAGTGTCGATATCGCCCACAGCAAACTCGAAGTCACTGTCAATATCGTCGTTCTGTGCAATCTCTTCGCCTGGCTCTGGCATGGCTACCTCATCATCGTCTGTCTCGACCGCGGTTTCTGGCTCCGTTTGCTTTCCCTTGTTCCCCTTTTTTTTATCCTTTTTAGCTTTTTTGGAAGCCACCTCCTTAGGCTTCACGCCCTGATCGGGGTCCTCGGTGAACTTCCTCTTTTTGCCAGTGCCAGCAAGTTTCGGCGTGGCCGCGATGAGCTCCTCGGCGCCGCCGTCGTCGGATACATCATCATGGTCGGAGATTGTGAAGATGAAGTCGTCGTCATGGTCAAAGTTTGGAGCCATGGGCGCGGTTGTGATCGTGTTTACAGGCGCGGTCGCTCTGAGACGTAGATTTTTCTTCTTGTCCCGACTTGTCGCAAGAAAAAAAGTTCGAGGTTCGGCTCGGGGGATCTGTGCTCACAAGATCCCTGTCCCGGGCTGGTGGGGCATTTATTCCCGCTAGCCATGTTTTGTACAAGTGGGAACTTGTGTTGTAAACTAGCGATCACGTGGAGTGCCAAGACTTGACCCCATACATGTAGTCGTCCACTCTAGGCATCCAAGACGCACAGCCTCACGACATCCAAGGCAACAAACATGATTCTTCCAATCAGACACTTTCGCTGCCGCCATTCGAGTTGTAGATGATCGGTGTTCCTGGAGCCTAGAATCTGTGGCTGACAGTGCAACCTGTACTGCTGGCAGCTAACTCCATGCCTACCGTGCACCACGCTCTCATGGAAGAGTAGGCTGTTCTTGCCATGACGGGACGGCTGCCTGCTTGTATTCTAGGCCTCCGTACAACCTGACTGGCTGTTTCTTATCTCTTCGTTATGATACCGCCATTTCCTAGCGTCGAGCCTTACTTACACCTACAGTACCTCTCGTGCATACATCATCTTGAAACCCCCCAGTTGTGCAACTTACCATAGACTCCCAGCACAACACTCACACTTACACGGTCTCTCTCTTTCTCTCCTCCATCCCCTCTTTCTTCTCCCTCTCTGCCCATAGGCTTACTTCTTTCGTACACCTTCTCTCAACTAATTCAAATATGACGCAATGGCGACCTGACGCCACACTCAGCCCACCGTCCCATACACCAGGCCCAGGCAGCGGACGCATTTTAAGGTCACATACTGCTGCCATTACTGCCGCCCGTACTGCCCAGCTTGCTACTGCTACTCTCAAAGTCACAAAGCCTGCCCCGAAGCCCAAGAAACGGCGTGCGCGTGCGGATCCATGGGCGCCAAAGCGTAAGCCAAATCCCAACCCGAAGCCTCGTCCACCTCCGCCATCACACCTCACTTGTCGCATCTGTATTGAGGAGCGGCCATTTGGTGAGTTTGTCAAGTGGGTACCACCAATCCGCCGAAGGATTTATGCGCCTCTTGATATACCATATTCCTGCATCCTGCACCTTGCTCGCAACCCAAAGAGAAAGAACGTTCACCCGGTCTGCAAGACGTGCATTGGCAGATCTCTAGCTGCCAGAATTGATATGCTTGGTGCTCGCCGGGCAGGCATAGGGTGTCTGGAGCCGGGATGCGAGCAGCCATGGGACCGCGATTACATCTTGCGTTATATCACCGGCGAGGCATTGCACAAGTACAACATGGACATGTTCGAGGTCTGGAAGACAGACATATCACCCGGCTTCTTCATCTGTCTGTCGCCGACGTGCAACGCGATTGGCTTACCAGACATCTTCGCGCCAGGTTTCCCACAAGTCATATGCCACGAATGCTCGTTCCGGGCGTGCGCACAGTGCGCTGTACCATGGCACAAGGACCTCTCTTGCTCAGAATATGCCGCCAAAACGGTGGACGAGAAGATGACGGATCCGGACAAGGAGATTCTCAAGTTGATGCAGAGCAAAGACGGCAGACGATGTCCCAACTGCCAACTAGTGATTGAAAAAGACGGCGGCTGTAACAGCATGTAAGCCGCCCTCTTTCTTGTCCATAGCTGAACAAATGATTGACTTGGATTCAGGCTCTGTTCAGGGTGTAACAAGTATTTCAACTGGGATAGCGCAGCATCAGCCATTGCCGGCTCTAGGAAGGCCGAGCCATTTCTGCGCAATGCTGCACCTGTAAGCATGGGATCTGTACCTTTCGCCATGATGCGCAATCTCACACTAATTTAGTACTGGAACAACCGCAATGTTGGGTCCGGAATCTGCGAACAGGATGCCATTGATGCCGCTGCGGCTCCAACAACGAAAAATCATACCGATGCTCCAAATGGGAATGGACACACAAGCAATGAATGAAATGTACTTGAATGCTTTCGTCCAAGATCAGCGGCGAGGATGAGCCATGATGGGCGTTGATTGTATCATATAGCCATCATATCGTATACAACACTATAATAACTTTTGTGAATACTTCCACGCATATATCGTTTATGTGCACTTTTAACCACTCTGCATTGTCGCCACGGAGAAAAGGGAGCAAAGGGCAGACACAGGAAAATAGATAGGCCTCATTTGCAAAAATTCAAAGAGCCCCAAGGCTCAAAATGGTATTATATTGTAGCTTCTCTCTCCACTTATGTACACACACAGAAACGAAATAAAAAGGAAAGAAAGAAAGAAAGAAGAGAAGAAGTGAAGCCCACCACCGCCACCACCACCTTCGCTGCGAAAAAAAGTACAAATTCTAGAACACAACAAACCAACCACCCGTTTTGACCACTCCCTGGACCCCTTTGCGCCTCCCTCTCCATCGCAGACAAGCGCGGTAAATGTAGTGCCTGCTCTGTGAGGGTTTCCTTATTCGTCTTCCCACTTTCTCATCTCTGTTCGCCGAGTTGATGCATTACCCTTCCCAATATTTTCATCAAAACGCCCTTGTTTTTTTCTTTGGCCCAAAATGTGAAATCTCAATCTTTCTCTCCCCGCTGCCCGCAATTCGCGGAATTAGAAAGTATGTACCAAACCTTATGTGAGAAGTTTTCCGTGTGAAATCTTTGCTTGACGGGCCATTCAGCCATCGTTTTCTTACTTTTTTTTGGTGTGCTTAATGCTTACTTGCCAGTTCTCCTAATTAGAAACCCTCGTTTTGGGCTTCCTGTACGAACCCTGTCTGGCAGCCGCGGCACTGCATCGGATAGGGAGAGTCCGGAGGTCGTACATCGACAGTTGAAGAGAAGGTTCGGTCAGATCACGGGCAGAGAGCCAAAGCGGTGTATCCTAAGCAATGTATGATGCTGCAGTCTGGACTGGACAAAGCAAGTCATGTCAGAACCCTCAAGTTGTCAAACCGATAATCTCAAAGAGAGATGGAGGGGGAAGGGGTGGTATCGAACATGTGCGAGCTTAGCTGAAAGGGAGCTCATGCCGCCGTCGGAACTCCGTTGGAGACATGCTCGGCCTGTGGACGCTTTGCTGCTGCGTGCTCGCTGTCCTGTATCAGCAAGATGTCAGCATAAGAGCGTGTGATGGCTACTCCCGAGGCTCTGTTGAGCAACCGGAGATTTTGGTGTTTCGTGTGTCACCCACGTCAAGACCTGTGTCGGCGAAGGGGCGCTTAACGCCCCCGCCCTTAGTGTCTTTCTTCTTCTTCTCCTTGGCAGGCTTCTTGGGTCGTGTTTCGCCGGGAAGGAAGAGGTCGTCGGGGAGTGCGGTACTGAATGGTCAGCCTGTGTCACGATTGGGTCGCTGGAGGCGACTTACTTGCGGGTGTGGATCACTTTGACGGACATGGTCTTGTCGTCGAATACCTCTGCGTCCGTGATGAAGCTTCGGAATTGACTAACAGGGTATGAAATATCAAGTGCTCTGCCCCCTTCTTTCTTCATTGTGAGTATGCTGTAAAGAGACTGGCCTGGTGGAGCATACCTGTAGTCACAGTGAGGCCGATGTACCAGGACGCTGTGTACATGATTTGGGCATCTCCGTTGGCAAGCGAGGCGCCCTCTGCAGGTACCTCTGATGCTGGGATCATGTATTTCAGACTGCCTTGACTGACTTCGAACACCTGGTCCTCATTTGTGCAACGATGTACCCGCTCAAAACACTTGGGATAGGGGCGCGCAGTATCAATTCCCGTTTGGCCATCGTCGATGCCTTTGACAATGTGCCGGACCTTTGATTGGACCAACCCATTGAATCTCTCATGAGCTTCTTGGGTACGACTGGCGGCAACAATCGTCAGATAGTATTTGTGATCCTTGGTAAAGAAGCTATGGCGTTCAAACAGAGCGTCCCAGGTCTTCGTGCCTGCGAAGATGTGCTGCATGATCTGATCGGCTCTTTGGAACTCCTCTTGCATGATTCGCAAGGTCGAGGGCATGACGGTGTGAGTAGAGCACATGGATGGGAAAGCCGGCGTGATGATGGGCATCAGATGCGATCTGTCGCCGTGGTAGATCTGAAAAGGTCAGCAGGTGCCATGAAGATGGCAGCCTGGAAGCCATACCTGCGGATTCCACACACGAAGTCCCATTGCACCTTCCTCGATGTGCTTCAGTAAGACCGGCCTTGGCCACGACCACTTTTGCATCAGACTGAAGAACTTGGAGACAATGGTAGCTCCGTTGGCAAATGGATATAGCTGGCAAATGCGAGCCACCATGATGGCCCAGGCCACACCTCCAGGGTAGCCAAAGACGGCTCCGTAGATACCGCGTTCGTTGGACCAGAGCTTGATGGCCCTCAGGGCATGTCGAAAGCTGCCCGGGTGTGGTACTGCAGCGAGAAGCTCCTTGGTGACACGGGTGCCGTTGACGCTACGCATGGCCTGTTCCGCAAGACCGTCCAGGTTCTTCTTCTCGATTGTTTCCATGTCCCGCGGCACTGATGAGAGCTTGGGCAAGGATGCGAAGATCAAATCTAGGCTCACGCCACGGTACTCCATCTTGATGATGGGCACAAAGGCGTCCTCGACCGGATTCAGTTCCGTGATGTCCTCGGACTTTGACATTTCTCGGAAGATGGAGGGGAAGTTGCGGAAGAAGTCGTCGATGCTGACTTGTTTGGGCACGACGACGAGCGAATCGATATCGGACGTAGGGCCGTGGACGCCAAGGGCATAGCTGCCAAACGTGAAGACCTTGCCGCCAGCAACGTCGATGGCAGCCTGCTTGACGCCCTTTTGCTTGCAGACGCGACGGACAAACTCTTCCACCACAGTTTGCAGGTGACGGATGACATCGTCCCTGGGATATGCATTAGTCATGCGCTCGGTTGTCATGGGAAGATTAGCAACACGGTCAGGCTACTGTGATGAATACCTCTTCTTGTTGCCCTCGGGAGTTTCAAAGACATTCTTGCGCGTCAGCGTCTCGACCAGCGAATCGTTGAGTTTGGCTTCCTCGGGTCCAGGGCCTGCGGTAGAGATGGCGCTCGTCACGCCATACTGTTTGTTCTTGGGGCCATCCATGGTGGAGAGGGATGCGAAGTCAAGGCCGGGGGTTGCGCCTGGGCCCTGTGCGGATCTTGTTGCGGCGTGCCGAGGAAGTCGCAGTCGCAATCGTGAATGCCGCCGTTTGTCGCGTCGAGTCGCGCCGGGGCGTTATCGTGAGAAGTAGCACTGAGCTGTGAAGGGGGGAGAGGGATGAGGGGAGGGGAAGAAGGTAGGGAGTGGATTCAGCGTTGCCACATGGCGACGCGAGCTTTTTGTTTTTTGTGCCGGGGTTTGGGGGCCTGGCGGAGAGATTGGATGCCAAAGTTGCCTGGCTTTCGCTATTTTTCGTTGTTGCGTCCACCGGCCTTTTGGGGGAAGGAGAGAACCCGCCAAGGCGCTCGCTCCCCATTTCGCATTGTGGCTGCATCAGCCACACATGCAGCCCTCGGCATGGCACGTGATGTATGCAAGTCCTATGCTACGGAGTTACTAATACACCCTAACACGGCCATGTTGACATTTGATCATGATGATTTTCCCGCACAACCCCCGTGGAACATTTATTTTGCCTACACGGCACGCGACATGGCCACTGACGATAGACTACCAGCATCTAGAGTAGCATCTCCAACCCATCCATTCACAATGCGTCTTACGGGTATGGGTTCATGGCCAGAGCGTGTTGGTGCGGGCTGCCTAGAGTACCCAGTGGCTCCGAGTGGGTGGCCGGGTAGGTGTAAGGGCACTATGCTGAATGCCATACTCGTAGGTCCGTAGGTAAATCACGTTGGACTGGTCTGGGAACCATGATTGTGCGTCTTGGGCCCCTTGGTTTCCCAGTCTTACCCATCGCCACCCTCTGTTGCGTGTTCGGAATCCTGGCTGGACCCGTGGCCTGTCAAGCGGGAAGGCGTACGCTAGGAGTGATGAATTAGCCTCGGTGTACTTGCTACGTTCCGCGCCTCGTTGTGAGCAGTCGTAAAATGCCCCGGAATTAGATCCGTCGCTTGCCGTCAAGGGGCTTCTGCGCTTGCGTGGCTTTGCCCGAACAGTATTTCGAGATCAGCAAGCTGTATCTTTGACCGAGCGTGCCAACAAATCACTACTCCTACCCTTCTCCTATATATTTCCTCTACAAACAAGAGAAGTTTGTCATCATCATCATCATCACAATGGCGACGGGCAAGCTAGATGCGGAGAAAGAGATGAAGCGCAACCCGCACGGCGACTTCAAAGCCGTCGAAGCATCGCGACCCCCTTTCGATACTACGGCAAAGTTCCACTACACCCAAACTCCCAAGCCAGACTGGAGTGCAGGAGACGGTCCCAATGAGCCTTCTAGCCTGCAAAAGTCGCATCGCCAAATTGACCCCTACGCTGAAGGGCGTCCTGTAGTACACAACTACAAACTCCTCATCTCCGCCATCATCCCGCGCCCTGTTGGATTTACCTCCACAATCAGCGCAGATGGCAAGTCCACGAACCTGGCTCCCTTCTCTTACTTCAATATGGTGAATCACGATCCTCCCATGTTCGTACTGGGATTTGCAGGTGGCATGGATCGAGCCAAGGATACACTGAAGAACCTGCTGGACACGAAAGAGGCGGTCATCAACATCATCACCGAAGAGTATATCGAAGCGGCCAACTACACGAGTATCAACGCTCCAGTAGGCGTGAGTGAATGGCCGTTGAGTGGGCTGCATGCAGAGAAGAGTACGTATGTGAAGCCAGACAGAGTGAAGGAGGCGGTGTTTAGTATCGAGGGGAAGCTGGTCAGTACAACAGAGTGGACATCGAAGTAAGTTGCCTGCATCAGCATACCCTGTGAAGCAAACAGTAGCTGATGGGGAATGACAGGAACCCAGCTACACCAAACAAGAAGACTGGTGTGACTGCTTTCATCGAGGGCGTCAATTTTTGGGTGCGGGAAGATGCTATTGATGAGCAGGGTGTCTTGATAGACGCTGCGGTCATGAAGCCAATCTCTCGCCTTGGTGGTATCACGTATGGGCGCACTACCCAGGCTTTTGAGCTGCCACGGCCAGATTTTGACGAGGTCATGAAAGATCCTCAGGTTGCTAAATTGGTGAAGCCGAAGGCAGACTCGCAGCTGTAAGCGATGCATTCGTCTTGGACAAGGTAGGGCATGTCGAGTCCTTGGCCATCAAATCCAAACAAGGTGGAACGCTTCGCCATTTGCCATACGGTACCTGACCATTCCCTAAATGTGGGAAATCGTAGTCGAGAAAGTGCTATTCCAACTTCTCACCGCCCACGGACTTGCACCCGATGCTGCTGACGCCCAACGCAACTGCATTCCCCCATGTAATTGCCTTCCCAAATGAATCGTTCGCATCCATCGAGGGCAAGCATACCCTGCGCGGAAGTTGCGCATCGTGGGCCAACAAAGTCCAACCCCCATCCAAAGGCTCGTACGTGACATGACCACTGCCAGCCAACTGTACCGGTACTTGCAATCTTTCTTCGAGCCACAACAGCACAACAGCCCACCCGTTCCTCTCGAGAGCGTTCTCCCGATAGCAAAGCCTACTACCTGCAGTCTACCTATCTAGCAATCCCATTCACTGGCACCGACCGTCTTTTCCTATTACCGTATAGCTTCGCGACATCGCCATGCGGCTACAGACGCCATTGACGGAGGATGGTTGGGCCGCCCCACCACGGCCCCAGCTATCTCCTCCAGCCACCCTCGGCATCCATTGCGATCCCAAGCAGCATCGCAGTCAAGTACATCCTGCTGCGCAGTTTGCCTCCTCGTCTTTTCCTCCTTGCACGGAATATGACATCTCGTCGTTAGCGTTTGGCATTGTCCCGTTTCCTTGTATCGCAGGTGGGCAGACGTACACCATGGACGCGCCGGGCGGACCAAGGCGATTTAGCACGACGAATGAAGAGCGCGTGGGATTGCTGAGCGCGGAGAATAGCTTGGCAAAGCAACAGCAATATGGCACGCTTCCTGAGCCAGCCGAGATGGAAGGCTTGCTTGGTCAGGAGGGCACGCTCGAAGAGTGCGAAACTTCGGGCGGGAAGGAAGCAAAGCTGCTGTTCAAGTATAGCGTCCCGCTCATGGGAACATACCTGCTTCAGTACTCATTCAGCTTGACGACAATTTTTGTCGTTGGACACATTGGCACTGATGAACTTGGTGCTGTTAGTTTGGCGACGATGACGGCGAATATCACGGGTTTGGCGATTTACGAAGGACTCGCAACATCGCTGGATACGCTGTGTGCGCAGGCATATGGTTCTGGACGGAAAGAGATGGTTGGATTGCATTTGCAGAGGATGATGCTGTTCATGTTGGCTGTGACTGTACCCATCGGCGCTGTCTGGCTATGCTCGGGGTGGATTCTCGCAGCACTGGTCCCTGAGAAGCAATTGGCTCATCTGGCTGGATGGTATCTATCGCTGTTACTTGCTGGAGCCCCGGGATATGCAATTTTCGAAGCTGTAAGTATAACCACGAGTGATCCGCTACCAAGGGTACTGATGTTGGATTTGTCCAGGGCAAACGATTTACGCAAGCGCAAGGGCTGTTCAATGCTTCGCTTTTTGTATTGCTCATTGCTACGCCTATTAATATCCTACTCAACTACCTGTTTGTGTTTGTCCTGCACTGGGATCTCACTGGCGCAGCATTGGCAACAGTCGTCTCCAACAATCTGCTGCCACTCCTGCTCTGGATCTATGTCTGGTTCGTAAATCCGCAATCACTGCAATGCTGGGGTGGATTTTCAAAAGCGGCTTTTTCGAATTGGGGTCCCATGGCAAGACTTGCAATACCCGGAATCATCATGGTCGAGACGGAGTGGCTCGCATTCGTAGGTTCTTTGGCTCCATGTTCCCCCAATGTAGACACTGAGCCCTATCCAGGACATTCTCACCTTCTCTACAAGCTACCTCTCCACAGCGCATCTAGCTGCTCAGTCTATTGTGATGACCCTGGCTGTCGCAATCTATCATGTCCCCTTCAGTGTCGGTGTCGCAGTCTCTACACGTCTAGGCAATCTCATCGGCGCAGGGTCTTTGAAAGCAGCTCGTACCGCTACGAAAACCTATGTGCTCACTTTTCTGATCATTGGACTTGTCGACTTTACTTTTCTGACCGCGTTGCGCAACGTGCTACCAAAGGCTTTCACTAGCGACCCGGAAGTTGTTTCCATCGTCGCCACTGTCTTGCCCTTGCTCGCTGCCTTTCAGTTTGCGGACTCGACGACTGCGTTGGTCAATGCCGTCTTGAGGGGCCTGGGCAAACAGAACATTGGCGGGTGGTGTAACCTATTTGTATACTACGTCATTGCCGTGCCCTTGGCGCTGTTCCTGTGCTTTCCAAAAGATCTCAAGCTTGTGGGACTTTGGGCAGGGTGTGCGGTGGGAAGCAGCTGCATCACGATCATCGAGGGAATCTACATCAAATGCTACAAGTGGGACCGGGCGGTCGAGGATGCTAGGGGAAGACAGGAATAAGGAGGGGAAAACTCGTTTACGGGCTGGAAGCCATTGTTGGACAGGATCTGGACACTGCAATCCAGCTGGATTTGTTTATATACGTGTAGATATCTGAGGAGAAGGGCTGGTGCATGGGTAGTGGGTGTGAGCCTAAGATGTGTCTGGGGACCAGCTATGCAGGATCTGCATTTGGAGAGATGCAATGTCCGTCATGCTCATGTCCAAACCCTGTCATCATGGTGCCAATTTAAGTCAGTGAGAGTATTGAATTTGCATCCATATGGTTACTCAACCAAGCAAGCCGGTACTGCGATCCCTCTAGACTTGAATGCTTCGGTTCCCCACCCACATCTTACCAGGCGCCGATGACTACGGTATGACGAGAGGCTAGGCTGTAGCCTGTAGTCACCATGCAGTATCATTGCCTCGATACGACCAAGCAGAGGGCAGACGAAAGGGATGATGCTCACAATGGGTTGAAGATGGATTGGAGCCAGCAACCGAGAAGGGATATGGCAACAAGGGATAGCTGTCTTGATTCGGTAGGTAATACAGACGCGATCGACATGGGGCTTTGGTAACTAACAGTACCTAGAGTACCGGTAGTTAGCCGCGGCCTCGTCCCGAGCAGTTGGTCGATATTGGGATCAAATACAGCGGGGAGGGATGAGGGTAAGGTGGAGGGAGCAGAGAGTACCTACTCAGTACTTGATGTCGCAGTCTGGCTCCATATATCTTCCTTCCGCCTCGCTGTCCTGGCGTTGAGAGCGTGTAGCATACATATACTTACATATCGTGACGTCTTTTTCTCTTCAGATTTTTTTGGTTCATTTTTTTATTACTCCAAATCCTCACAAATAGAACTACACAGTTATACCCAGTGCGAAACAGCCACACCACCTCCCTACATACCTGGGTAGTGGATACAAACCTTACCAAGACGATTGACAACAGACGACAGCGCCCGACGCCTCTCGCTTGCGCAAATCGCGCCCTACCTATCGCTGCCGTCACCCACGCCCCCCCCCCCCCTCAGAGGCTACCATTTGACACGGCGGCTGAGGGTGCAAGAGATGGCATCTCGTACCTCAACTCCCCAGTCGCGCTCCCGTTCGTCGTCAGGAAGCAGCAGCTCCTCGGACACAACTATGATGGACATGCCGCCTCAATCGCCCAGCCGTCCCGCACGCCTGCGAAATTCGTCGCAAAGCCAGGCGTCGACCGTGTCTCCAGTTGGGTCGGTCCACCCCGCCGCGCACGACTCGTCCTTCTCGCTGCTCCTCTCGCTCCCCCGCGAACTTCGTGATCGCATCTACACAGCCGCGCTGACGGCCCCCTACCTGTTCTCCTGGCCAGGTAAACCTCCTGCCAAAGTCAGGCACCATGTTAACGTCAGCCTGTTGCGCGCCAACCGACAGGTGTATGAGGAGGCCGTGACAATCCTCTATAGCCAAAATAAACTCCTCTTCACCCATCCCTCCGACCTCAACATCTTCCGCGTCGTTGCCTCGCCAGCCTCGCAGAACATGACCTCAGTCTACTTTCGCATACGGGAAAAGGACTTGAGGCTATGGACGAGTTATCTGAGCAGTAAGAGTCCAGAGAGGAGTTTGAAGGCCGACTTGCCTAAGCTGAAGAATCTTTGGCTGTTTATGAGATGTGGGAGTATGGGTACGCCGGCTATGTTGGCGCAGTTGGCGAACGGTGGCGGTGGTCTACACAACCCACTACTTCAGAATCAACAACAACACCAGCAACAGCACCCAGCGCATACACAGCAACAAGCACAAGGCGCACCCTTCGCAGTTCAAACCCCTCAAGTCGTTTCCGTAACCCCACAGAATCACCAGAACCACCAGATCCCACCTCCTCCACCCCCAGCCCCCGTACCATTCATCCAATTTGCACAAGGCGTCCTGGGTATTGGAGGCCACGCACATGCCAACCAGCAACAACACAACAACCCCCATCACTTCGCCGCGCCCAACCCATCCGCTCCACCTCACCCCAACGCCGCCGCCGCGCCTTCTTCCCCTCATCCACCCTCCCACCGACCGGCCATCCACTCACTCTACCGATCTTTCTTGCGTTTTGAGCGCGAAATGGGAATAGAATGGCTCTGTCTATCTCTCCAAGATACGCTCACACCCAGCACCTCCACCACCATCGCTGACGGCAGCAGCTGTAGCAACCCCAGACCAGAAGTCAAGATTGTTTGTATCATGCGAATTCCAAGGCGCGAGGTGGATAGGCTGGCCAGACTGTATCCGGATGAGTTGAGTGTGGATCGTCATGGGGATGCGCGAACGCGTTTTTGGAAGGTCAGGGGCGTCGAGCTGAGTTTGGAGTTTAGTGGATATGATGTTCCTGGGGAAGGGAGGGGGAGGGAGAGGGATGGGGACGATGACGAGGGTGAGGATGGGGAGACAATTGTCGGATGATTAATTGGTTGTTTTGATTGGAGAAGGTGGAATGCAGTATTGGAGAAGCCTGTTCATTTGAAGACTTGGGTATGTAACATGCACTACACATTAGGAGTTATCAACAACAACAGTATTCTTGGGACCGATGATAATCCAAGCAAACATCACTTGACTTTCCATACCATCACTACAAATCACGAACAACCATCCAAGCCGGCCCAGGCTACAGTAAAAATTCTATTCAATGGTAATATGCAAGCAAGCCCCATAATTGATACAAACCCGATCTTCTAATGCAACTCCAATCCCCAATTTTCTATATTCTCGCAACTAGCTCTCAAGGACAGAGTGTGTGGATATCATGCGTGGCATATACCGGTACACTACCGAGGTAAAACCTATATGCAAGTTTCGTATTTCAAAGTTACTCGCGCGAACGCGTGGAAAAGTAAATCAGGAACGCAACAGTCTTCAAACACTTTTTCTTGAAGGAAAACCGGCCAATCTAACTAGAATGTTTCCCAATCTGTCAGGACAACACTTTTTCTACCGGCAACTAAGGAGACGTCACTTTTGAGGCAATCCGCTTACTACGTCGGCCAGTCCGTTGTTCCTCCGGACCTCCAACAGAAGCAGTAACACGGCTCGGCGGATCGTTTGATTTGAACTCCTTGCTCGACGTTACAGGCTGGGCATTGAAAGACGCTGTACGTGCGGTTGAGCGGGTAGCCATGGAGCTCCTACGCGCCTTGACGGCCTGTTTTTGGCTGGGGGACTTCATTATGGAGGGATAGGGACAAGGGCCATTAGACAGGGTGCTGGATTTGCGTCGCATAAGATCCAGGATCTGGTCGATGTCGTGGTCGGCATACGTACCCGTACCGCTGGGGGAGAGCTGGTCGAGTGTGCTGAAGTCGAAGGACACGACATCTGGGTTCTCGACGAAAAACTGCGTGCAGCTGCTGTTACGTGCGGTATTGGGTGATGAGGCGGTGGATCCGGCGTTGATTTCGGTATGGCTGACGGTTGGAGAGAGACGGTCTTGTTGTGTAGTGAAGTGGCCGGGCGCCTTGACAGGTGATGGTACAGGCTTTTGCTGTTGCTGTTGCTGGACATAGCCGTTGTATTGAGGCAGTAGCTGAGGGATCCGGGAGAAGATGTCGTGTTGCTCTTGGCTAAGGGGTTCTGTGTTGTATTCCAAGCGTTGCTTTTTGCGGGGGCTGGAATGTGAACCAGCACTTGGCCGGCGGAGGGGATAGCTACCTGTTTCTTCAACATCTTTTTCAGCATTATCCATATGTTGAAGGTACCCGGACTCTTCTTCCAAGTCCTCGACTGGAGGAATGCGACGTTTGGCAGAACCTCCACGAGTGCGAGCGGTGCCCTCTTCATCTTCTCGCTGGAACTTAACCCGCAGTGCCAGACAGTCCTTGATGCGTTCGTTGACTTGAGGGAAGAACTGATCATAATAACGAGACAGGTCACTAGCTTTGTGGATACCAGCTTCCACATTGGCTTGGTAGATTGGGAGACCCGCAACCATCTTGTCAATGTTGGCCATTTCTTGATCACCACGGTGAATAGGGAATACGCCCGGCAAGATTTTACGATTTACGAATTGCTTAATCTGAGATCGCGTGCGATGGCTCAGATTGGTTTCGTATAATGCAGCGACCAGCGTGTTGGCATGTGGCTTTGGCTGACCCCGAGAATAATCACAGTGATTAGGGTAGTCGCGGAACTCGGGAGTGCGCTGAAGGGCACCAGCTTGAGCAGCCCTGATAAATTTCTCAGCAATGAGCTTGTCATAGACGTGCTTATTGTTAAGGAATGTAAAGGCTGCAATGGCCTTGGGTTCCTTTCGTAGGCCAGAACGATCGTCCACCTTGACATCGGCAATCTCACAAATGCCTGCAAAGTCTAAGAAGCGCTCCATGCAATACAAATGTGCAAAACCAACACAGTCGAATGGATCGCAAACACCCTTGCCATATTTCTTGTGCTTTTCGTCGAATGCCACGCGGTAGCTGCCAACTTCAATAGTAGCTTTGCCGCCCCACTTACGATTAGGACATTGTTCAAAGATACAGCGGCTGTGAGGCTCAGAGGCATACCGACGCGCAGAGTCACCCGGAGTGATCTGAATCCAGATGCGCAGATTGTCGCTGGGATATTCTGTAATGTACTCATGAATTTGACGGGCAGACAAAGACTGTTTCTTGAACTCGTCCATCTCAAAATGATGCGTGTATTCGAACTTGAAGCCAGAAGACGATTGCCAGTCGCCAACAGGTAACGGGTGATACTTATACTTTTTGCCGACATCCGCAAATGCATTAATGCGAGCCGTACGAGTGGTTTCACCTTTGGTGGTGGTGTTGATGCGAACCCAAGTTTTGTCCTCATGCTTCTTTGGCTTTTGACCGGCGCGGACAGGCTTCACCTTGACTGGTCTACCGAACGAACTGCTATCAGAGACGACCGATTGGTGACGAGATTCGTCTGATCGTGATGAACGTGGCTGAGTCTCGTCGTTGCGTGGAACTTCAGACTGAGTTTCACGATGACGCTTGATGATGGGTGCGTCCTCCTCGAAGCTCGAGTCTAACCCGTCCCGTTTACGCTTTGACTGACGTGTCTGTAATTCCTCGGCACTGGAATACCGAGGGGAAAAGAGAAAGTCAAACTGCGCTTGTTGTGGCGCGAGAGGTGCTGTGTATTCATGTGGCGTATATCCAGTCTGCTCAATGACAGGAATAGGCGGGATATAGTATGATTGAGTTGGGTGACCGTGATGAGTATCTTGAGGGTAAGCATGCTGTTGATAACCCACAGATGGCTGAGGGTGGAAATATGTATCTCCAGGAAGTGCAGATAAGCCTGTTGAGGGCTGAGTCTGATCCGTATAGAAGTTGTTATGTTGAGAATCCCAGCCAAGATCGGCGTCCCATTTGAAGCCTGTGGGGGCTGTGTAAAACGGGGGTTGATGATCTTGCTGGAAGCTGTTGATAGGTACTGGATCTATTCCAAGGCCTTGCTGAGAACCTTGTAAAAAGAATTGATCGTTGCTGTCAATGTCCTCAGCATACACTGCATCGCTAGCAGGCATAGGGTCTGGTGCAGTAACCTTTGACTCGAGAGTATCTGCCGCTAAAAACTCATCGAGGAAAGATTCGTCGAACTCAGGAAGATTGGCTAGCAGCGCTGGATCAATGTCGAAATTAAACTCATCACCCAGAAGCGCAGACGTGCCAGCACCGGGCAGGCTTACCAGTCCTCCAGAGGAGCTAGATTGCCGCGAGCCTGCGTGACTGGGATGACTTGTAGCAACTTGGCTACCGGGACGCGATGTAGAAACCATTGTTTGGGGTGAAGGGGACGTCGAATTACGTTGAGAAACTCTGGGCATAGAACGGGTCAACTGTTGCTTTGACTGCGAAATTGAATTTGTAGCCTGGTGATAGCCTGGTGATCCTGGCGATCTTCTTGGTGTGGAAGTATTAGGAGACATTTTGGGAGTTTTTTAATAGGTTGAAAGAGCGCACAGTTATTGCACAGCGTACATATATGTAAGCCTACAGCGTTCTTTCAGCGGTCACTGTAAGGGTATAATTTTAGACTAGACAAAGAATAACTAGTGGCCTCCGTAGCAGTTTATGCCATGATGCCATGATGCCAAGATGTCAAAGCCGACATAAAGAGGAAAAGGTAGTAGTGAACTCGGCGTTGTCAAGTTCATTGTAACATTGTTGAGTGCATTGTTCATGGCCATCGTGGCAAGAGTTTCGACGAAATACATTTGACCGTGTCGCATGAAGGATGTATCTCACAACCAATGTCATAGTGCGATGCCTGACAATTGAGATGAGAGTAATCATACCGTCTCTGAACTGTGCAGATATTAGCCTGATATGTCATTTCGTAGTGGAACATACGAAATAAAATGATTGTGTGATCAGAGATACTTGATGCCAAATTTGTCCACATTGGTGTTAGGAACAGGTCTGTGAATTTTGTGCTTGTCTCATCATGTCGCAAGAAAGAAGAAATCGTATAGCAGTACGTACCGAGTCTCCGTGCTAAACGCGACGGTTAGGTACCTGAATCGCAGCTTGTGTCTTCGTGTTAGTAAGGATCGCGAAGAATACATATATACTGGAGTATCAGATCGCTGACATGCAGAATTGATGTCCTTGCGATACTCTTCCAGGCACAAAATAGATACATAGTTTAGATATACACAGTGTATGAGCGCCAGAACGGTGTTTCGCGGTGTAGCAGAAAGAATGATCGAAGAGCGCCGAAGACAAAGGAAGATTTCTTGCCGTGACGCTAGTGACGGAGCGGAAAAACCATTTGCCGACCTTGTCACGCGATTCGGTCGAGCAATGAACATATCCAACAGCCTTGCGGTCTTGAGCATATCATCTCTATTTATCGTCCGAAGCATGATTACAAAATCTGAATAGAATAGTGATCTAGCACGTGTGCAGTAGAAATCAGTTTGAAGATCTATGATGGTGTTCCCGGCGGCACGCGTACCCTGAAACACACCTCAAGCCAGCTCCCAAACACCTGATGTTTGGCGAAACATGAATACTCTCCACGGAGTGCGCGAGTCAAGCCCACAAACGGTCATTGCGATATCCGCTGAGTATCTCAGCGATCATGTAACGCTTCTAGTATACATCTGAGCCGACTAGGAGCCATCAATTCTGCTTTTGCGGAAGCCGGCCCTTTTTTTTGGGGGGGGGGGGAATTCACTTGTCACGTGAAGCATTGGCATGCCAATACCGTAGGCATGTCATCGAAAATAGCTGTGGCAACATGTTCATAATATTGCCTCGTCTGGACTTGCTTTGATTGTGAAGAGTAACATTGGAAGTTGTGTCCTTACCTCCCCGTTGGCGTAGACTGTGCACCTATCAACGGTGGTCAGTTTGCAGTGTTTTCCCGAAACACACCATTTGGCTTGCTTCCTTTTTGGCGAATGAGACGTTATGATATCCTCCCGAACAAAGCCAGCCATGTCTCAAACGAGGCCCTGAGCTCTAAAACCACCACTATGGAATACCAGCTGAATTGTGTGTAGCATCACAACGGTTCTCGTCTGGGATGTTCATCTTCAAACATCCAAGTCACCACCCTTTCAATTGACCTATCAAGCTACGATACCATCGCAAACGTTCAAGTCCCCTGCATCGGGATTGCAGATACCGAGAATTTCGCTACTTTCTTATTGCTAGCATCGACTACCTAGTTGGCCTTGTTTGCTTTCCCATTTCTTCACTCCGTACCTTTTTCTGAGTTCCCAAGATGGACATGATGAACAGCGAACCACTCCAAGAGCTTGTCTATCTTGGTACAATAACTTACGACCTCATAATCACGCTTCTCGCACTTGTTTATATAACTGTTGCTCTACGGTTATGGGTTCGCTTTCGCATTACGAAGACCCCAGGCTGGGATGATATATCGATGGTGGCGACACTGGTACGTTAAATGGACTCTATGATGCCATCGATGACTGAAGCGCAGATACTGACAGACTCAGCTCCTTTTTACGTGCTACTGTGCTTTCATCTTTGTAGTAATCTTCCGTTCCCGAGAACGGCGACTCTTCAGCCCAGACTCGATCCGCATAACACTCGTATTCATTCAACTCTCTGAAGTTTTCTACATCCTCACCACGACACTCCTCAAAGTCTCTCTCGGCCTCTTTTTCCTCCGCGTGCTCACTGCTCCTTGGCAGACCCGCATTTTTCACACACTACTTTCAGTCAGCACGATGTACGGCTTCGTATATGCCCTCATCACCATCTTTCAATGCGGAAACCCTTCCAAAGTCGCCGATAGTCTACTCGGTAGTCCGAAATGCCTACCAGGCCCAACACTGTTGGCTACTGGATATCTCTACGGCTCTATCAACGTGCTAGCAGACTGGACCTTTGTGCTCATACCGATAAGCGTGTTAGTGGGGAGTGATCTAGACCGGAAAAGTAAGATCAGCGTGAGTATGGTCATGGCGCTTGGAGCAGTCGGGAGTGTGAGTAGTATAATGAGAATGGTATATCTGCATGGTCTTGCGCTCAATGGAGGCAAAGGGTTGTTGCGTAAGCATCTCTCTCTCCCTCTCTCTCTCTGCTTTCCTCGATGCCATAGACTCACACGACGAAACCATACAGCAAGCTCGATCAAAGCGACAATTTGGGCCACCGCAGAGCCTGGTACAGGTATTATTGCTGCCTCTGTTGCCATTCTGCGTCCTCTTCTTCGCGTGATGGCATCTGTTGCAAGGAGAAAAGTCATCTCGTTCGATTCGAATAAGAATTGCAATCTATCGGAGTCGGAAACCATTGCTCTTGCCTCGCAGAAGCCATCAATATACTCTGGTTGCTCGGTTGATTTCCTGAGTCCGACAGTGGTGGTGGGACAGGTGATTGTGCAGAGTGTCATGAGTGTTCGAACTGCCGATGGCAGAGAGATCCCCAAGCAAATGAGGGTTTTTGTATGAGATTATGTGTTAATGAATCGTTCAGCGTTCTTTGCGATGTTTATAAATATATTTTGGTGACTGTAGATTAATTGTGGCTTAGTATAATGTTATTGTCAATCGGTGTGCAGATTACTTGAGCCACAGCGTTTACTAGGTGACGGTGAAGATGTAGCAAGGCCAAGCTGAATACAAAAACATAATCAAGAAAATGAAGGAAAGTAGAAATCGGCAAATCACATGGGTATAATGCGTAGTACAAGGTGTGTAGTATTTCTCATGACCTTTGAAGCATATGCTCACTTAGCCCTCGCCATCCAGTGAATTTCCTTTCCACCTACTCAATCACACCCCTTTGGAGTGATGTGTACCATTGCATGGTGTGCCACCACCCTATTCTCCCCCCCTTTACCAAAATCACTTCTTGCCACCGTGGGACTCACTGCAAAGCGAACCTCATGAGCCCGCGGATCGCTCATAACCGCCGTCATGGTGCGAAGGATATCGCCGTACAACAGACGACTCTCATTGACCATAGCCGTGGGGTCAAACTCGGCGCTACTCAAGGGCCACTGGAAAGACCACCGGCTTGCCGCCATGCGCAGACGGAAGCCAATCCTGTACCCCTTGATGTAGATCTCAGTGAGGATGTGGTTGCGCTCTATAAGCGTGGCGGGCCTAAGAGAGGTGGTGAGAAGGCCAGAGAGCGAAGAAATCAGAGCGAAGACAAGGCGGGAGGCGGTCGCTGCACGCCAGCTCCGGTGGTTAGGATCCTCTTTGATCTTCGTGTAGATCTGCTGCTGGGAGAGTAGGAGATTCTGCTTTGCGGCATAATCGTTAGCACCGAGGAGACTCCAACGGTAGGCAAGCGCTTCGCAGGTGTCTGATCGGGGATGTCCGCTTGCGTGGAGAGCATGCTCATCCATTGCGTGCGTGACAATGTGGCGGCAAATGATGCTCGCGATCATGGCGCTCAGCATGTCATTCTCGGTGACAAGCATCGAGAGCTTGGAAGACTCGCCCAAACCTCCGGCAATGGCTGGGCGGTTCGCCAAACCATGAATATGCTCGGCGTCGAGTGATTTCAGATGGACAGTATAATCTGTAGCCCAGTGCTTGATCTGTTGGAAGAAGTCGAATAATAGGCACCGATCATCTTGTTCCTTCATGCCCATAGTGAAAACAGGCTTGCCACCCATAAATTCCCGGATAGTCTGCTGTTCTGGTGTTGCAGTGCGATGGTGACGACCTCTGGACTTGCGTGTAGATGGTCGAAATGTCGGAGAGGTGTAAGCTTTTTGGGGCGTGGTAAGCGACTCGTCAAATTTTGTGGGGGTTGGTACATTGCCATTGAAACTCATAGCTTTCAGTGCTGAAATGTCGAAATGGATGGTTGTATGCTTCGGTGAGGTGAACTCTGTACGAGTGGTAGGAGTCTGAGGCAGAGGGTCCAAATTCTTGTATGATGAACTCCCGTTGGCCTGCATCAGTGAGATTTCATTGGCAGGAAGGGCCGGGATAGTACCATGCTTGCAGAACGATGTTGTAGTGTGCTGCTGAAGATGGGGAGGGAGGAGGGAGAGACTTCCAATGTTTGGGAATGAGGCGCTCGTAGAGCAGGAAGTCTTGGGAGCTGAATCAATCTCAAGGTTGAGGAGTTGCTCCAGCTCTTCTGTAATGTTGCGCCGAGGCTTCAGTAGCTTGTTGGCCATACTCAGCTTGTCTTCGAATTTGGTGGTCTTATATTTGACCTGCTCTATTCGAGTATAATGGCACTTGCTGTGGATGTTGTATCAGTAGGTGGCTGAATATATTGCTTGACCCCACTTACCCTTCCATCTGAGGAGCCGGATTTGCTTTATCGAAGATGTTCTGACGGCTTGCTGATGCGTGTTGATCTGACCATGCTGTCTTCCACGAGTAACCCAGGTACACGTTGTCGGTTTGTCCCAAGCCTGGTATAATTTCCTGTTCGGGCCTCGAGACACCCCAGTGACCCTGGAAAATATTCTGATCAAGGTGAGGGATCATGCTGAGTGGTTGAACTGTGGGGGTTGAAGTGGGCTGCTGAGATTGAAAGTTGGTGTGGACAATGGGTTGGACATTTCTATTCGTAAGGAGTCGATCACCAAGACTAAAGGCCTGATTAAGATATTTTGAATGAAGGTGAGGATGAAAGGTGAAAGCGTCAGAACCGTTGCTCTCGGAGCACATTCCAGTGCCGAAGGGATCGATGAAGATGAAGCCGTTGTCGAGTGCCTGCTCCTTGTTCATCTGTAAAGTATTGTGAGCATTTGCATATCGTGTGGCTATGAAGAGTATCACACTTGATCCTCCACCGGACAAGCAATTTTCCAAGGAAATCCGTTTTTGTCCATCTACGTTGAATGTCTATACCGGTAAGGTACAATGCAAAATCGAATCGGTATGCGCCCACGCACCAGAAACCAAGGAAACAAAGTAAAATGAAGCAAGCTGGCGCCGAGAATGGAGAAAAAAGAGAAAGAAGAAGACTCCAGGAAGGAGCAAGGGGATAATTGTTCAAGAGGTGAGGCAAACCGCTGGGTAATTATTGTTGCAAGCGATACCATAAGGCGAATTTGTACTCGAATTGAAAACGGGGAGGGTTGGTGAGATCTGGAAGATAGCCAGAGTAACCGTAGCAGTGATTTCAAGGGAATCGAAAGTCTTACTTCCCTGGTATGTGGTGTCTGGATACCAATTCCACATTGCTTATTATGGAGCGGGGAGGAAGAGCCCATGCGCTGTTGATGAGCGATGGTCAAGTGTACGGATGCGTGGATATCTTGTCAAGATTGGTCAATAAGCACGCTTGGATCGTAAGAAGATGAGTGCATTGCTCACTTGAGAACACTAGTGCAATGACAGCACCGTGTGTACTACATGTACTTAGGCAACATGTCTCGTCATGTTAGATCCAACCAGTCGGAAATGATGCAGGGTGTAGGTAGTCGCAATTGATTAGACTATCAAGGTAATATCCGAGGACGTGTATTGGCAGGGAAAATGACGCATAAATCCTCGCCTGGCACCTGTATCTCTAATTGGGAAATATTGGTATTTTCCAGAATCTCATCATGCTGGGTCATGGCTTTCTTTGAGCGCAACCATCTCTTCGTAATCTCTATGTGATCTTTTGAGGCGAGGGGAGGGGGAAGCAGTGGTCAATGCTATTGAGTGCACACAACCACCGAAAAAATGGCCAGCGCCAGTCCAGTTGAGAAAGAGAACGAACTGGGTTGGCATGTTGTTTCGTCAAGTGTGCGGGCTTGAGAGAAAGAACATGGCAACACACACAAAACTGGGAGCATGATGATGAGGCTCGCTATCATAGCGAGGTGGAGCTGAATAACGTTGTTGTAATCTACGATAGGCGTCCAATGAGGCTGTGTTCTGGGCTTCGGGTTCAGGAACAGCAGTGAGTGTCTGTTCCGCCTGCTCCTCCTCCCCCCCCCCTCACTGTCCACCCCCCTCCCCCCTCCAGAACAGCCCTACATACCCTTACCCATGACATAACACAGTAACTGCTCGAGACCCCACGCCATGCGTCGTTCGCTGCAAGAGACGACATGTGGAATCCGGCCCTTCACCTCCCCAGAGCTGCTCGAGGCCCCCCCCCAATTGGCTGCATCTGCGCTCACGGCTCGAGACTCTCTGCATCTCAGCTCCCCACACTGCTACCGGTACCAATAGCGTCGTCCGCGCGCCAACGTCGCTGCTTCCACGACTACTTCATCACGCACATACCGTCGACGTCTCTGCACCCGGATTCGCGCCCGCAGCCTGCCCTACACCACAAGCTTCCACGCGACAAAAGCACACCGTACGATGCACAGGACTCCAATCGGTCGCCGGCAGCCGTCGTGGGCACGTCGCGCGAAATGACGGTTGTGCGGATACCACTCAAGAGCGCCAAACACCACTTTGGAGTCTCCTTGTCACGTGGCACGCGACCTTATAACGAGGATGCGTTCCAGGCAGGCACCATCGACATTCCCGCATTTGCAAAGCGAAGGCCCATCTCATTGACACGGGCAGGACGAGCAGCCAATGGTGGTGAGGTTACGCCGGACCCCAGTGTGAGCGGAGACCCCCAGGTATTTTATTTTGGCGTCTTCGATGGACATGGCGGTGCCGAGTGCTCAGGATTCCTCAGGGAGCAGTTGCACGAATATGTGGAGAAAGCGATGCAGCAATTTGAGCTGAAGAGCAGCCTACAGAAAGGAGAGAAGGACAATTGGCCACCATGTGGCGTAAGAGCCAAGGACAGCGGACCGACTTCAGATCGCGTGAAGAAGGACAAGGACAGCTTGGAAGCCATCCAGATGCATACACCTCCAGGCACGCAGCCTTTAAAGCCTCCCACCACTGGAACGAAGGGCAAGCTCCCTCTCGCAGGCTCCGAGTCCAAAGAAGGAGCCATTGACGGTGTTGCCTCGGTGAAACAGTCTGACAGCCTACAAAAGGCCGAGGAACTGGAGCAGCGACTTGTCAAGGACTGGAAAGAGCTGGTAGGGGGCTATTTCAGAAGATTCAAACCCGAATTCTTCTCCACAGCGGCTGGCGGTCAGGGTCACCCGGCCGAGAAGGAAGCCAACCGGATGCAGGGCTCAGACAAGACGGCAGTTAGTACCAACGATGGGATTGGCATTGAAACAGTGCTGGAGTATGCGTTTCTCAAAGCGGACTACGATTTTGTTGCTGCGCAAGTGGGCAAGGAGGAAGAGGACCCTGTTCGAGCCGACAAAGCACTGAATGCTGATGACATTCTGGGGCACCCATCACGGACGAGCAAGAACATTGGCGGCTCAAGTCGATTCAAGGGTGGGAGCACATGCAGCATCGCGCTCATATCGACGCCTACCCCCTCGCCGTTTTGGCATCCTTCTTCGCCCTCATCGCTCATCACTGCACACGTAGGTGACACGAGGATTCTCTTGTGCAACACGGCGACTGGACTGGCGGTTCCGCTGACGTCGAACCATCACCCGTCATTGCCCGAAGAAGCCACCCGGCTCCGGCGTTTTGCTGCCGCTTTTGTCACGGACTCTTTTGGTGAAGAGCGCATATCCGGGCTTGCGAATACGCGTGCCTTTGGCGACATGGCGTCGAAGCGGGTGGGTGTGTCTGCTGAGCCGGAGATACGACGGATAGAACTGTTGCCTGCCGAATACTCGTTCCTCGTCCTCTGCTCTGACGGCGTTTCTGGCCACCTCTCGGATCAAGAGATTGTGGATATTGTGAAGGAGGCAAAGACACCGGAGCAGGCTGCGAGAGACGTGGTCAGCTTTGCAGTTGAGACGTCGAGCAATGACGGGGCAGACAATGCTACTGGCTTGGTAGTGCGGCTAGGGGGATGGGAGAGACGTGGTGAGGGGGGCTTGGGAAGTCTCGGTACGAAAGAGATGCGGGACTGGAGGAAGCAAGAGGCAGAGGACCCTCGTGCGGGTAGGAGGTGAGAGTACCTAGGTAGAGGAGTGTCTTTTTTTCTATGCCCTCTTTTCACGATTCCGTAGTGTTTTTCTGTCCGGGCGCCTCACAGCGGACTGTTATTTATCATTGCATAAGCGGCGCTTTGGTGTTGAAGGCTTTTGGTGGGCACGGGGGGAGGGGGTGGGGGTTTGGTAAGTGAGCATGGCTATCAATGGATGCAGCATACCAGAGTCAGACGACGTATGGGATCCTTTAGTCTATAACCTATTGATTGTCATCTCGAGCTTATCGTGTTTCCCCCATTGTCAGCTGTGTTGCAGTAGTTGGTCGGCAAATCATGATGATGGCGAAGCAATCAGGTGCCTCAGGCTTGCTGCCCAATCATGGCCCAATCATTCATGATTGACGGTGCATCGGGGGAAGAGGGCGGGGAGGGGTGTGGGTTTGCTTGGCAGACACATTCCAAAAAGAACAATGGGAACAAGTCGCAAGTAGTGACAGCGACAGGTAATGTCAACGAGTGTGGCTTGGCACCTGGAGTGCAGACGCATAAAAAGCCATTGCTGGAGCTGTCAAAAAGGCTCTCTCATCCTCCTCCTCGTCCTCGTGTGTCTTGATTTTCATCATTCAATCCGTAGACAGACGGCAGACATGGACGGTTGACGGATTCATGATTGCCGTCGCCGACAGGGCTGCATGCGGGCGGGACAAGAGGGAAGGAGGGGGGAGGGGGAGGGGGGGAAGGTACGTCCGTCTCCCAAGCGAGCCAATCCATATCCATACAGCGGACGGTTGCCAGGCCGGGCCTAAAAGATTTGTTTGGCTTGATGTCGATAACTTCGCGAACTGGTCGGCGGTGTAGTAGTAGTAGCTAGGTAGGTAGGTAGATTATAGTAATACAAAACAAATAGGAAGTCTACATGGCCCATTAGGTAGGAGTAGCATAGTAGTACTCTACATACTCTAGGACACCGCACAGGATAAAGCCACAGCCACAGCCACAGCCACAAGCCACAGCCATGAACAGCAACAGCAGCAGCAACAACAACAACAATAATGGCAGGTGGAAATATATTAAATCCAGTTGCAAACTCCTCTTGCACACGCCCTTCTACATCGGGTAGTATATTCTGCATTCACTCAAACTCAAACACCCTGTTTGACCTGGCTGCTGCTTGCTCACTATTGCTCACTTGCTCACTCACTCACTCACTCACTCGCTCTGGCTGAGGGGGCACAGACTGCGCATGGTAGAGTAGCTTGGTAAGAAAAGCTCACGATAGTAGCCATGTCAATCAATATATAGGTAAAAGAAAAAAAGAAAAAAGACTGCATGTCTGTCTCCCAAAGCGTGAGGGCGCGCGGTGGTGGTGGGGGCAACATTGGAGGTGGGCGGCGGAGGGGAAGGCAAAGGTCGGCAGGACCTGGGCAGTTTTAGACCCTGGAGGAAAACAACACGTGAATTTGGGCCTGTGGACGCTCAACCCTACTTTCGTCAAATTCCTCCCTAACTCGCTGCTGCTACTGCCTACACACTCCCAACCCGCCCACCGCAACTTCTGTCCACCCTCCTTTATCCTCTCCCTTTCCCCCCCACCACCACACAAACACCTCTCACCCTGTCCGCCGCACTGTCGCCGATCGAGTCTTCTGCCCATCCTCCAGATATAACCCCTCTTTGACTTCCTTGACGCACCCTCCTGCCATCATGGATATCAACCAGGTGTTGGAGGGGACCTATGCCGCTGGTACGTAGCCTTACACTGGCTTCATCCCATGGGCTAGGGATGCCTCGACTGACAATGCATTGCATCAACAGACGCGGCCATTCGCAACAACGCCGAGCAACAGCTCACCCAGGCTGCCGATGCCAACTTTGTGAGTGCCCGCCTCCGTCCCCCCCACACAAGTGCCAGGCGGCGTCTGCGTGCGCGCCCTCAACCCAAAACAGGACCACTGACAGCCCCTTCTCGCCTTCCAGTCACAATATCTCACCGTCCTCGGCGGCGAGCTCGCAAATGAACAAGCACAGCCACAGATTCGACAGGCAGCCGCGCTGGCCCTGAAGAACGCCTTCACCGCACGCGAGTATGCCCGGTTACGTCAGGTCCAGGACCGCTGGCTAGGCCTCGATGCGTCCATTAAGCAGGAAGTCAAGTCGATGGCCCTTCGCACACTGGCCACGCCCAACAAGGGTGTCGGCTCCACCACTGCCCAGCTCATTGCTTCGATTGCGGCCATCGAGATACCCCGCAACCAATGGCCGGAGCTTATGCCCACTTTGGTCGAGAATGTCGGCCAGGGCAACGACAGCCAAAAGCAGTCCTCGCTCACCACCATTGGCTTCGTCTGCGACACAGATGATGTCGAGCTGCGCGAGGCCTTGGCGCACCACTCCAACGCCATCCTGACAGCCGTCGTCCAGGGCGCGCGCAAGGAAGAGACCAACAACGACGTCCGTGTCGCCGCCATCAACGCCCTCAGCGACTCGATCGAATTTGTGCGCTCCAACTTCGACAATGAAGGCGAGCGCAACTACATCATGCAAGTGATCTGCGAGGCCACGCAGGCCGAGGACACTCGCATCCAGCAAGGCTCATACGGCACGCTGAACCGCATCATGGGTCTTTACTATGACAAGATGCGCTTCTACATGGAAAAGGCTCTTTTCGGCCTGACCATCCAGGGAATGAAGAGCGAAGAGGAGGATGTGGCCAAGCTTGCGGTCGAGTTTTGGTGCACCGTTTGCGAAGAGGAGATTGCAATCGAGGACGACAACTCACAAGCGCAAGCTGAGGGATCAACAGAGCTCAGGGAATACTTCAACTTTGCTCGTGTCGCTACCCAGGAAGTCGTACCCGTCCTACTGGAGCTGCTAGCCAAGCAGGATGAGGACGCCGATGACAACGAGTACAACACCTCGCATGCTGCCTACCAATGTCTACAGCTGTGGGCACAATGTGTCGGAAGTGGCGTCATGCCTCCAGTCCTGGCTTTTATTGAAAAGTACATCCGCTCAGAAGACTGGCATTATCGGGATGCTTCCGTATCGGCGTTTGGAGCCATTATGGAAGGTCCAGAGGAAACCGTCCTGGACCCCATTGTCAAACAGGCCCTGCCCACGCTTATCGGTATGATGGACGACGCCAATGTCCATGTCAAGGATTCCGCAGCCTATGCTTTGGGCCGCATCTGCGAGGCGGTTCCCAGCGCTCTGGATGCGCAGCAACACCTTCCTTCCCTGATCGGAGCCTTGTTCAATGGCCTATCCAGCCACCCCAAGATGGCTGCCTCCTGCTGCTGGTCATTGATGAACTTGGCAGACAGGTTTGCTGGAGAGCCGGGATGCGATACCAATCCACTTTCGCCCCACTTTGCGCAAAGTGTGCAGCATCTTTTGACCGTTACCGAGCGTGGTGACGCGGATAATCAATTGAGGACTGCTGCCTATGAAGTCCTCAACTCTTTCGTCAACAATGCGGCTGGTGACAGTGTACCTCTGGTAAACGAACTCTCCAACGTCATCCTTGAGCGTTTGGAGAAGTCCATGGCGCTTCAGTCTCAGATTGTCAACGTGGAGGACAAGCTTACACTCGAGGAAATGCAGACCAGTTTGGCTAGCGTCATCATGTCCATTATCCAACGCTTAGAGACCGACATCAAGCCACAGGCCGATCGCATTATGCAGATCTTGCTCAGCCTCTTGTCATCCCTGCCCCCAAAGTCGAGTGTTCCAGACACCGTTTTCGCTGCCATTGGGTCCATTGCCACTGCTCTCGAAGAAGACTTCCAGAAGTACATGGAGGCATTCTCGCCCTTCTTGTACAATGCTCTCAACAATCAAGAAGAGCCTGCTCTCTGTTCCATGGCGATTGGCCTAGTTGCTGACATCACACGGTCGCTCGGCGAAAACGTTCAGCCATATTGCGATGCCTTCATGAACTCGCTGCTGAACAATCTGAGGAGCCCTGCTCTTGGCAATCAACTCAAGCCAGCGATCCTCCAGAGCTTCGGTGATATTGCGCACGCGATCCATGGTGCCTTTGAAACCTACCTCCCCGTCGTTGCTCAGGTGCTCCAGCAAGCTGGCCAAGTCACCTTGACTACGGACGGCAACTATGAAATGATTGACTACATCACCTCTCTTCGGGAGGGCATCATGGACGCCTGGGACGGCTGTATTGTTGCCATGAAGAGTAGCAACAAGAGTGAGTCTTCCCTTCCGTTCGAATTTCGCTTAATATACTCAAACGATTCAGGCCAACTCATCGTCCCGTTCGTCGACTCGATATTCGATCTTTTGCGTACCATTCAGCAAGACCCCAACCGCACAGAAGCTCTTCTTCGATCGTCTTGCGGTGTCATTGGGTAAGCCCCGCTTTACAACATTTTGTTGAGGTTGATCCAACAGTACTGACTGTTACAGTGATCTCGCCGAGGCCTTCCCGGGTGGTGAATTTAGGGAGTACTTCCGTCACGACTTCCTGACAGCAATGGCAAGGGAGACCCGGGCCAACACAGATTTCAGCATCCGAACACGAGACACCGCGCGGTGGGCACGCGAACAGATTAAGCGTCAAGTCGGTATGTCGCTAGTCCACAACCCTTATCTCCGTCCCCCTCGTCCATTGGCGCTCTCCACCTAATAGCAACTCCCACCCTCTTCAATACATATGTACTATCAAACTAACCTCTGCCCCCAGGCGGCAATCAAGGCGTCATGGCCTGAATGCCTCGAAACCCGTTGCATCTCCCCCTTCCCAGCTCCTCTTAATACAGCTGGAACCAGCCACTACGTTTGATCAACTCTTACTGAGAGTTGTCTTACCAGTGACTAGCTCCCCAGCACGAGGGCAGGTATCCGAAGAAGACGCCCCGCGCCCCAAAGAATCCCCTGACTAGGCTCCGCATGTCTTCGAGGACCCCAGCATGCTGTTCCCATTTGAACAAGGTTTCCAATTTAAGCATGAGGCCTGGATGCATCAAAGCGCGCACTGTACGAATCCTGCGGCGGATGAGATGTGCTCAACGAGATCACAGCACGCTCTTGCTCGTGGCCCTATCGTCAATTTCGATGCGCCAAGCTCAAATAGCGGGAGCAATGAAGGGCCTTGATGGTAAACAATGCTGAATACCTGACGGCACAAGTCAGCGCCCCCACAAAACACCTCACCCCAAGCGCATGCACCAACCCCAGCAGCTCACGTCCGTTGCGGGCGTGGAGTCCTTAGCAACACACCCCTCCATATTCTCGAATCGCACAGCCCAGCACCTCTCCACACCCATCATGTAGCACCACAAGTCTTGTAGGCGGAAGCGTAGAAAAACGCGTTTTGCCATGGAGAAATAAGCATAGAAATTCATCCCCGTTCAAACATCACAATCAACCAATTGTATTTTCACATTCAGGGGTAGTCTATACCACACCTTGCGACTTTACCTGTCTACCCTTATGCAGCTAGGCTTCTATAACAGTGTTTTAATGGATATCAAATGCATAATCCTGGATGATGCACCAATTCTTTTTGGGACACTGTGATCCTGAACGTGTTGTATTGACCATGGCTCTCTGGTAGGGTAGAGAAGTGTAAGGGTTGGAGGACGAAATGTAATGAAAGTGTTGCTATATGGCTGAATGAAGAAAATCTTGAGACAAAAGAAAAGCTCAGTACATATGCAGATTGGTGTAGATGAGGAGTTTTCATGGAAAGAGAGTAAGCGTTGTAGAAGAAGTAATGTGGATGTCATCATCTTCATGGTAAAGTAGGTATGCAGAGAGGCTACAAGTCTGAATCTCTAACAGCTGAAATAATACGAGTACTTCAAGTCACACCAATGGACGCGCACGCAGGTGCACGAATACCTGCGGTATAAAAAGCAGCCTGGTTATCCCACGCGCGATTTGAACAGACCTATGGTACTTTACTTGATAATCTAATCTCCCAAAGCGGCATCCTATGATTGAGCTGTAGATGCATAACCCTCCATGATTTTGTTGCGGTTACCTCCAAGGGCACCATGCAATCTCGAATACTTTTCCACCAGGTCGGACGAACGCAAATGATGCTATCACATTTGGCATTTGACATGAAATGTCTCTGAGATTGAATTTCCTACACTGGAGGCAAGGTCTCTTCTGTGTATTTTGCATTCTTTCTGGCGTGTACATACTGCAATATGGGTCAGCCTTCGTAGTCCACTTATACTGACAGTCCCTGCCACAGTTGTATCCAGCATATTTTCCGGTCGACATAACTTTATGATGGACAGAATAGGGCCAAGGGCGTGTCACAAGCAACCGCACTTTACTCTCAGCCCGCTACCAGCTGACAGAAAGGTTTCCTAATCAAGACCCAGATACGGAGTACCCTTGGTAAGCTCTTGAGAGAGCGCTCATTGTGTTAACCTATGCTGGATCTTGTAAACTGCCTGTTTCCCAACCACGATGGCGATATCTTCACTGCCATTTTTCGCCAGACCAACAGATTTACAAGCTGCAGGGACTGCCTGTTCAGTACTGACGGGCTGTAATAAGCCAAGAGAGGACTCATTGTGATCACAGAATCCTGAGTTGCCTAGACCCTGGGGTTGAACGACGCCGTAGCAATGCATTCGCTGCAGCCAAAAGAATACAAGAGGCATCGCATGCTCATCAAATCTTCAGATATCTCAGTCCTGCGACTATAAGGCGTCATTACATACGATCAATCTATGATGGCCCACAAGAACGATTCCTCTTCTTCATATACTTCACCACCTACTTCGGTAATTTCATGTCATTCTTCTCAACGCTTTCTTGTGGACGCAGTTCGGCATGATCTCATATCCACGGTGATCAGCAACTCGTCTGGGCACATTTGCTGGGCGGCATGCTGTCAACAGCGCTGTGTCCCAACGGCTGAGGTTGGCTCGCCGTCCCCGGACGGAACAACAGCAACGACCGTCTCACACACACTCACAAATACGACTACCGCCAGTTGACCACCGGACCTAGCAGCACTGAAAGATACTCACCTGTGTAACTGATCTCGTGCGTTTGCCCACCCTCCATACACCCCAACCTCGCAACGTGGAAACCACTTGCTCAACGAGCGTCCGCTCCTGCTCTCATTCCATTTCACACGAGCGCCCTTGCCTCTTCCCTCGTCCCATATACTCACCAGCCAAGTCAGCTAAAGCTTGCTCACCCTTAAGCTCGCGCCGCTCACCTATAAAGCCCAGTAGCCAAGTACTGAAACTTCGTCGGGTGCAGCACATGGGGTAACCAAGCCTAGTATGGGTGATGAAGTGCCTCGAAGAGATCGAGGAAAACACGAGCATTGTTATGGAATGATCCTGTTCCTGAGTGTAGAGGTAGAGGTGTACATTGTTGTGATGAGCGTCAGGTGCTAGGGTGATAGGGAAACAGGGGGGTTTGGACCTGCATATATATTAGTGTTCTATGCATTCAAGCGAACGTGTTCAAGGGCTAGACAGATCCTATTGTCATCATCTCTCTTTCATCTTCAAACACCTATCTAGGCTTCCATATTATCATATACACGTAGGTTTCGAGGAGGTGTACAGGGGTTGGATTGAGTCCCGTGGCTGTATCAAATCTACACGAATTCCTTAATCTGCATTCAAAGACAACAACGAACAGGCTGGAAAGCTGTACATGCCTTCCAAGCGTAAATTTAATATAGTTGACTGCGGCCAACTTGCTTTGACCAAATGGTATCGCGACACAACCAGAGCCGGTACAATGTCATGTGGCATACGCAGATTTCTCTTACGCAACTGCCTCGCGTAGGTAAGCAAGTTGGCAGCGCGCAATGTTTCATTGATGGGCACATTTACACCATTTATGACTGGGTAACTGATGTTTCTAAATCCTGATTCATAAGAGAGGTCTACAGGGACGAATTTCTGCTTTCCAACCGAAGAATGGACAAACATACAGTCGGTAGATGTAGCCCTCATCATTCGAAGTAACTTGAAATAGCAGATTGGGTTTCCGAACGTGATCTAGGGTAATATGACGTGCTGTCATAAGCGCCAACACCAATGTCTGCAACAATCTCCTTCCATGTTCGTCCCACACGCACACAATAACGATGATGTCCGTCACGCGCACCTCGAAGCCCATGGATTTTCACAGCTCCTTTTTCAAGGAGTGCTCAGGACGGTGATCTGTTTCATAGTCGACGTGTACATATGCCCTCTCTACATCGGGCAGACTCTCGAGTTTGATTTGGAGTTCCTCAGCTACATCGTGGGTAGCGCGCAGTGTCTCCTCGGGCTCCATCACAATGTCAACTTCGACTATGAGGCGCGGACCAGAGTGGTATGCGCGTACGGTATCAATTTGGCGGATGGCTGGAGAGTGCGTCATGGCTGTGTTTGGATTAGCAAATATTCCCCACACCCACACAAAAATAGGAAGAGGTGAGGAAGATGAATATAGCGATGCAAGGACAGACTTACAGATATAAGTGATGTGTTGCAACATGGCCGTATCTGCCGTAACACCGATTAAAAGCTGAAACTCACTATAGGCCGTCCTGGACCATAAAAATATGATCAAACAACTCAATATCGTGGCACCCATGGGATCTAACCACCACCTCAACTTACTGCCGCCCACACTGGTCAACACACCGAAGCCATTGATGAATAAATCATTGCGATGGTCCTCCCATAAGATCCGTACTTGACTGTACTTGTTCCGTAGCGCCCAGCAGTACAAGAACAGACTAAATTTGGTCGCAAAAGCAATGGAGACAGCGATTACAGAAGGAAGATAAAAGTCGTTTGTTTCAGGTCCAGAGTGTTCAGCAAAGGTGCGGATGGCTTCTACAATAATAACGACCGAGACGGTGATCATGAGGGCGCAGAAGGAGAGGTTGCCCGCAGTTTCTATCCTCGCTTTGCCAGAAGGGAACTTTCGGCCGTCGACGCGAGCAACAGCGCGGTTGCACATGATTAGCGTGAGGTTGCTCAGCGGGTCGAAGAGGGAATCTGCCATGGTGGTGAAGAGCGATAGCGAACGTGACGAGATGGCAGCGTAGAGCTGCAAGATGGCTAGTAGGATATTGGCAGCGAAGGAGCCAATAACGGCGATTTTGTATTTGAGATGGTTGGCTGTATCTTCATCCTTTGCGTCGCGGCGGTGGTCGTCGACGGGCTTGAGCAAGCGTTCAATGTTCTCATTTTGGGCTTCATAGAACTCCTCGAGCTTTTTGGCGCTGCGGGCTTTGGCGTTGAGCGTCATGGGCCCACCGCAGCCATCGCGCTTGCGGGAGGTGTTGGCGCGGATGAGGGCAAGTTCATTTTCACCCTTGATGGCAGCGGAGAGGCGATAGGGGTCAATGTCTGGAGTGTAGGCGGGTGGGGATTGGCGCTCCACGTCGTCCGAGGTGCTGGTGCATACCGGAACATGGCGTGCAATCGGGTCGTGGTCGTGGTCGTTGGCCGTCTCCACGGCGGTGCTACTAGCATCATTTTTACGGCTCGAGGGCTCTGAGAGATGAGCATGGTGATGCGAGGTGCTGGAGCTTAGGTGAATGTGGGGACTTGCCGTCCGTTCCATACGCTCGGGGTGGGTATGGAACGGGTGTGGTTTCATGGAAATGGCCCGATGTAGATCTGGTTCCGACGACATGTTTACAGCGCAAAGTAGTCTTGAGTCTGATTCTCGCTGTCTGGCAACGAGGAGGAAGGTTTTTCGCACACAACGGCTTACCCCGCTATACTTGAGCTGGACCGCGATGGAAGAAGTTACGCATTGGCGGTGTGGCCAGGATGAAGGGTGGCGGACGGGATCAACGGTGGCAGCCAAGCTCACGTGGGGAGGTTTCACAGCGGATAGGTGGGTTTCCTTTGCAAGTGGGCACATCTTGAAACGGCATGGTTGTTGGGCCGTCATTCTGTATTTGCCTTATCTATATCACAACCCACGCAACTGGATCTATCCTGGATATTCACATTTGTATTGTAGTACTATACTATCGTGTGACCATCTTAGAAAGCTTTCACCTTGGCAGGAGGATACATCGTGTAATCCTGCCACGTACGCCAAGTAGTTACCCAGCTAGCCTGGCCTGCTACGGCTATTGCATGCGTAGGTAGTGTTTACATAAGATCGTAAACTAAAGAAGCACTAGTTATTCTTAAGTGGACTTATCTGTTTTAAAGGTCTTAGAATTATATTAGTCTTACTATTTTAATTAATTCCCGCACATGCTAGCTACGCAGCTTTGTTCTAAAAATTCCTATTTGTTATAGACTAGTCTTAAGGGAGAATACAATAAGCGTTAATAATAGTATTTAGTATCTTAAAGGAAAGGTAAGCCCTCTACGCCTTTTTATAGGTGTGTAGCGTGTTCGCTTAGTAGTGTTATAGACTAGCCTTAAGGGAGAATATAAAGGGCTTAAGCTTATGCCTAAGCCTAGGTCTAACACAAGATAGACTAAGTCTAACACTACTACTACTAAGTAAACACACTACACACCTATAAAAAGGCGTAGAGGGCTTACCTCTCCTTTAAGATACTAAATACTATTATTAACGCTTATTATATTCTCCCTTAAGGCTAGTCTATAATATTTTAGTATCTTCTTCTAAATATACTATAATAGTAATAGAGATAAATATACTAGATATTTAGAATAATTAGGTATAACCTAATATAATAGAAAGGCTAATATAGTAGGTCTATAGATTAATAGAATAATAGGCTTAAGACTCTACTATAATAGCTATACTACGTTAATAGAATAAGGAAATACGTAATTAGATCCTATCCTAACCCCCCTCTAAGCCTGCTAGGTTTAATAACCTACTACCTCTACCCCCCTCTACCTTATATTATAAACCCTTTCTAGTTAGCTTACTATATAATAGTACTAAGGTAAACTTCTCCTTTTAGTAAATAACTATAGAATTTAAACTATATATAGATAAGGTCTTTATTAGGGATAAAGAGGTAAGGTTTATATATATTTAGTCCTAGTTATTACCTATAGTCTAGTGTGCTATAGTACTATACTTTAAGGATAGTATATATAAGCGTTAGGATATAAGTAGGTTTCTTAACTACCTAGTATTCTATTATAGTAACTATTATAGGTAGGAGCGCGCCTAAGTTATATTAGAATACCTATATTAAGGCTAAAATTTACCTTTTATAGAGTTCTTTATAAATTTTATATAGCTTCTTATATACTTAGGAGATTTATACTAGGATAATAAATAGAAGCTTTTATAACTTTATAAATCTCTTAATAGCTATATACGCTTAGGTTCCCTTAATAGGGGAGTCTTTAGGATAAACTATAATATAGCTATAGAAGGATATAAGATAATTATAGTAGATATTAAAATAGCCTCCCTAGAACTAGGCTTTCTTTAGGCTAGTAAGTCTAAGGAACCCTAGTAGAAGTGTACCTTAGATTAGGATAGTAATATAAATATAGTAGAAGTAGTAGCCTTATTAAGTATACTTACTAAACTACTAATATTATATCCTAACTAGATCCTATAGGACCTATTTAATATATAAACACTAGCAAAGGTCTATACCTAGTATAGATAGGGTAGTTATTTTATATATATATATCTTAATACCCTATTACTATAACTAGTAGGTGTTAAGATAGTTATAGTATTAGTAAGTAGCCCTAATTTAGGAAACTAGCTACCCCTAACCTTAGGCTAAGTTAGGGGTATAAGGAGGATACTATAATAGAGGAATTATTAATAGTAAAGGCTATTAAGTATCCCCTAGATATTAAGGTAGGGTTAAATATTCCTCCCTTCTTTATTCCCCTTCTCCTAGGTAGAGTAGAGAATATATAAGTAATAGTTAATTTAGGGTGCTAGTATTTTAGTATAGTTAAGGAAAAGTTAGTAAGATAGATTAGTAGGAACTTTATTAATATTCCCCCGCAACCCTTATAATATACCTAGGGAATTACTAAGGCTATAAGAATTTTATAGTTAGTAGTATTAGACTATAATTTAGATAGTTAGTAGTCTTAGCTTTTAGCTTATATAGTACCTAGTCTTTCCTATTAATTAATACTAGGTAGACTATAGCTATATAGAGAGGGCGTTATTATAGATATTCTATAAGGCAAATTAATAATTAGGGAGGTAAGAAATATAGTAGTATAAGAGAGCGGGAGACGCCTATATCCTACCTATATCTCTATTATCTTAGGTCTAGTTATAGCAGGGTTACTAAATTAAGAATCCTAATAGGAAGATATATAGGTATAAACTTTAGTAATAAATATACTAGATATTTTATAGGTAATATATAACTTATACCTAATAAAATATACTAGGAAGTATTAATAAGGGAAGTCCTATTAGTATATATACTATCTATATTACTAGTAATATAGTTCCCTATAAACCTTAGTATAAAACTAGAAAGATAAAGTTAATACTAGAACTATAAGAGTTTAAGGACCTATTTAACAAAGAGTTAGCAAGCGGTTTGCTGCCTTATTAAGGTAGTATAGATTACTATATTTAGTTAATAACTCTCCTAGATAGAACCTAGCCTAACCCCCTATAGGGTCCCCTATACCCTATATTACGTAATTAATTACTAGAACTAAGAATATAACTTACTTGATTAATAGATAAGGGCTAGATCTAAGTAAGCTCTTCTATAGCTAGAGCTCTAGTATTGCTAGTAAAGAAGCTATTAGGTAGTTAGCGCCTTTATATAGATTACTAGATACTTAATAGTATAACTACCTTAGATTAATACCTACTACTACTTATTAAGGTATACGCTTTATATACAGCTATCTAGTATAAAATAGTTTATAAAAGTAGATATTTATACTACCTTTTATAAGGTAAGAATAGTAGAAGGCTATAAGTCCTTAAAAGCGTTTTACACTAGGTTTAGGCTATATAAATAGTTAGTATATCTATTTAGTCTTAGTAGTATACTATCTACTTTCTAATAATATATTAATACTACACTTATAGAGTTACTTAGATTATATATAATAGCCTACCTTAATAATATCTTAATTTATTTAGAAGGAGACTAGTTTAACTATATAGAAAAAGTAAAGCGTAGACTTATACTATTAAAGGAAGTAGGGCTATACCTAGATTTAGAGAAATATACTTTTAGTATTAAGGAGGTATACTACCTAAGCTATACTATTAAGGTAGGCAAATTAATTAGACCTAACCCTAAAAAGCTTAGGGTAGTATAGGAATAGGAATCCCCTAGGAATATAAGAGAGGTAAGGAGTTTTCTAAGTTTTACTAACTTCTACTATAGTTTTATTATAAAGTTTTCTAAAGTATTAGCGCCTTTAAATTAACTAACTAGGAAGAATACCCTATTCTAATAGGGAGAGGAAGAATAAAGTGTATTTAATATACTAAAAAAGGTATTTATATCTAGACTAGTACTAATATAATAGGACCTTGCTAAAGAGATATTATTAGAAGTAGACTATTTAGGATATACTCTTAGGGGTTGCTTATTACAAAAAGTTAGGGGCGTCTAGCGCCTAGTTACTTACTACTCTATAGCACTAATACTAGAGAGATAAAACTATATAATATATAATAAGGAATTACTAGCTATTATTAAGTGTCTTAAAAGTTAGTTAGTAGAGTTATAGAGTGTTTATAAGCTATTTATAATATATATAGACTATAAAAACCTAGAGTATTTTACTAGCCTTTAAACCTTAAGCAAGTAATAGTACTACTAAGTAGTAGAACTTTTAAAATATTAGTACAGCCTATAGTATAGACCTAGCTATCTAGTAGGATAACCTAATACCTTAAATAGGTAACTATAAGATTTAAACTCCTCTAAAGCAATACTATAGTTAGTAATACGCCCTAAATTAATTTAGGTTATAGTATTAGAAGTAGAGGAGGCGTCTAAGTTACTAAAGGGCGCTAGCCTCTTTACTAACCTATATATATAGATACTATAGGATAAAGTAGTACTAGAAGATAAGATATACTAAGTGCGTCTTAATACAGTTTAGAAAGGCGCTAGGTCTTTCCTAGTTTTAGCTAATATAAAGTAATAGATTAGGGACTATATAATTAGCGCACACGGTACTTTGCTTTAGAGGGGTGTTATTTAGTTACTAGTATAGGAACCCCTTATAACTACTATTATATAGTAAGTATATAAATTAGGTTTAGTAGGATATCTAGGAATAAATATAATATTTTAGATACTACACTATAACTATTATTAGGATAGAATATTAGGAGATATTACGTAGTATATTTAGAACTACTACTATTATAGTGCTTATATCTCCTAGAAGCCCTAATAGGGTGTATTATAACCTATACTAGTAGTATTATAAGACTAGTCCTAAATATCTATAGATTTTATAGTTAACCTACCTACAAAATATAATAGCAAACCCTAGTTCCTACTAGTTATTACTAATAGATTGTCTAAATATATTTAGCTTAAAGTAATAGTCTCTATAGTAGCTAATTATTATGCAAGGATCTTTTAGAATAACTAGTAGTAGTTCTAGGGCTTCCTATCCTCTATTATTACTAACTAAGGCTTAGACTAGTTAGGATCTTTCTAGATACTATTATACTAGATAATAAAGATAAACTAGTTACTATCTACTATATACTACCCCTAGATAGACAGCAGGATAGAGTAGGTAAACTAAGAGGTATAGGCAGTCCTGTGTATACTAGTATACTTTAAGCAGACTAACTAGCCTAACTACCTACTAGCCTACTAACTTGCACTTAATAATAGGGACTCTAGTATAACTAGTGTTAGCCTAAATCTACTTTTAAATAGGTATACTATAGACACGCTATAAAAGATAATATTATTACTAGTAAAGCCTAAGAATCCTTATAGAGAGGCTGTAGCGTTCTTATTACAC